AACGGGATATTTAGGGTCACTGGGACACGGAGACTACTGAGAGGGAAATGAGAACTTGGGGACACGGAGACACTCTGGGGTAGCGGGAAACGGGAACTTAGGATCACGGGGACACGAGGATCACTAAGACTGAGGGAAATGAGAACTTGGGGACACGGAGACACGGGGACATGGGGGAACGTAGACGCCGATATATCGGAAATACGGGAAATAGGGGTCGAGGGAAATGTTGCCTTTGGGACAGGGGGACACCAAGTACCTGAGTTCCGAGCTGAAGCTAAGTCCCACGACCAGGAGATTCATCCTGCAGCTCCCCCGGCTCCTCCATCCCCACCCCTTCGCTCCCTCAGGTGCGAGGGGTAGCGGCAACCGCGGGGTCCCCCGGGGCCTCGGCGCGGCCTCCAATCGCGGACCCCGGCGCCGCGGCGGAATCAGCGGGGGAGCAGAGAGAGGGAGCAGGGAGAGGGAGCAGAGGGAGGGAGCGGGGAGAGGGAGCGGGGAGAGGGACCGGGGAGAGGGAGCAGGGAGAGGGGGCAGGGAGAGGGAGCAGTGAGAGGGACCGGGGAGAGGGACCGGGGAGAGGGAGCGGGGAGAGGGAGCAGAGAGAGAGGATGGGGAGTGGCAAGAGGAGGTATGTGAGAGCGGAGCGATTGAGAGGAGAGGTGACAGAGCAGAGGTGAGTAGAGGAAGCAGTGAGAAGTGACAGGGGAGAGAGGTGAGATGAGAGGCGGCGACGAGAGAGAGGGGGGGGAAGAGGTGACTAGGGGGGGAGAGAAGAGAGGTGAAAACGGGTCGAAGGGATGAAGGGGGCGAGAGCGGGGAGGAGACAGGAGGGAGGAGAGAGGAGGGGGTAGTGAGGAGGAGCTGAGTGGAGCTCCTGCAGGTGGTAATAAGCTTGGGCCGCAGGCGTTCGGGCTTGCGGGAGAACAGCAATGGATTATATTATTGAATCAATGTGTGTGAAGCTTTCGGGTCTTAATTATTCCCGAGTCAGCGTGGGTTCTCAGTGGGTAGCCTCCTCCCGGCTTCCCTTGCGGAGGGCGCACTCAGCCGTGGACGTATGGACACCTCGCAGGGCGGGAGACTCGGGGAGGCTGTCATGGGTTAATACATCCATTGACCTCTTCCATCACCACCACCATCACTACCATCACTACCAACACCATCACTATCAACATCACCAACACGACCACTATAATCTTGGTTCTTTCGGTAAAGTCACGTAGAAGGGAAACAATAAAATAATAAAAATGTAAAAAAACAATAAAATTCTCACGACGTTTCGATTGCAACACAAGCAATCATCATCAGGTGTGAAAACCACAACAAGAAATGTTTTCAAATTTTCTTGTTGTGGTTCAAATTTTCTTGTTGTGGCTTTCACACCTGATGATGATTGCTTGTGTTGCAGTCGAAACGTCGTGAGAATTTTATTGTTTTTTTATATTTTTATTATTTTATTGTTTCTCTTCTACGTGACTTTATCGAAATAACCAAGAATATGAATCCCTGCAGTCACGAAAGCTTTAAATCAAAACACGACCACTATCACCATCACCACAATCATCTTCACGATACCAACATCAACCACGACTGCCATCACCAGGTGCACCACCTACCAACGATATCACAGCAATCACCACCATCACCACCTTCACCACTATCACCACGATTATTATCAATGTCAACACTGAGGCCTGGAAGCCTGACTCACTCGCCACAACAACCACTGATTCGTAACCACAACTAGTGACTACCACTAACGAGTGACTACCCGCTAGTCAGCGGCCGTGACTGATAGGTAATAATATTATCCCACCTCTCCCAGGCAGGTCCGCACTTGGGTTGCTAAAACCGGTAACCGTTTTCCAGTTCCCCAATTCAGGAACCGGTAACCGTTTCCAGCGGAATTGTTGTAACGGACGCGCCAGCCAGCACGGCGGTCTAAGTCACCGAGTGGTTAATCTGCACAGTTAAGAGGCAAAGGCGCAGCCCTGCGATTTCTCGCTCACGCCACTGCTGAGGGGGGGGGGGGGGGGGACGACACTCCACTAATTTAGCGCTCTCGAAAGTACTTGGTCTACTCTTCCACGCTGGCCAGTACAGTAACGTCTTGGAAGAGGTCAGCCCACACTTTGACCCCAACACACGCGACCTGTGGTTGATGAAGACATTTCCACTGCCCCGTGGCGGGGGGGGGGATTTCACTCGCCCCGTCGTTTCAAATGCCGCGCCGGGAGATAGAATCCAACCGGCGTCATCTGTCTTGCAAGTCACCGGTACGCGAACCATCACACCCCTGTGACAACTGCTTTCGTTTTATGGTTAAAAAGTAAAACCCGATCCGTTCATCGCCAGACATTTGTGCGGCAATGCGGTAACCGGTTTTTTTTCAATGCGGTTACCCTCCCCGCGTACCCCCACGTGGCGCTTGGTGAGACATCGCCGCCTCGTGGCAATCCGAGGGAGTGGTCGACTCACCAACAACTCACCAACCACTAACTACTCACTAACTACTCACCAACCACTCACCAATTACTCACCAACCACTCACTAACTACTCACCAACCACTCACCAACTACTCACCAATTACTCACCAACCACTCACCAATTACTCACCAACCACTCACCAACCACTCACCAACTACTCACCAACCACTCACCAACCGCTCACCAACTGCTCACCAACCACTCACTAACTACTCACCAACCACTCACCAATTACTCACCAACCACTCACCAACTACTCACCAACCACTCAACAACTACTCACCAACTACTCACCAACCACTCACCAACTACTCACCAACCACTCACCAACCACTCACCAACTACTCACCAACCGCTCACCAACCGCTCACCAACCACTCACCAACTACTCACTAACTACTCACCAACCACTCACCAATTACTCACCAACCACTCACCAACCACTCAACTACTCACCAACCACTCATCAACTACTCACCAACCACTCATCAACTACTCACCAATCACTCACCAACCGCTCACCAAATACTCACCAATTACTCACCAACCGCTCACCAACTACTCACCAACCACACACCAACTACTCACCAACCACTCACCAATCACTCACCAACCACTCACCAACCACTCACCAACCACCTATCAACTACTCACCAACTACTCACCAACCACCCACCAACCACTCACTAACCACTCACCAACTACTCACCAACTACTCACCAACCACTCACCAACTACTCACCAACCACTCACCAACTACTCACCAACCACTCACCAACCACTCACCAACCACTCATCAACCACTCACCAACTACTCACTAACCACTCACCAATTACTCACCAACCACTCACCAACCACCCACCAACCACTCACCAACTATTCGTCCAGCCTTCCAACTCAACCACTAACCAACTACTCCTCTAGCCTTCCAACTCAACCACTTCATCCACCCATTCATCCAGCCCCCCAACCCAACCACTCAACCACCTAATCAACCACTCACCCACCCATTCATCCAGCCCCCAAAATCAACCACTCACCACCCACTCAAGCACCTAATCAACCACTCACCTACCCACTCAACCACCCAATCACTCACCTAACCAACCACGCATCCATCCAACCACACACTACTAAACCGCATCCGAACAACTCAACCTCCTAATAAATCACTCAACCATAAATCCACGCATGACCTCAACCACTCAACCATCCAACCAACCACCCAGCCACCGATTCACGGTCTAACTTTGCAGGGGCGGCGGAGGCTTTATAAATAACAATGACACGTGTGGTGCCTGCGAGTGTCTGATGATCGCCCCCCACATGTCCACCTCTCGACGAACAAGGGTACAACCACGGTGAGCCCATCGGCCAATCACGTGCGGTTGGGCAAAGTGTGGCTCCACCCATCTCTTTCTTCAGAGCATCTCTCTAATGAAGGCCTTTCCACCAGCAGTGATGTGAGCGAGAAATCGCAGGGCTGCCTCCTTTACTTTCTGCGATCCAGCTTTGGGAAAACATCTCCGATGCGCTTTGGTATTTTCACGTCAAGTCACGTCATCGCGTCATCACGTGGACGGACACGACGACTGAGGTTGGCACACAGCAAGCGATGGGAGCAGGAAAGCAGCAACAAAGGTCGATGATCGTAGATTCGATTCGCAAATGGTCTGGGGGGGGGGGGGGGGCGTGTAATATTCCACACATTGAGTAATTGTATACAAATCTCTAGAGCAAACAAAAATCCCAAGAATCGGACCGTCTCTCGGATGACGATGTGGAAGCTCCTGATGTCCCCCTTGTGGAGGTCCACTGTGCCCTTTGCAGTGTGAGGACAACTCCTGGATCAGATGGTATAACCGTGGACACCATTAAATGACTCATGGAATCACACAGAGCAGCAATCACCGTCCCCCTACCGAGAGGCCGAACATCTGTTTGCAGACCAGGTGCCGAGCCACCTTGCACCCACATGGACAGTTGCTACCGGGGGTGCCCTTTTAAATGCGTCGAGGTGAGATGCGTTATAAAGCGCTCTTCTATGCGAAGGGCGCTTTATCACGCACAACTAGTTACATAAGTGGCACCAGCCGTCGTGATGAAATTAGTTGGGCCTGTTCACAAAATGTGAACAAAGATGTCAAACGACTCGGCCGTGGAATAGTGCCTCTATCATTCTTCGACTCTGAAGCGGCGACGAAACGGACCTGAAGAGCGAGGGACTCATTCGCTGTTGTTCCTCTTTGATGGCACAATGTCGAGATGGCGCGCGGAGATCACGGAGGAGAGAATGACGGAGGCCGTAGGTCGCCAACAGGGTTAGAAGCAAAGGCTGAGACGAGGTTTTCATACCATCCACCACGCGACCCATCGTGACTTGTTGGCAAAGACCCATGAACGTCGATGACCGATGTGCCGACCCCTTGTCGACTGCGAAGAGGCATTTCACTCGGTGCGATTTTACGTATTTCAAACGAGCTTTCACAAACCGACGGCTAAATAAACTACGAAGAAAAACTTTATATTTTAAACCCGCTCACAAACATGCAGCAGCCACGCTCGGCCAACAAAGCAAGCGGTCAGTCAGTAAAAAAAAACAACAACCACTTGCCGAACCACAACTGCTCACTCGGCCAACCAACTCACTTAATCACTCCACATGCATACTCACCTTACGATTCCACATGCATCAGAGACTATCTAGAACTTGATGTTAATGCCAGCAAGACGAAAATGATGCCCTCTGGAAAGCGGTTAATTGACTCCCCCCACCCACCCCACTTCCAAAATGATGGCGTTCGACTGTCAACAAGTTGAACTCGACGCGGACAGGTTTAAACAACACCAAGGTGTCATCCTCGACCAACAAGCCATCGTTTGCTGCACATATCGATCACAAAAAAGGTTTTAAAAAAAAATGGCTTCCTGTACAAACTTTGCATTTCACCCCGACTACGATTTGATATTATAGGCACTATACTCCCCGCCACACGACATCGTAATGCTATGTAGACCTGGTGTTGCTAAGCGCTAAAACTGGTTCAATTGCATCACTCCGCGTTGACGTTGATGTCCACCCACAGCACCCATCATCACCGTTCACTTTATTTCAACTCTAATCAGCTCCCCATTGATCCGCGCAGGGAATGGCATTGGGCCATCTTCACCATCAAAAGCGCTTACAAAATAAGCCTGCCAAGGAGCGTCTGGATCATTTTTTATTTCACCCAGGAAATGGCGCAACGGTTGCTAGAAGATGTTGACTACCTCGCTCTGGTACACAGGAGGTCGTGGGTGTGACCTGACCCTGACGCCTGCTGCATATTTGGAGTTTGCGTGTCTCTCTCCTCGTGGTCGCGTGGATTTTTCTTCGGCTTTTCGGGTTTTGCCCTCCACATTTTAAAACACGCGTTTAGAGTATTACGCTGCTATAAATGTCCACATGATAAGTCCCTTCGTCGCTTCCACAAACAAGCTGTATAGCTCAGTGGGCATTACCTGCTAAAATAAAAAAAATAAGTTCCTGATTCCTTCTAAGTCCCCCTCCCAAACTCGATTAAATGCCTTCCGTGTAACGGATTTAAATGCCTTCCGTGTAACGGAAGGCATTTAAATCGTAATCTCTGGAATAACAAAGGGAAAATATCTGGGATCAAATCCTGAACCATCCTCGTCCCACATCAATTCACTTCAGGACCTCAGATTTCCTTTCACATGGAAATGGCTGCTCTGCAGATGTTAAGTCCATGTTGTTTGTGACAATTTGACCTCGGTGCCGTTTGGCACCTAAATACTGTCTATGCTGCGTTCTACAAGCCTTGTTTACTCTATGCTTAAATTTTGACTTAAAACTTTCGTGACTGCAGGAATTCATATTCTTTGGTTCTTTTGGTAAAGTCACGTAGATAGAAAATAATACAAATCTAATTAAAACCAAAAACTCACGCACTGAGTTTTAGGTTTTTTATTTTTAAAAAAATTATCTATACCTGTTGCACCGTGATGTTTGACGACCTTGCCGTTCGGAACCTGACCACGGACAGAAACGCCTTTGGATCGTTTTGTTCAAGTTATATTGGTCTAACCACGTTTCTATGGTGGAACCAGTTACCCTCCCATCGAAAAATGGAAATGTATTGCCCAATCGGTTTTACCCACGTCAACATAAACCAAACCACTCAATAAAGTTACTTAGCACCAACTTCCCAACCCACTCGGCAATAACTCGACCTCTCAACCGATTAACCACAAACCACTCGGGCAGAATTCACAATATCCACTCGGTGAAGCTTCCTTCATTGAGCACAGTGGGACTCCCCCACCCCCCCCCCATTGAGACATCACCGCACCATCATGTTGCCTGGCGCCAGAAATTTGCGGAGCAACGCAGGCGCCGCCTTAACAGCAGCCTCCCCACTCCTCTCCCGTGCAAGCCACAACCACGGCCACATCGATAGCTCCATCAAAGGACTCCGAGCACCCGTCTGTGCCACGCTGCGGAGACGGGGAGCTCTCGGGGAGGGGGCGACCGTTGCTCAGCAGCGCCACGCGTGGGGCTACACGACTCTGACTGACACACCAGAAGATGAGTGGAGTGGTCGACCTGGTGAGAGGGCGGGCGAGTTGCAGGCATCGTCCGAGAAGGAGCAAGGGCCCGCGCTGACGCCGAGTACAAAGTTTTATTTTGCAGAAACTGAGCGCGCAGCAGGGGAGTGGGTGGGTGGTTGGATGAGTGGGTGGGGGCACTCGGTGGCCCAGGGTTCAGTGCTGGGAAGGGTTGGGAGTGAGGCAATGTGCGTGGGTGAGGCCCATGTTGGGAGGGTGGGGTCGGATTTTTCCCCGGCACCTCCCGCCGCGATTCGCCGCGGCGCGAGCGCTTGTGCGGGGTGTGTGCAACATCGGGGGCCGAGCGCCGCCAACCCCGGGCGCCGCCCGCGCGGAAACACGATCGGCACCGGGGCAGCAGCAGTTTGTGCAAATCAAGTTCCCACCCCCCCCTCCCCTCCGGCGAGGCCGTGCGCCGCGTGTTGGCGATCCCGCGGCCTCCGCCGATCGTCGCCGGGACGAGGATCCACGGTGAAAAGTCCCCTTTTTCGCGGTAGTGGCCACCGCTCGCGCTCTCGCTCGCCGCTTGCTCACCGCTTTTGCGCTCTTGCTCGCTCTAGCGCGCGCGTGCGAGAGAGAGAGAGAGATCGCTACGAACGTGACCTCCAGGCCCAAACGCATTCTCGTCGTCGACACAGCCTCGATGCGTGTGCGAACGCGCGCACGGAACAAAATACATAAAAATATATATATTATATACCTTCTTCCCACCTCGCGAAACAAAAAAAACAAACTCTCTCCCCTCGCTCTTCCAGGTCGAGCTGGCGCGTGGAGGCCGCCCCCCGTGATATGTGTGCCGTCGGCGCGGGGCAGAGGGACCAGGCCAAAAAATAACAACACTACACATGTACAGTATGGTACAGGGTACAGTATGGTACAGGTACAGTATGGTACAGTGTACAGTATGGTACAGGTTCTTGTGGAGCGGCGGTGGAGACGCCAGCAGTGGCGCGCCGAGCGGGCAGTCAAAAAAATCTGCGACTGCTGCACAGGGGGCCGCGCTGCCCTCGCCGCCAGGGCCGACTCCAGCAGCCGCCAGCAGCGTCCCCGCGCAGTTCAAGGGGATCGAGGGTTTAAACGTCGCTCAAGGGGTGACGGGGGGGGGGGGGTGGGTTAAGGTTGAACGCAGGAAAAACGTCTCAGTCGATGGCGGCAGCAGCACCAGCAGCAGCTGGGGACTTCATTTCCTTCACCAGGAGGCCCCCTCCTCCCCAGTACCGCAGCCCCCCCACCCACCGCGCCGCGGCTCCCCCCGCCCCCACCCTTGCCACGGCCGCTAACTGGAGCATTCGCGTGTGGCGGTGATGGTGGTGGTAGCCGGGCCTGTGCCGGAGCAGGGTGAAGGGGGGGGGGTGGGGATGGCGACCCTGTGCGGTGGCGATCGATCAGCCAACCGAGCGATTGAGCGAGTGAGCGAGCCGCTGTGCTCACGGCGGCTCCACCGAGAAGCCGCGGCGTGCGTCGCCGCTCCGCACAGCTCCAAGCGGCGCTCCACGCGGCTCCGGGGAGCGAGCGAGCGGCGGCGCCGCCGCTATACCACCGTCCCGCTGGGCGAGTTGGCCTGCGTCTGCGCCGCCGCCTGCCCCTGTGAACACGGGCGGCAGCCATCGTCAGCGCTCGTCGTTGGGCGTCAGTTTCCCCAGCAGCTGCTCCGCGCCGCGGTTCTATAACGGAGAGAGTGCACGGGGAGGGAGCGGCCCCACACACACACACACTGGCTGAGGCTCCTGCCGCCAGCAGCGGCGTGGTTCACGTAGCTCAGTCAACCCCCCAACGAACCACCCTCGCTCTCCCCACCGCCGTGCCTTTAAACTGCACGGCACAGCAAACTTGCCTCCACATTGCTGCCCTTAGACCACATCTTCTTGCACTTTCCTGCACACTGCTGCCCCGTTTCAGATGTCGTGTAGAATCTCACGTTAAACACCATGAATTGGCCGCTTCTGATTTGCAACATAGCTGCACATCTACCGGTGGGAGCGGGAAGCAAATTACTTTCACAGCGGACCGAGTTTCAAAGCAATAATTGAGTCAACATATATGTTGTCCAAAATCTTTATTAAAATGTTACTCTACTCCCAGCAACACACTGTCCTACGTCTACCCTCTAAACTCACCCTACTCCCCTACATGCACTCTCCTCTCTCATCTCACTCTATTCTCCATGCATTCTCCTGCCTCTCCGCTCTCATACTAATTTACTCTCATCGATGCATACTCCTACGTCTCCCCTCTCATCTCACTCTACTCCTCTCCATCCAGTCTCAGACCCAGCAGCCAAGGTCTCCTGTCAAATCCTTGAGCCAACCTCTGTTCAGTTGTAAGTCATCACATATCATGAACATTAAGTAATCTCATCCACAAATTCTTCTTGCCTTATTCTGGAACTCCCTTCCCCAAACCATCCATGCTGTCCGCTCCCTGCCCCCGTTCAACTGAGTCCACGGCCAGGACCTGCCCCCCAAACCTTCTCTGCCCGCGACTGAACAATCCTCCTCTAGAATCATACACGTAATGTACAAATAGCCGATAACACGTCACGCGTCGTTTGTGCGCAGGGTCTCGGGGGACGGGGCGGTCGCGTTTAGACACCGTACAAGGCCACGTTGTACTGTATCATGAAGGGGCCGGCGCCAGCGCCGCTTGCGATCCCCGGCAAGAGCCGTACCGTCTTTCCGGGGCGCGCCCACGTGCAGATGAACCCCTCCTGGCAGGCGCTCACCACCGCCTCCTCCAGGAAGACCAGCACGGTGAGCCTCTCGTGCGCCACCTTCTTGCACACCAGCGGCTCCAGCAGCGGCACCTGCTCGCCCAGCAGCGCACCGCACAAGCCACCGGGGCGTGACATATCAGCCGAGCGGAAGCCAACGGGGTCCGTCGTGTAGCCGGCCGCAGGCTGGCACGGCCCAGGAAGCGGCCTGGCAGAGGCCAGGCAAATGTTGTGTGGTTGCCAGAGCCGGGCGACATTGCCCGTGGTTGTTATTTATTTTTGTTGTTTCACTTGTTTACCCAGGAAAGCCTCACAGAGTTTTAAGACAATTTTTCAGGAGGGTGTTGCCAAGTGTTTACTCTAGGGGGCGACGTTACTGTTGTGTGTAATCCCAAATAAGAGTAATTTTGCTGGTAATTTTTTTCAGCATTGGGATGTTTTTTGGCCAATACCAGTTACATGTAAACGAGGGGCAATTAGAGAACCCAGAAGAAACCCAGGAATCGAACCCAGACGCATCTTGCTATGGGGCACAAGTGTTACCACTATACTGCCATCCTTCCGCTGCACCACCCCTAGCTGTGAAAACGACCATGATGTTGTCACGTAAAAGAATATAATTTTTGTCTTTGGCCAAGCAATGATTAAAGCAAGTTTGTGTCGTAAGACACCTCCACCACCTGACAATGCCAAACAAATTAAACTGCAACGTATAAAAGCATTTGACGCGGCAATTATTATTATTTCATCTGAACAGTGAGGAGACGGACGATTCTCACCACCTAATTGAGCAACAACCAGACACTGCGCCAAACATTTTATGCTGACTTCCCGGAGTTGGCCCTCGGGACAGAATTCAGGAGGTTGGCATAAAATTCAGCAAGTTGGAACAACCGTGCCACTTGACCCGGCTTCTTATTTTGGTGCCGTGACCTCACAGGACGCGACTATGACCTCGATCGCGCCGCTCAGCTGATGCCAAGATCGCTCTCCGTCACAGAGCGGTTGGCGGTCACCGTCGGTTTGTGGTTGTCGGCGAAGTCATAAATTAAAAACGCCCGAGTGGCTCCATGCTCCGCACACCGGCGCGCGCACACAATATGTACATAATGGGTTTGCTGTAAAAGGTAGAGGCGCAGCCTTGCACCTACTCGCTCACACCACTTCTGACGGAAGGGCCTCCCCGCTTGAGGGAGTCCTAGAGGAGCCTGTGCCTCGCCTAGTTTGCTTTTCAGGGTCAACAGATCCCGGCCTCGGTCGAAGCAGCGAGCGGCGGTGCCGGGGGTTGTGTGTGGTTTTACAGTGCGGCACTACGCGTGCCAATGCCGCGTCACTCTTCAATAAATCGATACGGATGACACGGGACTTTGGCCACAAGCTTGCGAAGGTGGGGAGGGTGGGGAGAGAGGGCGGACTCTTCGATGATAGAGGAGATAAGGCCTCGGCAAATGTGGCAAGAGCGGAGTGAACAAACGTTGGGCGGCTAATTCCCTCTCGGACCACACACCCTGCGCGTTATTGCGGTGGCCTGATGTGCTATGAAGGAAGGTCATTGCCCGAAACGTTGTCTGTTGTTTTTTACTTTAAGGCAGTCTGTTATGATAAAAAAGCACCTGGCTTCGCTTCCTGACTTGAGTGGTTTTCTGTGTCGAGTTTACATGTTCTCTTCCGCGTGCGTGGTGAGGTACGGTTAAATAATCTCTGTAGAATTGGCACAACATGAGGCCTCAATCCAACAGTTGTATGACAAAAAGCTGCTGATTATTATGATTACACGATGCGTAATACACTGCACCATGTTGGACTGTGTGTGCTGTTCCGTGATACAATGCATGACACCTGGCGTTACACCGCTAAGTACTGCGTCTGCGATAACAAGTGTTTGACCACTTAATGTAACAAGCCTTCTGCTGTTCTCTCAGCCGTGTGTAGCACTGTGGTTGTCTTTTTTTCCACAAATGTCATCCCAATTTTGCTATCCCCTCCCAGATTTTGCAGAACCAAATGTAACGTGATAGTTTTGTTGTGCAGTCATTGGTGACCGGGATGAGACCATCAACTCGCCACACCTCACACCTAACGACCCGGTTTCATCACGGGTGGCCGAAACCCAGACTCCGAACCCAGGATTCTTAGCGGATGCCGGCTCAGCGTCTCTGTGCTCCGAGTCGGCCACACCATGCACTCTGCCGCCAGTGGGAGGTCCTCACCTCGTCCATGCGTGGGCAGGGCGGGGTGCCGAGGAGGCGCGACGAGTCCGGGCGCTGGCTCTTGGACAGCACGTGCAGGCGCTCGGCGCTCTTGCTTGAGATGTGCCCCATGCTGTGGTTGCGCTTGTGCTCCTTGTCCAGGCTGCGCTTGTCGTTGCCGCTGCGGTCGTGCAGCGTAAGCGTCGCAAACTTGCTGATCCCGGCCGCGATGGCGCCGTCCACCAACCCCCCCGGCGCCACCTCCTCCCCCCTCCCCCTGCGCCGCCGCCGCCGCCGCCGCCGCCGCCCTTGCTGTTGGCGTTGGCCACGGCCGAGTGCGGGAGGGAGTTTGATCGCGGCAGGGGGCACGAGCCACCGCCGACTACGGTGGCGCCGGCGGCGGAGGGCGACGTGGCGCCCGAGTTGGCGGCCGTCACGATGTTGGTCTGCGTGCGCGCACGCGACAGCGGTTGGTGCGGGAAGAGGACGTCCTCCGTGAGGTCCCACAGGCACAGCTGCGTGTCCTGCCCCACGGAGCCGAAGCGGTACGTCACCGACACGGGCCGCCCGTCCGCCCTCTGGGACAGCCGCGATAGCGTGCTGTTGGCGCGGTCCCGCCCGGCGGCGCACGAGCGGCCCTGCGACGCGGCGAAGGGCGGCGTCTGCTCGGGGAACTCCTCGTCGCTGCCGCTGAGCTCCGTGGGGTCGGCGCCGTCCTCCAGGCTCGTCGTGTAGGGGTCGAAGGCCACGACGCTCACCCACGACTTGTGGCCGTGGCCGCGCGCGATCACGCGGCCGTCCAGGAAGGACCACACGCTCACCAGGTCGTCCTCGCCGCCCGTCACCAGGTACTTGCCGTCGGGGCTCCAGCAGACGCACAGCAACCCGCCGAAGTAGGAGCGCATGGCGCCCTGCAGCTCCATGGCCTCGAAGGAGAAGACGCGCAGGAATCCGTCCTGCCCCACGCACGCCAGGTGCTTGCCGTCGGGCGAGAAGGCGAACTCGTTGAGGGCGCCATCGCCGACGGCCCACCGGTGCAGCGGATTGCGGCTCGACTTGCTCTTGCAGGCGTAGACACAGAATCCGTCGCCCTGCTTGATGGCGGAGTAGGAGGGCGCGCTGGTGCCGCAGCCCAGCTCCTCGTTGTACAGGTAGAGGCTGCCGCTCGCGTGCGATACCACGAACAGGTTCTCGCTGCCGGGCACCCACTTGAGGCACGTCACGCGCGTCTTGTCGATCAGCCTCTGCGGGACAGAGCGGAGAGAGGGCAAGGCGGACGACATTCGCCGCTCGCACCGGCGCGGCTCTTGCATGGCCGTGTTGTCAGGGTGGAATTGAATCGTGCTCGATGCTCAAGACCGCTCGCATCGCGAAACCGGGGAGTGTGCGGTACTGCATGCAAGTATATCTACGTAACACCTGTGGGCTCCGGTTTGTTTGTGTGAATCTGTGTCTATTCATGCACATGCTTGTCCAATTGATAATGCATGTTACTCTGAGCATTCTGTGCAAGTACCTGTGCGTGTTCCTGTACGCTTTCACTTCCTGGTGACCTGCGTTTATTCCTGGCTGTTCGTGTACGTCCCTTCGGGTGACCCTGTGTATTTGTCTTCATTTGGGTGTGGTCCTGTCTGGGCGTGCGATTTATGTGATCGAATTTATTTACGTGTGCCTGTGTGAACGTTTTGTACGTGTTCTTGTCAAATTTGCCGAGTCGTCCTATATCCTCCTGTGTGTGTGTTCCTGTATACCATTGTGCATTCCTGTGTGTAAGCGTGCTTGCTCGACTCTGTTCCTACACGTTTTTACCAGGATAAATAAAAATTCTGATTTCTGTTCGTGTATTCCTGTATGTGTGCTGCTATGGGTGTTTTCCAGCATCTATGAATGAGTATTTGATATATCCTTCTCAGATATACGAGTGGACTCATCACCCTAAGTGTGTTTGATGTTTCTGTAACCTGATTTTACTTTGAATGTTTTTTTTAAAAGTCATTTGTTGAAATCAACTTTTGTCACCAGAAATGTATTTAATTGAATACTGACTGTTTGCACACGTTTTCGAATTCTTCTAAAACTCGTCTGTTTTTGCTCCGATTTATATTGCCATCATTGTAATTGTTTTTCCACGACCATCTTTATCATTTTGGTGACCCAGGTCACACACTCTCGCATAAGAGACCATTATGGAGACCATTATGGTCTCTGGGGTTCTCACCGTGTTCTAAACAAAACAACACTCAAAACCTGACTTTGCATTTCCTGTGTGCGTGCGTGCGCGTGCACGCGCATGCGTACTGCTGCGCGTGTTCCTGTGCCCCCGCGTGCACACACCTCCTCGTTGAACAGCTTGCTCGTCTCCTTCTTGACGGGGTCGATGAGCTGCACCTGCCCGGCAGAGAAGCCCACGAGCAGCGCCACGCTCTCGGGCCGCGCGGTCAGCGTGTTCACGTCGTGGCACGTGGGCTGGGTGCCCTTGTAGATCCGCTTGTCGATCGGCTTGTTCAGGTCCACGGCCTGCAGCAGTCGCAGCGATAGCGGGAAACACAGGCGGGGCGGTCAAGCGAGTGCGACGACGTGCGTGTGCGCGCGCGTGCAGCCTGGCACAAGCAACGTGCTGACGTGGCCGTCACTTCGTGGCGAACGTTGGGCTGCTGTTTTGTGCCTGAGAGGTGAATATCTTAAGAGTGCTGGGCTTCTCTTATGTCGACTCGGCCTTAAGTGAGTACCAGGAGTGGTGTGCAAATGAGAACTGCCGAGACCAAGGTAGCTAAGAGTGGTCCTGGCCACACCACCCCCTAGTTCGACTTGCTGGCCCAAATAGGTCACAACAGCATTTGCTCCAAAAGAGCAAGTGCTGGTAAAAAGGTAAAACGTCCTATACATGGGATCTTTGTGTGCGCACGTTTTTTCTGAATGTTGTTCCTTATGATTGTGTTTTTCAGGTGGCCTCAAAGGACACCTAGTCTGGCACACGCCCTATGGTGATGTCATCGTTACTTGGTTTTGAATGGCTGCTGTTCCTATTGTTTGCTTTTCCTGCGGTCCTTTGGTAGTTAAATTTACAATGGAGGGGGGAAACTAGTCCATTGTACCTGTCCCATGCCCGTCATTTTGCCACCGTGGTACAAGTTCGTGCGCCATGAGGGTAATCTGCCAATAAACATCAGCCTTTCCCCGATTAGGCATACATACAATACACACTACAATGAGATAGGGATTGTTGCTGCCAGTCAATTAACCTATAGCAATTTCGATTTAAAGCTTTCGTGACTGCAAGGATTAATCTTCTTTGGTTCTTTCGGTAAAATCACGTAGAATGAGAATAAAATAAAACAATAAAATTATCACGACGTTTCGGCCACAACACAAGTGGCCTTCTTCCTTTCACCTGAAGAAGGCCACTTGTGTTGTGGCCGAAACGTCGTGAGAATTTTATTGTTTTATTTTATTCTCATTCTACGTGACTTTACCGAAAGAACCAAAGAAGATGACCTATAGCACCTAGGTGTGTCCCATGTACTCCTGCCAGAGAGCCTTCAACACTTCACGCAGCCTCAAAGTGTACCTAGCCTGGCTGTTATTGTACGTGATAGTGTACGAATTTGAAAGCGAGAGTATGTTTGTGACTGTGTTGGTGGGTGCCAGTTTAAGTGTATGTGTGTGTGTCAGTGTGTGCAAAAGCATGGAGAGCGGTAGTATAGCAGTTAGCGCGCTGCGCTACGAACACGGTGACCCAAGTTTGATTCCTGCCCACGGCCGACACCAGTGACAATTATATGAACCAGTGTGGGGCCTCACCTAGGCCGACGCAGGCTCAAATGAGTACCCTGTGTAAGCATCGCCACTAGCAAGACAAAGGCGGCTGGCCAAGGTACTGGCCACTCACCGACGCGTGTGCTGTGCCGGCCTTCATAGGCGATAGCTAACAGCACTTGCCCCAACAGTCTGTTAATGCTATACGGGGGATCTCTGTATTTTGTGAGTGCGTGTGTGTCTGTGACATCGTAAATGTGCATGTGATTGTGAGTAGGAAAGTTCGTGCATGAGTGCACGTTCGAGTGCAATTGAATGATAGTGCGTACCAGTGGGTGTTTGCATTGTAGTGTGTTGCATGTATCCGAGCATTAATGCGCTTGTGTCAGGGCATGCGAGTGCATGAGCATGCGAGTGAGTCTGCAGGCTTCAGTAGGCATGTGCTTATGGCGGTACCACGAACTATCCAATTACCCAAAGAAGTCCCACCAAGTCTCAAGACTCTGAGGACAATGTTTGCATTCAGATGTTTGATTTAAGAATGTTTGACTTGTGGTAGGAAATAGACTACACAGAAAAAACAACTCACACATATCGCAGGATAATAAATCAAAAGGTAACACAAAGGGACTTACTTCCTGTACATCGTTTGGTTTGGCCATTTCACAATTATGCCCGATTCATTAACCCTTGTCTGAAAAGCGCTGGACCGCAAGCGTGTGACAACTGTGCCCGCCAGGTCAACCACACACACAACTATATTCCTCACCCTAACGAGAGAAACCTAACCCTAGCACGAACTCTCGCAAACTAGAGATTCCAAAAAAAGAGCCCTTACTCTCAGAAACCAAGCCCCTCCACTCGGTACCTACCCCTGACCGCAACTTTGCCCAACGTCTCCTCCACATCTCCCCCAGAGCTCCCTTTAGAATGTTTCAATTGCTCATGCGACGCCACTGTTGGTGGATTCGCACGACTCTCGGGCTGCCGAGGAAGCACCCAAGGCTCAGCCAATGTAAGCAAGGAATGCGGGCAGCAAAAGACAGCTTCGTGGACCTCACCGCGCAGGCCAAGGTCAGGGTTTACAAGTCGGCACCTCACGCGATTCCGTTTCACACCGACGAATGGGAAAGGACGCAAACTACAAAAGGGTGCAAATTAACGCGCACGAGCAGATCGGAGGCAGAACCTGGACATAAGCGAGACGCGATGCCACCTTGGCAGACCTGTAACATCAACGGACGAGCATCACGAGGCATTTGCTACTTTGCCCATGGGCAGATTTAACGCCAGTTACCACGTGAGATTCACATGCCAGCTGTCACGTGATTTTGCCAGATGATTCCCCCACCCACCACCACCACCCTTGCCGTCCACGTGACCCTGCTTGGGGAAGCGTGGGAATTCACTCCGGGTTACGCCACGCGATGAAATGCTGCCTCTTTTTTAAAAAAAAAAACACGTAGCAGGGGGCTTCCCCACTATCTGGCGGTAATGTCATCGCCCGTGTCAATTAGGGCAAGGCCCTCGATACGGCACTCCGCGCGAAGGCTTTGCCAGGAGAGGTAGGAGCAAGGGTCTTGTCACGGAGGCACGGCCCTCGTAAATTAGGTCATGCTCCAGGTAATTAGGGCACGGTCCTTGTACAATTGGAGGATGGCCCTGGCAACGAAGAGACAATTCACTGAACGGGGCTCTGAGGGCACTGCCCTGTAAACGGGGGCACGGGCCGACTCCCACGGTGCATGAGAGCGGCCCCACCCCGTCCGCTGCCCCTGCCGGGTTCTCACGGAACAGCAGTAGCAGCACTCGCCGGGAAGCAGGGCACGGTGGAAGGGTGGGGGGGGGGCAAGGCGAAGCAGAGGGTAGCGCAGGGCTCAAGAGGGCAAGGCTGAGGGCAGGGCATGGCTGACGAAGACTTAAGAGCACATGACGGGAGCGGGATGGATGTGAGGAGGCGGGGGGGTGCATAGCTGGTAGAGAAGGCCAAACGCCGGAACGGACAAGGAGGGAGGTGTGTGGTGAAGCGGGCAAGGCCGGCAGTGGCGGCGAGGCGGAGCAGGCGAGGGCAGGTCCGCGGGGTGCGGCGAGCTGGGGCAACGATGAGCCGTGAGCGAGCCCGCACCTTGCGCACGCCCTTGTAGATGTAGAAGTAGAGCTCGCGGCCCACGTTGAAGCAGATGCGGTCGCCGCTGCCGGACTGGTCGTTCACGTTGACGAACGACACCTTGACGGGGTTGGAGCCCTGCGCGCTGAAGGGCACGCGGTTGGGGCGGCTGTACTCGGAGAGGGAGAGCAGGCGGTAGGTGCCCTCGCGCGTCGAGAACTGAGTCTTTATGTCGCTCATCTCCTTCCCTCCTCCTCCCTCTGTCGCCATGTCGTCCGCGCCGGAAGTTCGTCGCACGCGTCCTTCCGGCGCGCTGACGTCACCTCGCTACGGCCCGGTGCGGTGACATCCCCGCGTTCAGGCTTGGCGTGGTGACGTCACCGCGTTCAGGCTTGGCGTAGTGACGTCACCGCGTTGCTGCTCGGCGCGGTGACGTCATCTCGCCGCGGCCCGGTGCGGTGACATCCCCGCGTTACGGCTCGGCGTGGGGACGTCACCGCGTTGCTGCTCGGCGTGGTGACGTTACGGTCCAGTGACGTTGCCGCGTTACGGTTTAGCGTGGTGACGTCACCTCGTTACGGCTTGGCGCAGTGACGTCACCTCGTTACGACGTCACGCGGTGACGTGAGCTCGTTGCGGCTTGGCGCAGTGACGTCCCGCGTTTTGGCTTGGCGCGGTGACGTCACCCAGGGCCCGGTTAAGATTTTGTAGGACCCTGGGCTGCAGGTCCTGTGAGGCCCCCAGTAATATTTTCAAAAGGAAAACAAAGTTAAAGAAGAATTAAATTAATTTTTACAAGTTCTAACAACAAATAAAATTCAGCATTCACAAATGAAATAACTTTTCACTTGATCTCTGGAATCCCTCCAGCTGGCGGAGGCCCCTGGGCCTGACGTCACCGTATTATTGATCGGCGCTGTGACGTCACCGCGTTTCTGTACAGCACCGACGTCCCCCGCGTTTTGGCATCGCGTGGTGACGTCATCTAATATGGCTTGGCAAGATGAGCGTCAGCGCGAAACGGCTCGGCGTGGTTACGTCATCACGGCCAGGCTTGGTGACGTCACTGAGGCAGTGTTTGGCGCGATGAAGTCACCATGGCAAGCTCGGCGCAGTGACGTCATGTCACCGGTATGCATCTCGATTCTTTACATTATTTTAGTGATATAAATGTCCACATTGATAAGCCACTTCACTGAGCTATCATTTGTGCCCAGGTTGCTTCTAAAAAAGAAGCTTTTCGTTCAGTGGGCTTTAGCTGGTAAGATAGAAAAATAGTTTAGTTGTATTTGTATGTATTTTTAAAGTGATTTTTTTTTACCTTTCCTATACTTTATATTGTTTATTGTTGTAACATTCTGACCTGCCTCTACTGAACATCTGTGAAAAAGAGCTTCATATCTCATCGGATTCCTACTCCAGTATAAACAAACATTCTGATTCTGAAATGGTTAATGGAGCGTTTGAGTGGGTGGTTGAGTGGTGTATTTGGGTGGTTAATTAAGTGGTTGAGCGGATAGTTAATTGTGATGGCTGAGTATCTGTTGGTGGTTGAGTGTGTTTAATTGAGTGGGTCGTTGATCTGTTGGTTGAGTGGGTGGTTGAGTGGTGTATTTGGGTGGTCAATTAAGTGGTTGAGCGGATAGTTAATTGTGATGGCTGAGTATCTGTTGGTGGTTGAGTGTGTGTTTAATTGAGTGGGTGGTTGATCTGATGGTTGAGTGGGTGGTTGAGTGGTGTATTTGGGTGGTCAATTAAGTGGTTGAGCGGATAGTTAATTGTGATGGCTGAGTATCTGTGGGTGGTTGAGTGTGTGTTTAATTGAGTGGGTGGTTGGTCGAGATGGCGACGACTTTGCCAGGCTATAATCTAGCAGTGGATTGACCATTGCTCGAGGTTGCTGCTGATGTTGATGGCACGGGTTCACTGCCGCTCTCGTGGTACCGAGCATCAGGCGAGCGAGCGCACGGGGAACCTCGAGCGCACGTGGCCAGGCCACGTGGGGGCGCTCTCGTGGTACCGAGCATCAGGCGAGCCCTCACGTGGCCAGGCCACGTGGGGGCGCTCTCGGCCCTGGGACGCCGCCACTCGCGCTTTGGAACCCCCCTCCCCCCCCACCAGCCTTGGCCTGCTCCTCAGAACCGACTGCAGTCTGGTCCCGGTCACTCGCTCACTCGCTCGCTCGACCCGCACTCAACCCTCAAACCCTCAAACCCTCTCGTCGCCAGAAGCCGGCGTCCACGCTCCAGCCAAGTGCAGTCAGCGCAGTCGCTCGCCCGAGATCGAACCCTCGCCCGGGATCGAACCCTCGCCCGAGATCGAACCTTCGCTCCCTTTCCTCGGAGGTCACCCGCGCCGAGCGCGGCCATGAGGCGGCTGCTGCTGCGGCTGCGTCCGGGAGGCCGCGGCCTCCCCACCCTGGGCCCCCTGGGCCGCCTTCGGCTCCCCCTGGGCCTCCCCCTGGGCCTCCCCGCCACCCGGGCCGCGCGGAGCGGCGAGCATCGTGAGGCAAAGAGCGCGGCGCAGGTGAATGGCGACAGTGAGTGACTACAGTGAGTAACTACAGTGAATGACTACAGTGAGTGACTACAGTGAGTGACTACAGTGAGTCTTCACCAGAGTGACTACAGTGAGTGACTACAGTGAGTGACTACAGTGAGTCTTCACCAGAGTGACTACAGTGAGTGACTACAGTGAGTGACTACAGTGAGTGACTACAGTGAGTGACGTGAGTGACTACAGTGAGTGACTACAGTGAGTGACCACAGTGAGTGACTACAGTGAGTGACCACAGTGAGTGACTACAGTGAGTGACTATAGTGAGTGACTACAGTGAATGACTATAGTGAGTGACTACAGTGAATGGCGACAGTGAGTGACTACAGTGAGTGACTACAGTGAGTGACTACAGTGAATCTTCACCAGAGTGACTACAGTGAGTGACTACAGTGAGTGACTACAGTGAATGACCACAGTGAATGACTACAGTGAGTGACTACAGTGAATGACTACAGTGAATGACTACAGTGAGTGACTACAGTGAGTGACTACAGTGAGTCTTCACCAGAGTGACTACAGTGAGTGACTACAGTGAGTGACTACAGTGAATGACCACAGTGAATGACTACAGTGAGTGACTACAGTGAATGACTACAGTGAATAGCGACAGTGAGTGACTACAGTGAGTGACTACAGTGAATGGCGACAGTGAGTGACTATAGTGAATGACTATAGTGAGTGACTACAGTGAGTCTTCACCAGAGTGACTACAGTGAGTGACTACAGTGAGTGACTACAGTGAGTCTTCACCAGAGTGACTACAGTGAGTGACTACAGTGAGTGACTACAGTGAGTCTTCACCAGAGTGACTACAGTGAGTGACTACAGTGAGTGATTACAGTGAATGGCGACAGTGAATGACTACAGTGAGTTACTACAGTGAGTGACTACAGTGAGTGACTACAGTGAATGACTACAGTGAGTGACTACAGTGAGTGACTACAGTGAGTGACTACAGTGAATGACCACAGTGAGTGACTACAGTGAGTCTTCACCAGAGTGACTACAGTGAGTGACTACAGTGAGTGACTACAGTGAGTCTTCACCAGAGTGACTACAGTGAGTGACTACAGTGAGTGACTACAGTGAGTGACTACAGTGAATGACTACAGTGAGTGACTACAGTGAATGACTACAGTGAGTCTTCACCAGGGTGACCACAGTGAGTGACTACAGTGAATGACTACTGTGAGTGACTACAGTGAGTGACTACAGTGAGTCTTCACCAGAGTGACCACAGTGAGTGACCACAGTGAGTGACTACAGTGAGTGACTATAGTGAGTGACTACAGTGAATGACCACAGTGAGTGACTACAGTGAGTGACTACAGTGAGTGACTACAGTGAGTCTTCACCAGAGTGACTACAGTGAGTGACTACAGTGAGTCTTCACCAGGGTGACCACAGTGAGTGACTACAGTGAATGACTACAGTGAGTGACTACAGTGAGTGACTACAGTGAGTCTTCACCAGAGTGACCACAGTGAGTGACTACAGTGAATGACTACAGTGAGTGACTAAAGTGAGTCTTCACCAGAGTGAGTGACCAGACGACTGGGAATTAGTTAGTGACTATAGACTCACTCCTAGTTACTATAGACTCACTCCTAGTGACTATAGACTCACTCCTAGTCACTATAGACTCACTCCTAGTCACTATAGACTCACTCCTAGTGACTGTAGACTCACTCCTTGTGGCTGTAGACTCCTAGTCACTATAGACTCACTCCTAGTGTCTATAGACTCACTCGTAGTGACTAGACTCACTCGTAGTGACTGTAGACTCACTCGTAGTGACTATAGACTCACTCCTAGTCACTATAGACTCACTCCTAGTCACTATAGACTCACTCCTAGTCACTATAGACTCCTAGTGACTTTAGACTCACTCCTAGTGGCTGTAGACTCCTAGTCACTATAGACTCACTCCTAGTCACTATAGACTCACTCCTAGTCACTATAGACTCACTCCAAGTCACTATAGACTCACTCCTCGTGACTATAGACTCACTCCCAGTGACTATAGACTCACTCCTAGTTACTATAGACTCACTCCTAGTGACTATATACTCACTCCTAGTCACTATATACTCACTCCTAGTGACTATAGACTCACTCCTAGTGACTATAGACTCACTCCTAGTGACTATAGACTCACTCCTAGTCACTATAGACTCAATCCTAGTGACTATAGACTCACTCCTAGTCACTATAGACTCCTAGTCACTATAGACTCCTAGTCTCTATAGACTCACTCCTAGTCACTATAGACCCACTCCTAGTCACTATAGACTCACTCCTAGTGACTATAGACTCACTCCTAGTCACTGTAGAGTCACTCCTAGTCAGTGTAGACTCACTCCTAGTCACTATGGACTCACTCCTAGTCACTATAGACTCACTGCTAATCACTATAGACTCACTCCTAGTCACTATAGACTCACTCCTAGTCACTATAGACTCACTCCTAGTGACTGTAGACTAACTTCTAGTCACTATAGACTCACTCCTAGTGACTATAGACTCACTCGTAGTGACTATAGACTCACTCGTAGTGACTATAGACTCACTCGTAGTGACTATAGACTCACTCCTAGTGGCTGTAGACTCCTAGTCACTATAGACTCACTCCTAGTCACTATAGACTCACTCCTAGTGACAATAGACTCACTCCTAGTCACTATAGACTCACTCTTAGTCACTATAGACTCACTCCTAGTCACTATAGACTCACTCGTAGTGACTATAGACTCACTCCTAGTCACTATAGACTCACTCCTAGTCACTATAGACTCCTAGTGACTTTAGACTCACTCCTAGTCACTATAGACTCACTCCTAGTGACTGTAGACTCACTCCTAGTCACTATATACTCACTCCTAGTCACTATAGACTCACTCCTAGTGACTATAGACTCACTCCTAGTCACTGTAGACTCACTCCTAGTGACTGTAGACTCACTCCTAATGGCTGTAGACTCACTCCTAGTGGCTGTAGACTCACTCCTAGTCACTGTAGACTCACTCCTAGTCACTGTAGACTCACTCCTAGTCACTGTAGACTCACTCCTAGTCACTATAGACTCACTCCTAGTGATTATAAACTCATTCCTAGTGATTACAGACTCACTCCTAGTCACTGCAGACTCACTCCTAGTCACTACAGACTCACTCCTAGTCACTACAGACTCACTCCTAGTGACTACAGACTCAATCCTAGTCACTACAGACTCACCCCTAGTGACTACATACTCACTGCTAGTGACTACAGACTCACTCCTAGTCACTATAGACTCACTCCTAGTCACTATAGACTCACTCCCAGTCACTGTAGACTCACTCCCAGTGACTATAGACTCACTCCCAGTCACTGCAGACTCACTCCCAGTGACTATAGACTCGCTCCCAGTGACTATAGACTTACTCCTAGTGACTGTAGACTCACTCCTAGTGACTTTATGAACTCGGTGACTATACTTAATAACTGCACTGACGGGGTGACTAGACTCAAAGGGACTTGACTTGGAGTAACCTTGGTTAGCTCAGAGTCAATCTTAACTTAAAGCTTTTGTGACGGCAGGAATTAATATTCTTTGGGTCTTTCGATGATGACCGCTTGTGTGTTGTGATCGAAACGTCGTAGTATTTTGTTATTTTCTTTGAACCTATCTACGTGACTTTACCGAAAGACCCAAAGAATGTAACTCAGAGTGACACGACTGCCCTCTGGCATGAACGCACAAACACGGTGAGACTAGATTAACCCAGAGTGAACTACACTGTGGTGGTGACGAGACGAACTCACGAGTGAACTACACTCCACTGGCATGTCTACAAAATGACGTTGTGCCCGACATGAGCGACTCTGCCCCCCCCCATCACCTCATCTGCCCTCTCCCGCACGCAGCCGCCCGCGGAGCCCGAGCGGGACTGGGTAGGTCCCCCGGACCGGGACTCGAACCTGCGGCCCGTGCGCGTGGGGAGACGGCCCCCCGAGACGCCCCTGGAGCTTCAGCTGCGCGAGCTGCGTGGAGACACCGAGGCGTGGAGCCACCACTTTTGGAGCGAGCAGAACCTGGCCTTCAGCCGGGTAAGGCAGGCGTGGGAGAGGATTTTGTGACCCCCTTCGGGGGGTCTAACATAGCTGGGTTTGGACATATAGCAGGGGACGGGGTCACGAGTGTGTGTTTTAAGTGGTGAGACCAATTAATTGATTACGATTTGAGCCAGCTGGCCAGGACTGGGCAAAGACGAAACTTGTTTTGTCTTTGAGCCAGCTGGCCCACGGAGCTATGTAGCTCTTTTTTTAAAGGCTACCTGGCCGCACACGAGAGTTCCAACGGAGTGGCTTATGTCGAAATTTATAGCGTGTTGATTCTAAATGTGGAGGGAAAAACCAGGGGACCCAGAGAAAAATCCATGCGGCAACAAGGAAAACACGTCAACTCCAAATATACAGGTGTCAGGGTTGGGATCGAACCCAGGACCTCCTCCATACCAGGCGTGGTTTGTTAACATCTCGCCACTGTGGCGCCCCTAAGACGTTGTCCACTTTCCACCCAGGCAAAGCGAGAGCACAGATTTCAGTGTTTCTTAACTCAACACTTAAACAACAAATAGTGTATATTCTATACGAATAAAAACCTTTATCTGTGCGTCTCAAAAACCTCTTGGACACTTCCCGACAAGGTAGAAAGCTCAAATTTGGTACACAGGTAGCTTTTAGGACACAAGCAACAGGAAAAATCAGAAAATATGAGATTGTTAATTTTAAGGCCCCCAAATCTCGATTGTCAGTGCCTCATAAACATGTTTGTGCATGGTATCATTCAGAAACCATTCAAAATATAAGATTGCGGGTTTTTCCATTTAATAAGAGGGTTAAATGGCAAATAAAAATAAAGCGAGAACCAATGGGGATCTATCTTTTATTGTTTTTGAGATATTTCGGATTCAAGCGGTTTTGAACAAAAAACATCCGCATTTTGTTCTTTCTAATAAAAGAAGAACGGAATCTTTAAATTGAGCGGTTTCCGATGGGTACGTCTTTAAATGTAAGAAGTTGAATCAAATCAACAATTTTGTTAGCGTAAATATTGCAAAATTTGCAGTAGTTGTTCATGACTGATCGTAGAAAAAAAATCATATCAGGTTCATTATTATATTTTTTGAAAACTTTTGCCTGTATAAGGCAGGCTTTTATTTATCTAGTATTTATAAACGCACGAAATTAAAAAGCAAGTTGTGCAATGGTCAGCACACTGCGCTCCGAACCCTGCGACACAAGTCGATTTCCGCTCACGGCCAACACCGGTGACGATTATCTGCATCGGTCCTGGGCCTCCCCGAGGTCTACTCAACCTCAAATGAGTACCTGTTGCGATGTGTAAACACCGCCAATGGGGAGACAAAAGCGGCCGGGCGTGGTGCTGGCCACCCGCCCCCTCGTGTGCCGAGCCGGCCTTCATAGGCACTGCTCGCCAACAACACTTGCCCCAACAGTCTGTTCAGGCTATAGGGGGGCATCTTTGTGTTTGGTGCAGTGTGAGGTGAGCTGTGAGATGTGATGTGAGCAGCATTGCTCCACCTGTGCCCACACCACCTGTGTCCACGCCTGTGCCCACACCACCCGTGCCCACACCACCCGTGCCCACACCTGTACCCACACCACCTGTGCCCACACCACCCGTGCCCACACCACCCGTGCCCACACCTGTACTCACACCACCTGTGCCCACACCACCTGTGCCCACACCACCTGTGCCCACACCACCCGTGCTCACGCCTGTACCCACACCACCCGTGCCCACACCACCTGTGCCCACACCACCTGTGCCCACGCAGGAGAAGCAGGAGTTCATCGTGAAGCGTCTGCGCGATAAAGGGCTGGGGACTCGCGATGAGGACGGTGAGTCCCGCCCCCACCCCCTCCCAGGGATTCATCTCCCACTGGAACATTTTGCAGGTCGCCGTGTAGACTGGAGTCGGCACGTGACCGGTAGCCGCAGCCTAGAGCGAAAGGTGTACTGGATGTGGTGTGCGCCTGATGCCGAAATATATAATGGGTCGTGAACGTGGATAGACCCAGGGTGGATTGTCAATGTACATGGGAGGTGTGCTGGCGGGTCGGTGTGTGTGTGTGACAGTGTAGATGGGAGGTGTGCTGGCTGGATTGGTGTGTGTGTGTAGATGGGACGTGTGTGTGTGTGTGTAGATGGGATTTGTGCTGGCTGGATGGTGTGTGTGTGTAGGTGTGCTGGCGGGATTGGTGTGTGTGTGTAGATGGGACGTGTGCTGGCTGGATGGTGTGTGTGTGTAGGTGTGCTGGCTGGATTGGTGTGTGTGTGTGTAGATGGGAGGTGTGCTGGCTGGATGGTGTGTGTGTGTGTAGATGGGACGTGTGCTGGCTGGATTGGTGTGTGTGTAGGTGTGCTGGCTGGATTGGTGTGTGTGTGTAGATGGGATGTGTGCTGGCTGGATTGGTGTGTGTGTGTGTAGATGGGAGGTGTGCTGGCTGGATGGTGCGTGTGTGTAGGTGTGCTGGCTGGATTGGTGTGTGTATGTAGATGGGACGTGTGCTGGCCGGGTTGAGCTGTTCTGGCAGTCTCGCGAAGTTTGAACAAGCTCGAAATTATGCCGTGGATAGGAAAAGGTGGAGATGAGTATTTGAGCAGGAAATCACTTGGATTTTATTTCACTTGCGTGCGCATAGATCGTAAATGCGAGCGATGGTGAGATTCGTACGATTCCTGCGTGTAGGTTCCAAGAGGAGTCTGAGCGTGGAGGAGATGGCAGAATTCTACAAAGGCTTTCTGGATGACAACTACACCAAGCACCTCAACTATAACAAGTGCGTGCCCTCGTGTGCGAGTGCCAAACGCGGTTGTACACGCGTGTTGACATGTCAACATTGCGTCACCATGGTGAGCCAGCCCATGGTGATGGATGTTGATGGCGAGTCGAGGGAGTGTTTGGTGGTTATGCAGGGAGCCTCACGCGTGTGTGTGTGCCCCTGCAAGGGAGTGTTCCGTGTGTGTTTGTGTGCTCCTGCCGGGAGTGTTGTGTGTGTGTGTCCCCGTGCATGGAAGTGTTGTGTGTGTATGTGCGTGCATTCCTGCAGGAAGTGTTGTGTTTGTGTGTGTGCTACTGCAGGGAGTGTTGTGTGTGTGTGTCCCCGTGCATGGAAGTGTTGTGTGTGTATGTGCGTGCATTCCTGCAGGAAGTGTTGTGTTTGTGTGTGTGCTCCTGCAGAAAGTGTTGTGTTTGTGTGTGCATTCCTGCAGGGAGTGTTGTGTGTGTTTGTGTGCATTCCTGCAGGGAGTGTTGTGTGTTTGTGTGCTCCTGCAGAAAGTGTTGTGTGTGTTTGTGTGCTCCTGCAGGGAGTGTTGTGTGTTTGTGTGCTCCTGCAGAAAGTGTTGTGTGTTTGTGTGCTCCTGCAGGGAGTGTTGTGTGCGTTTGTGTGCATTCCTGCAGGGAGTGTTGTGTGTGTTTGTGTGCATTCCTGCAGGGAGTGTTGTGTGTTTGTGTGCTCCTGCAGAGTGTTTTGTGTGTTTGTGTGCTCCTGCAGGGAGTGTTGTGTGTTTGTGTGCTCCTGCAGGGAGTGTTGTGTGTGTTTGTGTGCATTCCTGCAGGGAGTGTTGTGTGTGTTTGTGTGCATTCCTGCAGAAAGTGTTGTGTGTGTTTGTGTGCTCCTGCAGGGAGTGTTGTGTGTTTGTGTGCTCCTGCAGGGAGTGTTGTGTGTTTGTGTGCTCCTGCAGGGAGTGTTGTGTGTTTGTGTGCTCCTGCAGGGAGTGTTGTGTGTGTGTTTGTGTGCTCCTGCAGGGAGTGTTGTGTGTGTTTGTGTGCATTCCTGCAGGGAGTGTTGTGTGTTTGTGTACTCCTGCAGGGAGTGTTGTGTGCGTTTGTGTGCATTCCTGCAGGGAGTGTTGTGTGCGTTTGTGTGCATTCCTGCAGGGAGTGTTGTGTGCGTTTGTGTGCATTCCTGCAGGGAGTGTTGTGTGCGTTTGTGTGCATTCCTGCAGGGAGTGTTGTGTGCGTTTGTGTGCATTCCTGCAGGGAGTGTTGTGTGTTTGTGTGCTCCTGCAGGGAGTGTTGTGTGTTTGTGTACTCCTGCAGGGAGCGTTGTGTGTATGTCCATGTGCAGGGATTGTTGTGTTTTGTGCATGTATGCTCCTGCTGGCTGTGTGTCTATGTTCAGGAAGTGTTGTGCGCTTCTGCAGGGAGTCTTGTGGTGTGCGTGCGTGTTCTCCCGCAGGGAGTGGTACCGCAGGAACTTCACCATGACGTGGATGATGGGTCGCGTGGCCGTGCTCCGAGCCTGGAGGTTTGTGCTGAGTGGCGGTCGCCCCCGGTGACCTCGCGACTCCCCGTGCGGTGGCTGTAGTCACTGCTGGCTACTGGGAGGAAGTAGCCGCCGCCCGTGTCTGCCGGCTGACGTGGTCGCCGCGCGGAGACCGTGTCCGGAGCCGGCGCTCCGTGTGCATCGTGCCTGTGGCTCGGCTCTGGACAAAGCAACCACAACAACCATTTTACAATAATTTGAATGTATGTTGCGTGTACGCGGCAAGTTGGTAAAACGTCGCAAGATCGGCCTTTGTCATCGCCGCTCTGGCTGCATACGCACTTGTTTCTGTATTCTCCCGATCGCCTCCGTGTGAAAATTGCGAGAGTTAAAAAAAATTATAACCCGTCGGCGTTTTCAGATGCAATTTCCGTGAATTGCGCTATGCGAAAAAAATCTGATGTTTTTGTAAATTTTTTTTTTTTTTTCTCCAAAATCGCATTTCAAGACACTTTACGAGACTGAACAAAAACTACCTCAGGGTAGCAGGCGGAGGGGGTGGAGGGGGAGGGGCAGTCAAGGCAGGGAAATAATCTGAGAGAGAGAGGAGAGATGGCAACACTGCGGCACAGCCCGGGACCCAGTAAGCAGGGCCCAGCACCAACAACAACAAAAACATTGACAACAGGCGACGGCGGGGGGGGCAGCCAGGACAGCTCCCAACGAGTCTCGGGCTCATCCTCGAGGAAACTGGGGTCCAGGCGATGCCCGCGGACGCTGCACACTGACGGAAGTAAATGCAAGTTTGGATGCGCGGGATGGTGACCCCACGGTGTGTCCCGTGCGTTGCGAACGAGGTGCGAGCCGGAGTTTCCTTTGCATAAAATAAAGACCTATTCGTCACAAGCCGTTGCCTTGGGTGTTGCCACTCCACGTGACACCGCATATCACCACCCCCCCCCTCCCACCCCCGTCTTGTCAGCCACTGCCACCAATCATTGCCCTTGCACCTGATTGTAACTCCCTTTCGTCACCGCACATTGTCACACCCTTTGTCACCGCCTGTCGTTGCACTCTGTCAACGCGCCCCTCTGACCGTGAACTCTGGCGGCGCAAGCTGTCCGAGTGTTCGGGTTTAAACTGATGGGAGGGAGGAGGTGGAAGGGGCTCTCGTGCAGGAGGAAGGTGGCTACCACCTTGCGTCCGCCCGCCTCTACCGATCACGGCCAGGGTCACACGGGAGTCGGGAGTTCGCTTGCGCAGCCGAACGGCGCAGCTTTAAAACGCTCGCGCGCTAACGCACGCACGCACGCACGGGTGGGATGTGTAGTGCGTGCATTAGGATCCTCGGAGGGCCATTTTGACCTTGCGACCAAAATAGACGTCTGCAATAGAATCTGGCGGGGAATGATCAGAGTCGGGGCAGCAGTAGCAGCGGCGGCAGCGGCGGCTCGGGTGTCGGTCACGGGTGTCGGTCGGGGTGAGGGCGGAGTGGAGGGGATCGGACGTGGCAGGTAGCCTCGTACGCCTGGCCAGCGTCTGCAGCTGCAGGGCGAGTCGAATGGAGTTAAAGCCCGGACAAATCCGGACCTCGGCTAACGCGAAATTTGCACGGAGCCGGACGGCGTTTGGCCAATAAAATATGCACGGTGAGACCGCCTCGTAATTGTGATGTGTTTTTGATGGTTTGTTTTTACTGGGCGACAGGCGACTTCTCGCCTTCAATCATTCAAAGGGCACCCCCCCCCCCGCACTGGCAGCCGTCCCTGTGCGACACAGGTTGACTCGGCAGCTGGCCTGCCAAGTGGGGGGGAAATAATCTGCCAGTCGCGGGCAATGAGGACTAACGTGCGATCCCATTCGAGTCGTTTGCAGGTAAAACGTTTTTTTTTTCATTTGCACGCTGACGCCGAGCACGCAATGTCCTTGTCGAAACGAAGCGGACGGCGCACAGTCTTTAGAGTTCTTTTTCATTATTAAAACACCCGCACGGGTATTTACCACGGCGGCCTGCCGGATTTGAATGTTGAGCCTCTCGCAAGAGGCGTGCTGTGACGCGCGAGCGCTGGCCCACGTCCCACCGCCCCCCCACGAGTTGACGTGAATTTGTTTAACCAGAACAGAGCCCGGGGCGACGAGGATGTTACAAGCCTCGCTTGCAAGAGCGACCTGGATCACGGAAATGGCAGCAACAAAAAAAGCGAAATAAATTCAATAGACACTACAATCAGTGCCATGGGTCAAATTCGCACGCAGATGGACAGCAGCCATGCGTATAAAAGACATTCCTGCTCGTAAACAGAACGTATAAACACGTTTAATAACACAACGTTTGATTAAAGGAAACATTTTATTATTTTCAAACAGCTACGTACATATGGTAATCCAGCCAGGATGTATTGTCTACGATACATGCACGTGGAGGTTGAACCCGTCCTGTATACGATACTACATGGGTGTGGGGATTTACTTCACATCACAGATTTCTCTCAAATCTCTGGCGCCTCACCAGGGTCCCGAGTGAGATCACGAGGAGGGGGGGTGCGCGGTTGGGGGGCGGGGTGGGGGGGGGCGCGGGGTGGGGGGGGTTGGGGGCGCGCGGTTGGGGGGGGGCGCGGGGTTGGGGGGGGCGGGGGGGCGCGGGGTGGGGGGGGGTTGGGGGCGCGCGGTTGGGGGGGGGGCACGGGGTTGGGGGGCGGGGTGGGGGGGGTTGGGGGGGCGGGGGGGGGGGGCGCGGGGTGGGGGGGGGGGGGGCGCGAGGTTGGGGGGGCGGGGTTGGGGGGCAGGTTTGGGGGGGCACGGGGTTGGGGGGGTGCAAACGCTCGTTTTTGGGAAGGAATCGACGCACAGCGCCAAGTCGCTCTTCTGTGCGGACGCCCGCGGTGCGGCAGGAAGGACGCGGCCTTGAGCCTCTCGTGAGGCAGGCAGGTTGTAGCGGCCGCCCTGTGGCAGACATGTGACAGACCTGACAGACACGTGACAGACACGTGACAGCCATGTGACAGACATGTGGCAGACCTGACAGACACGTGACAGACACGTGACAGCCATGTGACAGACATGTGGCAGACCTGACAGACACGTGACAGACACGTGACAGACATGTGACAGACATGTGGCAGACCTGACAGACATGTGACAGACATGTGACAGACATGTGACTGACATGTGACAGACATGTGACAGACATGTGGCAGACATGTGACAGACCTGTGACAGACATGTGGCAGACATGTGACAGACCTGTGACAGACATGTGGCAGACATGTGACAGACCTGTGACAGACATGTTGCAGACATGTGACAGACATGTGACAGAAATGTGGCAGACATGTGACAGACATGTGACAGACATGTGATAGACATGTGACAGACATGTGACAGACATGTGGCAGACATGTGACAGACCTGTGGCAGACATGTGACAGACATGTGGCAGACCTGTGACAGACATGTGGCAGACATGTGACAGACCTGTGGCAGACATGTGACAGCCATGTGACAGCGGCTGTCCAGTCTGACGATCCACAGGAGCGGCGAAGTAAAGAAAGCGCTTTGCTCAGGGGACGCGGGGCAATGACGGTCCAGGCGGTGACTGCTGTGGTGTTGGAGCAGATATCGGGAACCAGGCGTCTCTTGTGTCAGGATGTAATCTCCACCTGGTTGTCACCCACAGCTTAAGGGTGACCACCCTCCCAAGGAAACTCCACCTGGTCCCCTTTCACTCTCTGCTTTCAGCAAGGCTCGCCTACAAAACGTTCCTTTTCGACCCCGTGCTTTCGGACCCCCGTCATTGTTTCTATGCTCCCCTTCCCTTTAGTGGCTGGGTGAGTGAGTGAGTGGGTGGGCGAGTGAGTGAGTGAGTGGGTGAATTAGTGAGTGGGTGAATTAGTGAGTGGGTGAATTAGTGAGTGGGCGAGTGAGTGAGTGGGTGAATTAGTGAGTGGGTGAATTAGTGAGTGGGTGAGTGGGCGAGTGGGTGAGTGAGTAGGTGGGCGAGTGAGTGAGTGGGTGAGCGAATGAGTGGATGAAATAGTGAGTGGGTGAATTAGTGAGTGGGTGAGAGGGTGGGTGGGTCAGGGTTAGAGTTTTTAATTGAATTTGCTACTGAAATATTGCACTCCCAGAAGGCCATGGGGCAGATGGTGGGTTGTTTAACACAAAATACTTGTATATATATTTTTTCCGTTCAGCAACAGACACACGAAAGAAACATCGTCTGCCTTTCTATACGGTTATTTATTGTATAAGAGCTTGAGAAAGCGCGACGATGGGAGGGGAATTCCAAACGTGAAGTGGTGCGAGGGAAGAATCGGGATGACGAGGGTGAGGTGGAGCACATTTTGCCGAGGGTGTCACTAATTGGTTAAAGGATGGAGTTCCAAAAAGCAGAGGCCTACTTGCAATCGTCAACACTTTAGGGACGTGCATCCCGCTTCGAGATGCAGTCGTATATTTTTTTTTTTACCAGAGCTTAAAATTATTCTGCATGTACCCTCAGAATGATGATGATGATGGTGATCTGAGCCCGATACTGGATGATGGAATGCAGCGAACTGGAAATAGTCGAGGTCAAATAGGTGGTGCCGGGTGTTTAATTTCAGTCGGAAGGATCCCGAATTTAAGCCAACGGTAGAAAGGGGCGGGAGACGCGCATCCAGCGCCCATTTGCAGGGAGGGTTCGCGGGTTCGAGTCCCCTGGCCGCCCTGGTTAATAAGGAGCAGTCTGCTTCACGGCGGACCTTGGAGGATACCGGGGGCGTTATTCGAAATACGAGTCGGTCCAGCGACACGCAGTGTCCACATTTGCAACATTTTGCAGTGACTCTCAAACTATGTGACGAGGAGAAGCATAGCAATCAATGCTCGATACTGCGACAACTTAGCAAGGACCCTCCTCAAGAAGAATCTTGAGACTCAGTGAAGCTCTCCTGGGTAAACAACTAGCGAAGGCACCTGCAGGCTGTGGATATCCCCATGTGCCCATGTCTCCCCGCCTCTAGCCGTCTCTCCCCCATGTCTCACGTCCGATATGCACGGTTGGATACGTACGGTGCGAAAGAAGTTCAACAAACACGTGTCCCACCGTGTTTCCGTGGCTTCTCCGGCTGTGTTGCTGTGTCTGGCACCGTGTAATTTGAACCCTCCCTGCCACTGCCCGACTGTGGCTGGAGTTCACACTGACCGACCTTGCACCAACAACAAAAAAAACCCGTGCAGATTTTCCCCGCACGACCGCTTTTGAACGAAAACAATAAATCGCTGACTTCTCAAAGATCCTCGTGTTTTGGCCAAAGCGGCACGGAGGCGAGACTCCTGGCTCTTGTCCAGCTCTAAGTTTAACTGAAATGTCCTGACACGGGGAAATATGAGAGAGCCACCCGGGGCTCGTCCCGCACCAGTCCGGCCACCACCACCACTGCAAGCCGCCTCCCTTCCCTGTGCACGAATTGGGCCACCCGACCGTTCATGGCCACGGTCGGGGCCATGGGGAGGCCTCACGAGCGGGACCGCAGAGGGCCTCCGCAGCTTCTTTTGGTGGATGAGGGGTTGAGAAGGAGGAGGAGAGAGGAGGAGGAGGAGAAGGAGACGCTGGCGGACTCCCCGGGTCTCCACGCCACCAGCTCTGAGTGAGCTTGATTACAAAATTGGACGCTGTCTCCTCACCCACGGACTCAACCTCACCTGCAGCAGCAGCAGCAGCAACCCTCACACTCAACGACCTCAGCAGCTGTTCCCTCACCTCGCCCCCATCCTCACCTCCTCTCTGATCTCACTCTCTCCCTGAGCTCACATCGACCCTGACCTTACTTCCTCCCTGACCTCACCTTCTCCGTTACCTATCCTCCTTTGTGACCTCACCTCCCTCTATTGCTTGACCTCACCTCCTCGCTGACCTCACCTCATTGACCTCACCCTCTGACCTCTATCCTGACGTCACCTCCCATTGACCCACCTCGCTAACCTCACCTCCTCGCTGACCTAATCTCATTGACTTCACCCTCTAACCTCTACCTCTACCCCGCCCTCACCTCCTCGCTGACCTCACCTCGTTGACCTCACCCTCTCGCCTCTACCCTGACCTCACCTCATTGCCCTCACCTCCTCGTTAACCTCACCCTCTCGCCTCTACCCTGACCTCACCTCATTGCCCTCACCTCCTCGCTGACCTCACCTCGTTGACCTCACCCTCTCGCCTCTACCCTGACCTCACTACCACATTGACCTTACGTCCTACCTGACCTCTTCCTTCGACCACACCGCCTACACAATCTCCCCTCTTTAACAACGACAACAACAACATCATCGTCGCTCATTCTCTCACCACCTCTTCCCTGACCAGATGTAACCTCCTCGCCGCGACCAAGCCCACACGTTCCGCATGCGAGACTCGAGTGAGGGAGGAGGTGACCAAGATGATGATGAGCGCGTGTTATTTCACGTTATGGGGGGGGGGGGGGTCGTGTTTGGGGGTGTGTGGAACTTGGGGGTGTGTGGGGTTATTTTTATCTCGGGGGGCTGAGGCTCGTGGATACCCGAGACGACCCCGCTGAGTCGTTATAAGAGGCAGCTCTGTGCGGGGCAGCCCCAGCTCCAGCCTCAGCTTCAGCTCCAACCACAGCTTCTCACTCCACAAAGGTGAGATACCTGTACGCACCAATCAAAGGTGAACACGTGTACACTGGGTGAGCACGTGTGTATATGATGCTGTGCACAATGACGATTTAACGCCTAAAATTACACTTTTCTCCACGCGATATAGCCCAGAGGTTGGCTCACACGGTTTAGTCCACACGAATCCCACACAATTTAACTCACACAGTGGCCACGAAAATTGCCGTGATACGGTGATACTGCGATACATCGTACATTGAGTACACGATAATCGTATCGGCCGTTTTGCAATACATCGTTTTATTTTAGATTTAAAACACTCATGTGCCGTATGTTGGACTTTTTTTGCACCCTACGTAGCCAACCGTAGCAATCGGAGGGGTACGTATGTGTGCTGTCAAAATGTGTATGAATTAACAGAAGCAATGATGATTATAGTTATCAGTAGACAACTCAATGACCCATACTTTGATACTGGCAAAAAGGTCCAATGGTGAAGCTGCTCACCCCGAGCTATAAATGACCTGATAGTGGCATTGTCTTGGTACTGTGTGATGGTGGCATTGTCTTGGTACTGTGTGATGGTGGTACTGTGTGATAGTGGCACTGTGTGATGGTGGCATTGTCTTGGTACTGTGTGATAGTGGCATTGTCTTGGTACTGTGTGATGGTGGCATTGTCTTGGTACTGTGTGATGGTGGTACTGTGTGATAGTGGCACTGTGTGATGGTGGCATTGTCTTGGTACTGTGTGATAGTGGCATTGTCTTGATACTGTGTGATAGTGGCATTGTCTTGGTACTGTGTGATAGTGGCATTGTCTTGGTACTGTGTGATAGTGGCATTGTCTTGGTACTGTGTGATGTGGCATTGTCTTGTACTGTGTGATAGTGGCATTGTCTTGGTACTGTGTGATGGTGGCATTGTCTTGGTACTGTGTGATAGTGGCATTGTCTTGGTACTGTGTGATAGTGGCATTGTCCTGGTACTGTTTGATAGTGGTACTGTGTTATGGTGGCATTGTCCTTGTGCTGTGTGATGGTGGCATTGTCTTGGTACTGTGTGATAGTGGCATTGTCTTGGTACTGTTCGCTTTTTGGCGTTCTCTGGAGTGACACCGGTGAGACGAGGCCCTAAGAAAGCTGTCTCTGGTGTAGGCCAATCAGTTTCAAAGACAATGCCATATATTACTATCAGAGCATGTTGGTTTTCATGTTCACCACAAGTACCGTGTGTGCTTAATGCAGACACGATTCCTTACAAAAGGTTTCCGTTTGGTGTTTGTACATCTGAACACTTCCTGTTTTAGTGCCAGAAAGGGTATAACCTATTCTTGTGTTTTCATAGCAATACATACATATACATAGACTCACAGTATTACATCGAAACTCATATAGATATATAGAGACCCGTAGATAAACATTAAAAACAAGCCAGAGTAGTAGCAGTATTAGTAGTGTAATTGTAGCCATGAAACCCGCTAGACCACACAGCAAACCACTGCGGTCTGAGCTCCTTTAACGGAGGAGGAGGAGGAACAGCAAAAGGACACGAACTCTCTCTGTGCCTCGGTAAATAACAGATTGTCAGTGGTGATCGTTATTGTCATTATTTATTAATTCGCCTAAATGATTATGTTAATTGTGGTTAAGGTAACACGAAAATACTTAACAGAAAAGCCCCAGTCGTAGTGCGATTGTGGGCATGCAACCCAAACTATGAGCCATATTGCAACCCCATGAAGACTCATAGATACATAGAGACCCATAGACGTAATATAAATACGTAGAGACCCGTAGAAAAACATTAGAAACAAGCCAGAGTAGTGGTATTAGTCGTGTGAGTGTAGCCATGAAACCTGATGGACCACGGTAAACCCACTGCGGTCTGAGCTCCTTCAACGGAGGAAGAACACCAAAACGGCACGAACTTTCTCTGCTGAAGCCCTCTCGTCGTGGCCAGCAGCAGCAGCAGCAGCAGAGACCTCGACATTGGCATCGAGCTCCTGAACCGCATCGCTGCTGTCACACGCAAGAAGAGAACACAACTCAGTACATTCGTCACGAATAACACCGCGCGGTGAACTTCGCAATGCACGGAGCCAACCGTGCTCATCGGAGGTGCGGGGGAAGGACAGCGAAACGAGACACAGAAACACACTTAGAGAGAAACGAGTTCAGTATCTGGATGATGATTTAAAAGTGGGCAGTTCCAGCGGCTTCATAATGTCGGTAAGGAAAGAGGCGTTCCAGACGGCCGCAGGAGCGCATCTGGAAGCAGCCGCCCGATGTCGCGGTGACCGCTAAGATCCGCTGCTGCTGTTCCGAGGATGACCGTCGGAGTTAGCGTGATGGTTCATGCTCCTTGAGATCAGTGACGCATTGCGGTCCACTTGTGGAAAGCGGATAAGATATATAAAATGCGACGTTTCATGCGACGGCCCTTCTTCGTAGCACTTAGTGGTAGATTGTGTGTTTTGTGTAACTGACGGCATGTTCGTATGTGCTGCACATTTTACGCTGCTGCAAAGACGAGACGTAGGGCGGTGTAGGGTCATGTCGCGTAAAACTGCTGTTGAAAAACTTTGAATTAATCTTTGGTCGTAAATGTAAGTATAGCAAAGCACTAGACTATAAGACAAATGTTAAACACAATTATAGTATAAACGTATGGGAAATCGATATCGCGATTATTGACATATCTTGAACATTTATATCGTACGATATCCTGCTGTTGATAATAATATCGCATTGTAAGAAACTATATCTCATCTTAAGAAAATGTTTATCTGCGTGTCGCCAACATCGACATCGATATCGTATCGTTCAAAATGGAAATGGCATCGTGAGAAACGCCGTCGCCGCGACCTTGGGAGCCACTCCGGGACTTTTGGAGGTCATCGGGCGGGACTCGCCCGTGCCTGTTGCGGCAGGCGGACCGCGGGGTGATTGTGTTGTCACGAGGAACCGAATACTTAACCCTTGCAATACTTAACCTTTGCAATACTTAACTGTCACGTGACACCCGGCCAGGAGGCTTAGCGGCAGAGCGAGAGAGACCCCCCCAAGGCGAAAGTTGCGAGTTCAAATCCCAGTTGGGTAGGGAAGCGGAGTTGGGAGTTTAATCAGCCCATCATTCATCCCTTACTGCGGCGGTTGGAAAAAATAGGTCCCGCTTTGTGGGGAAGTCAACAGAGGCTGTCCTGTGAATAGACTCACGCCCATCATAGGAATGTGGAATTTCCACCACTTTCTCAGCAGGGCTGTAAACGAAACGGCACCATTGCCTCAATGGCCATTTGGGAAATACATCATCCGGGCTTAATTGATTTGCAAGTAATCCAAATGACTGAATACTCTTAGGTTTGTGATTTAGCGATTAACTCCAAATTACAAATTTAATGAGATTAAACGTATACATTTTAAAATATATAAGTTAGCGTACAGCCTACTCATATTTGTCGCTCCACCTCAACAATTTAAACATTCCTCATTTGAAGAACCATTGCTTTATTGTAACAAAAGCCATATCCCCCGTATAGCCTTAACAGACTGCAGGGGCAAGTGCTGTTAGCGAGCACCTATGAAGGCCGGCACGGCACACGAGGGGGTGGGTGGCCAGCACTTTGCTCGGACGCCTTTGTCTCCCCAGTGGCGATGTTTACACACCGCACCAGGTACTCATTTCAGGTTGAGTCGACCCAGGGTGAGGCCCAGGACCGGTTAAAATAATCGTCACTGGTGTTGGTCGTGAGCGGGAATCGAACCCGGGTCGCCAGGTTCATAGCGCAGCGCGCTAACCGCAACACTACCGCTCCCCCACACGTAAACATACGCACACACTGTGAACCGGTTTCGGCATGCAGGGTCTCATCGGCACCGATTCCAGGCTCCCTTGCAGCGGACGCTTCTTGAAACCGCCAAATAATTTCCGATTCCCAATTATTATATTTTATTTGCGTGTCGAAATGAGGTGTCCAATTTACCCTCTGAACTTCTCGCCAGGAAGGACCCCTTCCATCAGCAGCCATGCCGTTCGGAAACACCCACAACAGCTTGAAGATGAAGTTCTCGGTGGAGGAAGAATACCCCGACCTGTCGGCCCACAACAACCACATGGCCAAGATTCTCACCAAGGAGATCTACGGCAAGCTTCGCGAGAGGCAGACCCCCAGCGGGTTCACCCTGGATGATATCATCCAGACCGGGGTGGACAATCCTGGTACGGAGAGGTCACCCATCACGGCGTGGTGGGGAGGAAGGGAGCGGGTGGTGTATGAATTTCTGTTGTGTGTTACGTGGGTTTTCCATCATCAATCTACAGAATCCGAATTTATCAGGGAACACGTGGGTCCTTGCCTATACTAAACCATGCTAAACCATGAAACTATAAACTATTCTGATTTTACCAGGTAAGGCTCACTGAGCACTCCGGCTCTTGTTTCAGGAGCATGTGGTGGCTCAACGAAGCGGCTCATCGCGTGGACATTTATAGCAGCCGAAATGCATGATCTTAAATGTGGAGGGAAAACCCGGGGGACCCGGTGAAAAATCCACATGACAACGGGGAGAGAGACCACGCAAACTCGCAAAAACACAAATGTCAAGGTCGCGATCGAACCCACGACCTCCTGTACTCCAGGCGTGGGAGTTGGAGTTAACATCTGGCCACCGCGGCGCCTGGCATCCCAGGATCGTTGATTCAAGCAAGCGTGGGACACTGCTGTGTATTACATGGGGGTTTCCATCAAGCTACAGGACCCGTATCTAACAGGGAGGTGGGTCCTTGACGATAAAATTCTCGCTGACCGGGGCAGGTAGCGTTGATTTAAGCAAGCCTGAGACACTGGGTGGTCCAGAGTGTTGCTTCACTCAAGGTGCTTGACATAGCTTGCAAAACGATGACACGCAATGGAATGATGTGATTGAAAGGAGGCGTACTACAAGGATTGAGAAATGAGCGACAGCGATAGAGGGGGTGCCTTAGGGATCACGAAAGAGTAGAGGAGGGACTAGAAGGAGTTGAGGAGCGAGGCGAGGGAAGAGATTGGGCGATGGAGAAGAGGTGAGAGGAAGGGAAGGAGATTAAGGAGAGGGACTGATTAATGCCCCACTCGCGTCTCCTGTTCCATCCCATCCACCGCGGTGTCTCTGCCATGCCCGCTTGCCCCCAGGCCACCCGTTCATCATGACCGTGGGCTGCGTGGCTGGAGACGAGGAGTCCTACGAGGTCTTCAAGGAGCTGCTGGACCCCGTGATCAGCGACCGTCACTCGGGCTACAAGCCCACGGACAAGCACAAGACCGACCTGAACCCCGCCAACCTGAAGGCACGCGCCGTCAAACTTGCCGAGTCGACGTGATGGATGGATGGTGGTGGTGATGGTGGTGGTGATGGTGGTGATGGTGGTGGTGATGGTGGTGATGGTGGTGGTGATGATGGTGGTGATGGTGGTGGTGATGGATGGTGGTGGTTGGATGGTGGTGGTGATGGTGGTGATGGTTGGTGGTGACAGTGGTGGTGATGGTTGGTCGGTGACGGATGGTTGGATGGTGATGGTCTTGATGGTGGTTGGCGGTCGTGATGATGGTTGGTCGTGATGATGGGAGGGTGAGGCGTGTCCTACCGCTAGCTCGTTCGCCGCTTGTATGTTGCAGAGGTTCGCGATTCTAATCACAGCGGCCACCCCGATCAGTACGGCGAGTATAATCACCGTAAGGGATGGTGATGATAAGCGCCGTCTGCTTTAGAGTGGACGTTACAGATCCCTTGGCGTATTTCGCAAGAGTGAAGCCATTGCGTGCTGGCGTCTGGCTCCACATATCCATATGAGTTCTCGGCTTGGTCAAAAGAAAACATGAAGCTCGGAGCTGAGTGTGGTAGAGGTAGATGATGCGTGGTGGATAATGACAGACACGTGGTGGTGGTGGAGCTCGCGAGGTGTGTGATGATGATGGAGCTGAGAATGTGAGGATGATAGTGGAGCTAGTGAGGTGTGTGATGATGACGGATCTGAGAGTGTGAGGATGATGATGATGATGATGGAGCTCGCGAGGTGTGTGATGATGATGGAGCTGAGAGTGTGAGGATGATGATGGAGCTAGCGAGGTGTGTGATGATGACGGAGCTGGCAGTATGAGGATGATGATCATGATGATGGTGGTGGAGCGGTCCGTGAGGATGCTGCGTCCGTGTGTGTTCCAGGGTGGTGATGACCTGGATCCCAACTACGTGCTCAGCTCCAGGGTGCGCACAGGACGCAGCATCAAGGGCTACACGCTGCCCCCGCACTGCAGCCGCGGGGAGCGTCGCGCGGTGGAGAAGCTCGCCATTGAGGGTGCGGATCACCCCCCCCCCGCCATCCAAAGGGAATTCACTCACCCCACGGGGCTCCACCCCCCCCCCCCCCCCCCCCCCATTAACGGGAGATCCTCTTCACCCTACCATCTAAAGGGGCCCTAACCCCACCCCCCCCCCAAGGGGCTTCACCCCCCCCGCAGGGATTCCATAACCCCTCCTCTCATGCGGGAACGCCACCCCCCCCCCCCCCCAACGGGGGCTCTACACAACTCCCCTTAAAGGGGGATCCTCTCCACCCTACCGTCTAAAGGGGCTCCCCCCCCCTCCCCTCCACCCCAATGGAGGGATCACATCCTCCCACAACTCCTCACAGGGAATTAACTTCATTAGGAGCTTCATCCTCTCACAGAGGTGATCTCCACAGGGTCTCCATCCCCGGAAATGCCGTAGATGATGAGGATACCCCTTGAGTCCCCATTTGTCTCTGTGAGTCCCCACGTGTCCCCACGTGAGTCCCCACGTCTGCCTCCTGCGAGTCCCCTGACGCTGCCCCCCCCTCGGCCCCCCCCCCCGCAGCCCTGGGCAAGTTGGACGGAGACCTCAAGGGGAAGTACTACGACCTGAAGACCATGTCGGAAAAGGACCAGCAGCAGCTCATTGACGACCACTTCCTCTTCGACAAGCCCGTGTCCCCGCTCCTGCTGTGTGCCGGCATGGGCCGCGACTGGCCGGACGCGCGAGGCATCTGGTGAGCCGAGTCCCTCCTCAAGCTCAGGAGATACAACATGGGACCATTTGTTGTTGTTGTTGTTGCCAGTATCAAAGGATGAACAAGAAATAATAATGGGGTTTAACCCTTTCTGGCAATAAGGGGCCATCCATTGAGTGCGTACGCATGGAGGGGGGGGGGGGGGGTAACCCAAATGCGTAGCTTGCGTATGGGGGGTCTACTGACAATGTTCATAGCATAGGAAACGGGGGGGGGGGGGGTGAAGCCTCGAAAATATTTTGTCTACATTGGCCTTCAACTGAGTTAGATAGTCCGGCGGTGGCCTATCTGTTTGCTTAAAGGGGGGGGGGGGAGGGGGTGCGTCACGCGAACGCACGCAGGTTGGGGGGGGGAGGGTTGTAAAAAGTCCGCGTGCACTAAAGGCGTCAGCACCGCCCCACCAAATATTTAAGCCGCCACCGAAGATGGACCTCTGCTCCCACGTCGGTCTTTGTGGGTATTGAAGGGCATGTCCGGAGAGCCTGTGGGGTGGAGTCTTGAGGCTCGTGTGTCCATGATGGTCGCGAACTTTGTGAGGTGTGCTCGGCGCGTTGGGGAGGTAAGGGGGCTTCGATCAACTCTAAACTAAACTACAGTAAATGTTTTGTTATTAAACTAAACCTTTTTTTCGATTTAAAGCTTTCGTGACTGCAAGGATTCATCTTCTTTGGTTCTTTCGGTAAAGTCACGTAGAATGAGAATAAAATAATAAATCAATAAAATAAAATAACACAGTTAAATTCTCACGACGTTTCGGCCACAACACAAGTGGCCTTCATCAGGTGAAGGGACGAGATTGTCTGGAGGACAGCACTGGAGCGAACACAGCCAAGCTCAGACCGCAACCTTTAAGCTGTGTGAGAAGAAACAGAGCGCCTTGACAAAGGAATTAGCATAAAAATTAGCATTTAATATTTTTTTAATCAGATAATGCCCACTGAGCTATGCAGCTCTCTTTCAGAAGCGACCTGGCCACAAATGATAACTCAACGAAGTGGCTTGTCACGTGGACATTGATAGCAACCAAATGCTCTAAACGCACTCTGATTCTAAATGTGGAGAGCAAACTGAAGAACCTGGAAACAAAAATTCACGCGACCACGGGGAGAGAGACACGCAAACTCCAAATACACAGCGGGCGTCGGGGTCATTACTGAACCCACGACCTCCTGCACACGAGGCGAGGTAGTTAACATCTCCTAGCCACCGTTGTCCCATCCTTCGCCGACCTCCCGTCGCCACGGTCACCGTCTCGTGTGTGTTCCCCCCCCGCCCCCCCGGCTCGCAGGCACAACAACAACAAGACCTTCCTGGTGTGGGTGAACGAGGAGGACCACTTGCGCGTCATCTCCATGCAGAAGGGCGGCAACATGAAGGAGGTGTTCAACCGCTTCTGCACGGGCCTGCAGAAGGTGATTCCCCCCCCCCAGACACCCCCCACCCCACGCGTGGCCACGGCGCCTCGAGGTCACGGCGGAAACAGAGGCCCGAAGAACGGACGGCCAGAGGGCGCCCTTAGAAATGTCGTGAGCTCGGCCCCAATTAATCAGGGGCGATTGGGCGTTCAGAAAATGAGTGGTTTCCAGGCGCCACGTAGGAACCAAACGCAGTCTCCAACTCGAGTCTCCAGCTTGCGTCGTCGCTATCTCTCTAGCCGCTCTCTGTACGTGTTATGATGAAGGGGCCATTTGCCCGAAACGTCGCCTGCTACGTCTCTTTCCTTTCCAGAGCGATTGACGAATGCGTCGAGTTTGTTGTTGTTTCAATCTAGATTTGAAGCTTTCGTGACTGCAGGAAATAAAATAAAATAAATCACGACGTTTCGATCGCAATTCAAATTGTTGTTGTTGTTAATTGTGCCCGTGCACCATTGCCAACGCAGCATCACCAACACAATTCGTTTAACGTCGAGGAGAGATCGCCTTAGGGGTCAACCGTCAAAGTCACGAAGAGTCGTTGAATGTAAAGAGCTCATTAAGAAAAGCAAAACATCGGTGTGGAAATTAAATTAGGGCGAAGTATCGTTTGCATTGGTCTCATTGGAGGTGTGCCCGAGTTTTCCGGTCGGGCGTCACAAGCGATTATAATAATGATGATGAACATCGTAACATAGCCAATGCCACGGTGTATCATGAACAACATTTCACAGTGAATGCAATCTGCGTGCACGACGCAACCGTAATTAATTCAGCCGCAGAGAGCTGCCAAAGCGATGCGAAGTGGCGATAGAATTCGAGCCACGTTGCGTGGCTTTATGGGTCGGGTTAAAGCAACTCGGCTCGAGCTGTGAGCCACAGACACCCGACTTGGGACGTACAATCCGCAGATTGCCACCAGGGGGCAGGGTGACTCGAGAGGGCCAAGAGCCGAGTGGCACCACTGGTTTCCAGCGTGGCTTTCAGCCGTGAGTGGTCTAACCGGGTGCTCCGGCACAAGCACTTAGGTTGATGTCAGCACAGTCGCCAATGGCGATAAGGCAATTTGTTGGGGCTATGATTTGTGGCCAGGTCGCTGCTGAAAAATACATTATTATCTCGGTGGGCTTTACCTGGTAAGATTTAAAAAAACACAATCATTTAGTTTGTATATATTTTTTTAAAAGCGATTTGTTTATCTTTCCTATACGTTGCACTGCGATCGTGTTTATCTATTGTTATGTTGTTGTAGCGTTGACCCACCCCTTACTGGACATCTTTGCAAAAGGAGCTTTATAGCTCATCGGATTCCTCCGGTATAAATAAATATTCTGATTCAATAACACGGGCACCCGTTTACGTTTGGATCGGTTGCCACGTTTCAACCGATCCAACGGTTGAAACGTTGCAGCGTTCCGAGTGTGAATAGGAGCCAACTGTAGGGACCTCAGCTGGTTACTTGTACACCGCTCGTCAACTCCGGCAAACCTCACAGAGTTTCGGCAATTTTCTTCAGGAGGGTACCGCCAGGTCTTCACGACAGTGTTGTCGATGTTTCTCTGTGCGCGCGATCCCGAACGAATGACGCGAAGCGTAATTTTTCAGCATTCGGATGTTTGGCCAACACCAGCTACATTGTCTGCGTGTGTTTGTTTAGCTACTCTCTCTTAACACGTGGGACATATTTCCCAATTTAATGCGAGTTCCGATTGAAAATAAATCAACGGTTAACTTCTTGAAGATTTCAACTGTGCGTGTACACGTTCACGCGAAGGAAAAGGATGTACAGCGCACACAACACATACACACAACACACACAGAGCCCGTCGTGATGTGCACGTGTGTATGCGCCGGGCAGATCGAGGCGATCTTCAAGGAGAAGGGCCACCCCTTCTCGTGGAACGAGCACCTGGGCTACATCCTCACCTGCCCCTCCAACCTGGGCACAGGTCTGCGTGGCGGCGTCCACTGCAAGCTCCCGCACATGGCCAAGCACCCCAAGTTCGAGGACATCCTCCACCGCCTGCGTCTGCAGAAGCGCGGCACTGGTATGGGGGTGGGGGGGGGTGGGCTACGCGCCTCACCTATGGTTAGAGCCGAGCGATAGAACTGAGCAGTAGAACCGAGCGGCAGTGGACAGCGGTACAGCCGAGCGGTAAACCAAGTGGTAGAATCGAGCGGTAGAGCTCAGTGTCCATGCCGGGCCGCGTTCGCAGTCACCGATTGGCTGCCTCGGCCACGAACATGGCGGCTCAGCTCAATCTTGAGAGGTGCTCGACTGATATCAAAGATGCCTCGACGAGTGAGCGGCTCAGCCGTGGCCTGACACAGGCCCGGCTTGTGGAAATCCCGAACACGGTTGGGGCCGTGCTGAGATGGCACGAAGCCGGCTCATTGAGCCGAGCCCCGAAGCAGACACGACCCCTGGGGGTTTGATATTCCACGAAGCTCATGTTCCACCCTAAACCGCATCCACTGCAGAGACCATAGGCAGTAGATGCGGATACTTTGATGCACAAATGGAATATTTTAAAAAAACTCCCCAAAAGTGTTGCGACTGCGGTCATCCAGATCAGAGACCGTACAACGTATAACGATGCTATGCCCCGATTAACAAACACGAAGGCGACATCGCAGGGATACACGCCACTCCTCTGTTCCCGATGTGGTTATCTGGGCTTGACCACCTTGAATGTGAAATTGTGGTTGTTGCTCTGCATCGACATCACGAGCCTGGCGACCGCAGAGCCACCATGCGGTCAGGGCAAAGCAGCAGGAATAAAGTTCAAGCGGTAGAGCGAAGTGCGAGCTGGGCTTGCACTGTGCCCCGGGGACACTGCGGCGGCAGTGTACACACTGTGCTTTCCGTGCGTCAGAGCACCGGCCACGTTGATGACCACATATTGGCACGGAACCAGGGCACGTGTGGCCGGAACCAACGCTCACACGCCTTCCCCACCCTCCTCGGTACTTCAGGTTCGCACGCCGCGCCACGTACTCATTTAAGGCTGGCTATGGGCCTCCCCTGTCGACTCGGCCATCAATGAGTGCCGAGTGCTGTGGTCTGCAAGCGTCACCACTGGGGGGGGGGGGGGAAGATAATGGCTGTCCGTGGTGCTGGCTACAACCACGCTGTTCCACGTGTGGCCACGCGAGCTTCAATATAGGGCCTCAATGAGTCCTCGCTACAGTACCAACAACGTGGTGCAACAAGGCCACGTTGGGAAAAGCGTTTGTCTGTGTGTGCGTGCGCAGGCGGCGTGGACACGGCGGCCGTGGGCGGCGTGTACGACATCTCCAACGCCGACCGCCTGGGATCGTCCGAGGTGCAGCAGGTGCAGCTGGTGGTGGACGGCGTGAAGCTCCTCATCGAGATGGAGAAGAAGCTCGAGAAGGGGAAGACCATCGATGACCTCATCCCCGCACAGAAGTAAACCCCCCAAGCGGGTCCCCCGCCACACCCCCCACCGCCCCCCAACTTGCCCACAGTCAACTTTTGTCAGTCGCAGGCGCAGGCTGGGTGCTCACGCAGCTTCATCCGAGATTCCAACAAAATACGCAGCGGTCGTGATTGATACGGGGTGACCGAGGGAGGGAGTCGGTCGGGTCACGAGGAATTTGGGAAAAGGTTGAATACTTGGACCGGATTCACCTGTAACACCACCACCCACCCCCGCCCCAACTACATCTCGTCGATTGAGCTGCAGCGCAGCAAACAACGCTGCACATGTGCGCTATGGGGGGGGGGGGGGGGGAGAAGACGGCCCTTCTCGTTGGGTTCACTGACGGGCCAGCGCCAGGGGGGCCTTGTCATCGGTGCGCGCACGCTCCATCGCTCGTGCCGGTGTGCTCTCCCGTCACGGCATACACACACTGCAGCCGCGAGTGACACATTACACACCGCGTCAACACGAACAACTGCCCCCCCTCGCTCTCTGCAAGAAGGAAATATTGGATGGAATAAAGCATTAAGGCAGCAGTGGCCACTCCGCCGTGGATCTCGTGTCTGTGCTTTGAGCGTGTCGATATCCCTTCCGCCTTCCTGCACGTCAACACCCCCCCACCCCCCCCCCCCCCCAACTGCTCTCAATGCTGGAGATTACGCCAACAGGATAGCGAGGCGAATTATAGAAACGACCGATAAAACTGACACCGCATACGCGTTAACATACCGATTGTTATACAACTTGACCGTTCTGAATCTTTCCGAATGACCGTAGTGACGTTAGTCGGTATTAAGAGGCTGTCCGTAAAGTAAAAGGCATCCCAAACTTGGGCCTAGTTACAATACTTGTACAATTCTGGTCACACGCGCACGAACAATTCGAAGTTGCACCCGCCCAAAAAAACGTTCCTTTAAATTAGACGGCAACAAACAAGTGCCTCCTGTGATCTCGAGAATATAGTAACAGAGACGGTGAAGGTTGTCAAGTATAGTTATTACTCTCGTGCCTTTAATTAACCTGCCGGCACAATAGGGCAGCTGCTTCACAAGAGCACCCCGGTGTGACGCAGGGCGGCAAGCGCACACACACACGTGGGCGCGCATGCGCGCGCACCCATCCGCGCATCGGCAAGCAGAAGCAAAACCAGGGCAAATAAATTTGGCAAGTGCATAATTTACGTCACGTTTATTACACGTTCACATGAAAGAACTACAGTTTTTTTTATTGACAACCAAGCCACTCATTTAAAACTTTTTTTTTGAGAAAAAGAAAAGCAAAAAAGTAGTAAAGACAATGAAACTACACAAGATGACAGAGTGACCTGTGAGGATTATTACAGGATTATGTACAGCCCCAAATATTCATATTTCACAAAACATGATTAGGGTGAGCTCAAACCAGCAGGGATCGCACATGGGTAAGGGAGGGGGGCAGGGTGGAGGGGGTGTGGGGGGGGGTAGGGTGGAGGGGGTTGGGGGGCAGGGTGGAGGGAGTGGGTAGAGTCGGGGAAGGGAGGGGGAGCAGTAGTTTGATAGCTGAGACTGGGGACTTATGGGAGGGAGGAGTACAAAGGACAGAACCTCCAGGCAAGGCTCAGAGAGTCAACTTGGCAGTGAGACCCAGCCCATGCACCCCCACCTGCCCCGCGTCTCGTGCTGGTAACTTTGTACAATGATTATGGAAATGTTCCTGGACCAGGAAGTCCTCACCAGTCTCATGACTCGTATTTCAGCAGGGTCCCACTACATTGGGATGTTTGGCCAATTATATAAACGAGTGTTTTGGCTTCGTGCGGGAGAAAACTGGTATACCCAGGAAAAACTTACGCGTACAAAGGATCACACTCAGATCCGCACAGATAGGATTCCAGAGAACCAATTTTCTGTACGGCCGACCTCCTAGCAACTTTCCAGCCCCAAATCCTACAACACCTGGTATTACCTGGCAGTCTCCCTTCCGCATTACAATCCAGGCTCAACCCTGCTCTCATAACTTCCGTATACTTTGGCGAGATCCGGAGAAATTTCAGAGCGATTTGACCGTGGGTGCGATTTTCACGACAGCGTTAACGTGACGTTGATAAGGAAGGTGGAGCTTCACTGCCAAAGGGGATCATCCGAGAAGAGGAGGAGGATCCTTGCATTGCTCCGCGTGTTTATAGCTGCAAAGTGTTGTTCGTCTGCGTGCGACCCCGGTTTGCCGCCACCCACGCACGCGTACGACGGACACGCGCGGTCGCCACCCCCCCCCCCCCCACTACACACAACTTCCTCCCAAGACAGGAAATGTACAGAATCAAGTTTTTATTTTTTCTCCCAAGTTGGCTATTTTTAGACTCCTCGGTTAAACTTGAAGAAGTCAACTGTTTGGCATAGGCATAAACTCGTACACCTGACCCTCGACTCCGTGCTGGAATGTGCGCACCTGCCTCCAACTGCCTTTTGCAGGCGTCGCCTGTATGTACAGAACCGCTCTGAGCACCGTCCCCCTAACACTGGCACAGAGGCTGCGCTTCCTCTTGTCCTAAAAGGCGTTCGCACTCTCGCTGTGACATCACGAGCTGCGTGCTCTCACCACCACCCCCGGGCCCCCCCCCCTTCACCCTCTCACCCAAACAAGCTACAGCCACATACATTAGGTCAGTCTCAATAATTATCATATCTACTCAAACACTATTCATAAGGAAGACTTTCCAAATGCTTTAAATTTGTTTATGACTTCACAGCTTTGTGCAAACAAATGATTGAAATCCCCATATTCTTATAATATTTACATCTCTTTTTTTAATCCTGCCTTTGTTCTGCCAATCTACCCTGGTATCAAAAGTATTTTCAGCTTTTAACCTGCCCCCCCACCACCCCTCCCCAGGATAGGAAGGGGGGGGTAACTTATTGAGACAGGCGGCTAGCCAGTCACAATAGCAGCTGAGCATCAAACACACACACCAGACAGCCATCCACACAACCATCCACACAAGCAACCAGCCGGACAGCCGGTCAGCCGGTCAGCAAACCAGCCGGTCAGCAAACCAGCCGGTCAGCAAACCAGCCGGTCAGCAAACCAGCCGGTCAGCAAACCAGCTGGTCAGCAAACCAGCCGGTCAGCAAACCAGCCGGTCAGCAAACCAGCCAACCGCACAACCAACCAGCCAGTCAGCCAACCAGCTAACCGCACAGCCACCCAGCCAGACAGCCAACCAGCCATCCGCACAACCAACCAGTCAGCCAACCAGTCATCCGCACAGCCAACCAGTCAGCCAACCAGTCAGCCAACCAGCCATCCGCACGGCCAACCAGTCAGCCATCAGCCACTCGGGCCAACCACAGATAGCCAGACAACCAGCAAGCCAGCCAGCCCGGCCAGCTACAGCTGGCTAGGCAGGCCAAGACTCAAAACAAAGTGCTCATCAAGTGTTAGGACAGCGCACAGCGGGAGGAGAAGCACTAAACCGGGTACCTGGGTTCAGGAACCAAACCAGCTGACCGACCAGGCTCTCCTCAAGTCAATGTCCAGTAACCAGACAGCCAGGGCAGGAGACCAAACACTGACTGGCCCGTGAACAGCCGGCAGCCGGAAGCAAATCCCGTAAGCCCGCTGGGGCCCTGAGCCGGGCAGGTGAGCGAGCGGGCGGCGCGGGGGTGGCGGGGGTGGCGGGGGGGCAGGCGTCACACCCCCGGCGAGGTTGGCTGGCTGGGCCCCTGCTTCTTCGACTTGGTCTTTCGAATTCCCAGATATGTAGCTACTGCAACAAAACCACCCGACGTAAGCAAGCACGGCTCGCTCGCTCGCTCACGAGCAACGCCAGCATGACTTACGTCCCCGACGCCGTTTAACCGGCACCGTGGCCAAAAAAAGGTGCTCTCGGTGGGCACCGCGCGCATCACACGACGACACGTGCGCATGTGCGCGCGAGCGACCGCATGCGCATATGCATTTATGGCTGTAAAGCTGTTTTAAGTCCAAGATATATGAACTGTAACAATTTAAAATTCAGGAAACAGCCTGCCTGCCTGAGGCGGTCTGCAAACAGTTAAAATGTCGCGAAAAACTTGAATCTAACATAGGAGCTTAACGTGTAGGTTTTGGCAGCTAACATTATGACTCGTAGTTGATTTTTGGGTCAGGCAACCTGGATCTTGTCCTGAAGACGGCTGGAAAAGTTTAGTGCGAAACATCGAATCTAAATCGCTGTAATTGGTTGAAAGGAATGCGCTTCAACTTGAGCCGAAACCATAATTGGTGCGTTAAATGCAAGTACGCGTTAATGGAATTTTTTTTTGCCAGACGGTAATGTGGCCTCACCCAAAAATAAATGATGAAACAGAGGAGCTCTGGGAATTCCTGGCACATGGCACAGGGCAGCGATTTCAAGCAGAGCCTTCTCGGGATTGGGGTCCTACTCACCGTGTCTGGGATAGCTGCCCGATGACCTCAGCAGGAAGTGCCTGTACTTTTTTTTTACACGTGCAATCTCTGCATGCAGCTGACGCGATTGCATTATGCGGGTGCCGACGAAAGGCACGCCACTAACGTCAATGTGCTCAGAATTTGTTACCTTGGACTTTCAGGTCTGGCTCTTTAACTCCGGGCTGTGGACCTTCAAAATGAGAAAACACAAAAGTCAGTCGAGCAGGCAGCAGCGGCAGCAGGGGTAGGCTACGTGAAGAAGCACAGAGGCTCAAGGAGTGATTGAGCACCAACCGCCACACACTCTTGATAGCGAGCATTAGGAAGGAGACGTACGGGCGGTCTTGGCACCCGGGGTGCTGGTCACGGCAGGGGCATGCGCGGAGGCGCTCTTGGGAGGGTCCATCGTGACTCTGGACACAAATACCAGGCGGCGAGGCTTCTAAACAGCTGACAGGACCTCTACACACCTGATAAGATCCCTACACACCTGACAGGATCCCTACACACCTAACAAGACCCCTGCACACCTAACACTCTCTATGCCTGACAAAAAAACTTCTCAACATGTAGAAATTGTGTCAACAACTCACAACATCAATAACTAACTGTCAAACTGCTTAAATCACTGCTTATAACCAGGCAAATATTCTAAGCATGCAACAAAGCTTAGCACCCTCTCAAACACCTGATACACACCTGACAAGATTCCAAGACAACATTTTAAATTACCCTCAAATTTCTGAATTGGAAAACACATAGCGACAATGCCCCCTACAACAAAACTGAGCAGGATCCTCCTAAAATATGTATTAATATTCACAGCGAGACATTCCTGGGTATATACATGTTAATAATGTTAAGACTACACTTGACAAGACCCTTAAATGCCTGACAAGATCCCTAAATGCCAGACAAGATTCCTTAATGCCAGACAAAATCCTCAGCATAGCTTCTGTACAAGCAACAACACTTATTAGCACCTAAAAAGCTTCTGACAGTTAAGATAGATGTCGGAACTCATGCTTTCTTTGGAATAGCTAGAAAAGACTTCTCACATGGAACAATTTTTGCAGGACAAGGAAAGATATTTACCACACTGCACACACTCACAACGCCAAGCAAGCCTTCTGGAAATAGCTTTGAAAAAAATCAACAATTCTACCTCAACGAAATGAGGCATCAGCCAGTTGATATGATTCGGGTAGAAAACCCAAGAGTCATTATATTATCGCTTTCACTCAAAATTTAAAGTGCCAAAATACACAATGCATTCAATACAAATTATTGCAATCCTCCCAACCACTAGCAAAGCAGCGCTTCGTAATACCGCACGCTGCGCACAGGCGGTAACGTTCAGATGCACATTCCAACCGTCGTGGCAACATTCCTCGTAAGCGGAGTTTATAATTGACGAGACGCTGCGTAGCAAATTCTGTTCACGCAGACGAAGGCGTCTGCACCGCGGTGTGCCCCACACTCTCAAAATCGGGCCAAACCAACGGCTACAGTAAACCACATGCAGTGGCTCCCATCTCTAATGTGGTCATAACACGGCAGCTGGAAGTGCAGCCGTGCAATCCTACAGAAGGAATCTCTGGCACGCCGAAACCCCGGCACAGACGAAGCTCGGCAACCACCAACTAGCCTTGCCCACCTCTTAAGCCTGTTTGCACGAGTAGGGCAGCAGGGTAAAAATCCACGCCTAAGATGGCGCTCGAGGTTGCGTGTGAGAGAGCCCCATGTGCGTGTGCTCGCCAGGGCACATGCAATGCTGCCGCCACTGTTGCCGCCGCTGCATCTCTACCTGCGGCTGAACTTGGAGGTGAGCTTGGAGAAGATGGTGGAGGGGCCGCGGCGAGACTGGGACAGTGCCTCGTGGTCGTGGGAGAGGGAGGGTGACGGCGGCGCGTTGTAGGCCGCGCTCCGCGCCGTCTCGGGCAGCTGGCCCCCGTGCACGGTGTTGCGTGCCGACACACCCCGCGAAAAGTAGCCCGTCTCCGGCGCGTTGTTGTTGATGCTGTGCGTGGACGGCGACATGGCCGGGATGCGCTGGCCCAGGACGGAGCTGCGGCGGCAGCACCACCACCGGGCAGGTGAGCGAACGCGGGGGTGGAGGGAAACGAGAGGGCGCAGAGGGCAGCACCGACCGGACGACAGCGAAGGGAGGCACCGGCGGTACGACATGAATTAAGTGTCGTAACGAGGTCTGCCGCAATACGGCAAAACTATTTGTCGTTCGATATAAAATCCAGGAGAGTCGTACCTATAAGTGTGGTTAACTATCGCGATCCTAAAAATCGCTCATTTTAATTCTCTTAAAAGATTTTATATTCCTGAAAATATTAAATGAAGAAACTAATCAAAATGTTTAATGCATTTTATTCATTAAATAAGTGTTTTCTCACGTAATTTCCAGCATAGCGGTTGCATACCACCATTTACGAGTTCAATAATTTATTTAATCTTGTCTTGTGTAACTCACATTAGGTGCATTAGAAGCAGAACAGATCGCTAACTTATAAAGGATTTGTAAGACTCGTGGCAGGTTATGTTGCGTGAACTGCCGTTACGAAACTGTAGTCGGACCGGAAGTACCGCAAATCACAAAAACAAACGCGACAAGAATGCAACCGAAAATTGCATCGTCGCCATCGCGGCAACGCTTGTAACCGTCGGGGGTTGTCCGTGCCGGGGCAGTTTCTCGACGGGACTCAAAAAGCCCCAGCGTCGTCTTGCCAAAGGGCCCAGAGCTGGAGGACCCCGTGGGGGGTAAACCCACCCCACGCCCCCCCACGGGCGTGTGCAGGCAACCGGCAGTAGCGACGGCGGCTTACTTTGATCGTGGCGGGGCATCGCGGTCCTCGATGCGTTGCAGGGCGGTCCGGGAGGGGCGGCTGGCTGTGGCTGGAGACACGGTTTTGTAATGGCGGATGGGGCGCGAGGTGGTGGGTGGGATGGAACCGGAGCTTGGGATGGCGGCAACAGGGGGGCTAATAATATAGCCCACGGCGCACCGCGAACACAAACGTGGAAACCACGCGCAAAAAAAACCGAGGGGAGAAATAAACGTGGCGGTCAGCACCCACGCGCGCGCACACGGGGAAAATAAACACACGACGCTCGCGAAACCACAAACACTACTCGGTTGCGGCCATGGCCGATGATCTAGAGCCAGGGCAATGAGTCGATTAAGTTGATTAATCAATAAATATATTAAAGCAACTACTTTTTTTGTGGTTGATAACTCGGGCCCCAATTAAAAATGGCAGTTGACCCCTACAAGCCACGCTCGGTGTCACTTGCGTGGTGATGCTGATGACATCACCAAGCCCTGCCCATCACCTCCAGTTCAGCGGCACACGTTGGAGAAGAGGCAAGACTTTTTCTAACTATTCATGTGTAATCCGATTCATTGTGTAATCGAACTGATAATTAGTACAGCAATCAATAACGTGTCTAATTGGATAGCCCAGACCTTGGCCATTCCCTGTTGTCTCATACCCCTTTTCCACTTTCACATCTGAGCCATGCTAGCACAGGGCCAGCACAACATGCGTGTTTTTCTACTGGCTATTTGCCGTGTGAAGCCAGAAACAAGAGCCGTGCTACTGGTCTTGCATAACATCCGCATCTGGCTCGGGGCCCAGCTGGACTGGGTGTGGGGAAATTGGTTTATGCAATGCATTCAACGTGCGTCTTGACACCACACGTTGCACGTGACTTCCGCGGCATGGCTAGGCAACTCTCTCAGAACCAACACCTCCCCCCTCTAATGTCTCATTCATAATATCCCATGCATGGAAACGTCACAGATAAAAGGGGGACAAAATGCCAGGCAAATAATACAAATAAATCAATGGCACAAAGGCAATGCATATGCTCAATGAAGAATGATGGTACGGCTGCATGGAGATGGATTAAAGTTTATGCAATGCAGAAGCACTCACCAAGCCCTGCTGGGTGTGTCGGTGTGTGCTAAGGGATATGGTGGGTGTGGCGTCTGTGATCTCCAGGCAAGGGGACACGTGACAACTTTGCACGGTGCCTGCGAGTGCAGTGCGATTCCTCTGAGCGTAGTGCCGTGCTTGCGAGCGTGTAGTGCGGTGCCTGCGAGAAGGCGTGCGGGTGCGATTGAGAATGAGTGCGGTGCCTGCGAGTGCAGGTGCGGAGGTTCTCCACCCACCCGGCGTCCTTGCCGTTGTGCGTGGAGGGGTGGCGCTCGCCGCTGCTGCGCTCGCAGATGTAGGTGTTGCGCCGGATGATGCTGCTGGGCAGTGGGGCCGCATCACTCTGAAACCCACAACGAGCACCTGAGTCCTGGCCCAGGCTCCGCACAACTGCAGAGCGAGGAGCCCTCGCGCCGCATGCACTCCGCACGCACTCCGCACAAACGCCGCCACGTATCTGCGACGCGCCGTGCCTCGAAATCCACGAGCGGCTCTCAACGCCGCACTCCTACCGGTCTCGAGTGCCGTCAATAAAGAGGCACTCCGGCGAAATCGCTGCGACGACGCGCCAATACGTTGTAATGCGTCAATGCGGTGAAGCTGCCACAGTGTGACAGCGCCACACTTGACTGGGGTACATGAATAAAGATTTTCAATGGTGCCAGACTACTGTGTGGGACACAGCCACGGGATCCATCTGCAAGGGCTGTTTGTTTTTTGGGTAATGCCTTCTTTTCACACAAGTACGACACCGAGGTGGCCGGGTGACTCACAGGTCAAAGGGACTGAGCTGGCACACCACTGAGGTCCTGGGTTTGAATCCAGGTTTTGGCCGTCCTGTGATTAAAAACTGGGATGATATAATCTTAGTCCAGTCACCGATTGCAAAAAAAAAAAAGATGTAAAATTTGGTCCTATGCTTTATTTGGATCAACGATTGGTTTTACCGTCGCTAGACGAACATTACTCTATGTGGCAGGGCGAGTGAAACAGTGCCGCCCCTTTACTCTGCAGATAAGAGGTCACTTGAAGGGGATCTCACAGAAGCAGCATTGCGATATCCGCGTGGAGGGAAGGGAGCACGAGCGCGAACGTACGGTGGGTATGGCGGACGCCTTCTTGCGGTTGGAGCTGGGCGTCTTGGTGGGACTCGTCTGCTTGCCCAGCAGGGGGCTTGTGGCGGGGTCCGTGCGCCTCGTGGACGCGCTCGAGTTGGCCCAGCGCCGCGACGTTGCGCTCCCGTCGGTGCCGCCGCCGCCGCCGCCGCCGCCGCGCTCCAGCTCTGACGTGTTGGTCTGGCTGCGCCGGATGTACGACGTCGACGTGGGGATCGTGAGGCCCGCTGCAACAAAAATCGGGACACGGCGGGCGTCGGGCAACGCAGATGAGCAGAATCTATAAAAGTATAGCTCTTTTTCAGAAGCGACCTGGCTATCACAAATGATAGCTCAAACGAAGTGGCTTATGTCGAAATGTATAGCAGCCACATACTCTAAACGCATGTTGATTCTAAATGTGGAGGGAAAAACCCGAAGGACCTGGAGAAAAATCCACGTGACCACGGGAGAGACACACAAATTCCAAATTTACAGGTGGTCAGGGACGGGATCGAACCCACAACTTCCTGTATACCAGGCGAGGTGATTAAGATCTCACCACTGCGGCGCACCCCAAGCACGGGGGGGTACGAACGAACGCTGACACTCAAAAGCACTGTTATTGGCTGGAATGAAGGTCGGATGGACGCAACGTTACCACGAGTGGGGCAGGGCACTGTGTGAAGGGAATGGGCACTCACGGTTGTCGTTGGCACGCTGCCGGTTCTTCTGGTTGGTGGTGACGCTGCGTTGCACTCGAGAAACGGAGGGAGAGGGGGAGGGGCCCAGGCCCCCACCTCCGCCCTCTGTTCCCCCACGTAGCTTTGGCAGCGAGAGGGTGCTCCCCGACCATGAGTTACGGCCACTCTGTAGTAGCCGTCAAACACAATCGCTATCAAACAACCAAACACACAAAGACAAATATGCCCCACTAGCTTTACTACCCGGCTTCGCCCGGGACTTGGATTCTTGTCTTGGATTAATACACGGCCTACACGGAGGGTGGGGGGGGATGCGTGACGTCAGCAGGCACACTGCGTGACGCTGCCGCATGCGGGTGACATCACAGATGTGACGTCACTGCTCACTTGCCGTGCAAAATATATCCATTATTGCACCCCTCCCCCCCAAAATACAAAAGTCTATTTTTTATACTTTTTGCATTGTGTACAGTCTGGAAGCTACCCACATGCCAAATTTCAAGATTGAACAGACACACATATTCACAAATTTCCCTTTTATTATTTCACGCTATTATTTAACTCACTGTCTGTTGTGGTTGTATCCTCAAATCTTGTAACTCAATTTTTACCCACTTCCCAATGTGCTATCAACTGCAAACTTGGTATACTTATGTCATACTGATGACAAGACTATATTCTATAATAAATATATATTTTAAAACATTCTTTTTTATATGTTATGTTTCGGCTTTGCTCTAATTGTCCACGGTAAACTGACGTTGTGGCTGTAAATAACCACGGTCCCCTTACGTTATGGCAAGCTTCGGGGCCACTTCCTGGAGTCGTGGAGTTCTTCCATTAGTACGGTACATTTCATTAAAGCGTGTTTTTAAAAAAGTAAAAAATATATATTACTTATATATAAAAAGGCTTTTAGCAGACTGTTGAGGCAAGTGATGTTAAGCAAGCATCTATGAAGGCCAGCACGGCACACGAAGGGATGGGTGAGCCAGCACCACATCTGGCCGCCTTTGTCTCCCCAATGCTAATGTTTACACACTGTACCAAGTACTAATTTAAAGCCCAATTGACCAAGGGGAGACCTAGGACCGCTTCAGATGTTTGTCATTGGTGTTGGCCGTGAGCAGGAATCAAACTCGAGTATGCTAACCACGATGCTACCACTCCCCACAATCACACGCACACACTTATAAAACCACACACAATCACATACAAAAATACACAATTACATATGATGGTCTCAGGCTCCAAATCGCTTGACGCACGTCCCCAGCAGATGGCACATCAGCCAGCGACATGCCAGATCAGCTGCCACTGAGCGTTCCATGAGGGTAGTCGGCCAATTAACATCAGCCTCTCCCTAAAAGCGGCATTAGTAATTACTCGCTAGTGTTGCAGTCTGGTACTGAGGTCGGGTTAACTGGGTTTGTTTTTCTAGACAAGCGGATATACAAAGACAACCATCCCCTGTGTAGTTTTAACAGACTTTTAGAACACGACACACTATACACACTATCAAAGACAAATACAAAGATCCCTCCGTATAGCATTTACATACTTTTGGGGCAAGAGTTATGAGCAAGCATCTATAACAGCTGGCGCGGCACACGAGGGGGTGGGTTGGCCAGCACAACGCCTGGCCCCCTTTGATTCCCTAGTGGTGATGTTTAAATATTGCATCAAGTACTCATTTGAGGCTGCGCCGACCTAGGGGAGGCCCAGGACCAGTTCAGATAATTGTCACCGATGTTGGCCGTGAGCGGGAATCAGGCTCTGGTCGCCGGGTTTGTAGCGCAGTGCGCTAACCGCGACACCACCACATTACACAATCACACAGCTCCGCCAACCTCTCAGCGGCTCTTGTACCACAGCAGACACTTACGTCAGGGCTCTTGTTTCCCAGCAGAAGGTACGTGGCCATGATCTCATCATACTTTTTTGCAGAAAGAGATCCCACAATCTCATCCATCGTGTAGCCCATGCCAATCATTATCTCTGCCACACAAAAAACACGTAGAGCAACGCGTCAACGAAACCGAGCTAAACTGTCGGTTTAAGTGACCGGGCTTCATAACAGGGCGTCGGTGTGAATGATTACAGATCAGCCCAGTCTACAGTGCCGGTGCACATCGTTACAGATGTAACCAACTCGAGCATGTTTGTGTGGATAGTTTTATACAAGTCGAGTGCGTCAGTGTGGATCCTCTTGAGATGTAATGAGTCTACAGTGGCAGTGTGGATCGTTAAGAAAGTACCTGGTCTAGTGTTCAAGGTAGATAATTTTCCACGAACCGGTTTAGATTATTGTGCATCCTCGCAGAAACAAAGCGTCTACACAGTTGCAGAGTGAATCAGTAAGAGATTTGAAACCACTATAAATACAAGTACTGTGGATTTACCGATCCTTTTCTGATCGTTGATGTCAAGCTCGGGCTCCTGGTAGGGTTTCAGCTCGTCCTCCTCGTGACCCACGTTCATCCACCTGTCGCGCATGATTTGCTGCACAGACGCGCGTCGCGCGGGCATACAGGACACGCAGGGACCACCGTCATACAATCCCTCCGGCACTGAACATTTAACACCGGGGGAGGGACGAACGATGCATCCGTTTGTTGTCGGTTGACCAATCAATGGTTACGCTCGCGACACACGCATCTGACCGTGACCGAATCTGTCATTTTTCGATTTGTATACGTTACACTCCATCAGCTGACACAACCCCTGTGGCTGGCCACGTGGCCGAGTGGTTGAGCAAGCAGCTCCCAATCAGACAGGAAGGTTGGAGAGTTAAAATCCCGGTTGTTGGCTTTCTTAAGCCATCATTTCCTTGTTAAAACAAGTAACAATTTTTGGGGAAGACAACAGAAGCATTCCAATGGATACTCGCCCTGCCGCCATAGGAATGTGGAATTTCTGCCACTAGCTCAGGGCTGTAAACTGGTGAGATGACCATCACCTCAATACTCACATGAACAGGAAATCCCTTTAACACCCTGTATCGACTAGGGGCATGACAATGTTAAACCAAGGAATCGATTCCTGAATTGAATGTATCAAATAGTAGGGAAAATTAATCATTACATGCCTAATTTATATAACTCATCATTATAAATCAGTCATAAAGGCATTTTCTTTCAATGACTAAAAAAAAAAACCTTTCATCCGGCAGCGAAATGTACGCTTGTATGCACACTCAGGATAACGTCACATTATGGACCGTTTTTCGATAACGTGAATTTACGTAGCGTCTACATTCGACCGTACCTCAACGATACTGCAGATAACAGTGGGAATATTTATTTTAGAGAGAGACAGAGGTCATAGGCAGGAGGTAAGAGGAAGGTCTTGAGCCTGGTCTTGAACAGCGGCAGGAAGTCAACAGCACGGACATCTGGGGGATGGGAATGCTAGTGTATGGGGGCAGCAGTGGATAGCAAGAATGTCCAGCCGACTAAGTATGTAATAATTAATGTATTCAAACATGATGCATGCATCAAATAATACGCATATAAATTATTAACAATGTAAAAATGGTATGTGCATTTATGGTAATTGCCCCTCAAGCTGATAAGAGTGGGCAGGACAGGGAAAAGAAAACGAGCAAACAGACAACACGGGCAATGCCGGCCGAGAGAGCGCGACAAGGTCAAAGAAAAACGCAATCCCACAATCGAATGGTGACCTCAAGTGGCCGGGGGGTGCGCCATGAATCATTATGTCTGGTGGCGACCTCTCAACGCTGCGTGCACCAACCGATTATAACACGCCATTTAGGGCTGGGACGTTGAGTTGGTCGAGTGGATTAAAAGACAAAGTATTGAAATAACTACTCTGTGGTCGGTTACTCAGGCCCCTTTAAAAATGGCTGTACATAATGCCTCCTGTGAAGGCGGGAAAACCCCATAGAAACCACGGCCGATAATGTCAATGACGTCTCCAAGTCCTTCCCATCACCTCCTGTCCGGCAGCACACATGGTAACAGTGCAGACACTTTTTTGGTTTTCCCCCAAACTATCTTCTTGTTATCTCCTACGAGGGTCACGTAATCTAGGGTACAGATAGGCCAGCTCTGAACAGTACCCATGGTGCTGCCGCTCGCTATCAACAAACTCAAACGAGCGCCTGCAATGTTGATGTCAAGGGGAAAGAGTACAAGGGGCCAGGAGGGCACCGATCTCACCTCTAGGCTTCCCCGCTTGATTGGATTGAGCACCAGGAAGCGCTTGAGTAGATTCTCACAGTCGGTGGACATGTAGAAGGGGATGCGGTACTTGCCGCGCAGAACCTTCTCCCGCAACTCCTACGCAACCAAGAGCTGAATTCACCACCCCCGCCCGCGGCGCGCGCTCACGACCCCGCAGCGCGCGAACACAACCTACAACGCTCACTCACTACCCCGCAATATACAAACACACACACACAAACCACCGTGTGCCCACCACAACCCACATCATGCGCTCATTTAGAAACGTGTGTTTAGAGTATTTGGCTGCTGTAAAATTTTCACATAAGCCACTTCGGTGAGCTATCATTTGCGGCCAAGTCGCTTCTGACCTGGCCACAAATGACACAAAAAAATGCCCTGGTAAAATAAAAATAAAATGACCTTCAACACACATGCACACCACATGACACACCACTTACCCACATCCCATGTACACAACGCACATGTACTCACTACCCATAGCACGCACGCACACACACACACACAACCCACACCACGTGCTCACTGCACCTGCCTGTGTCCTCATCCCCCACTCCCGCACACCTTCAGGTTCTGGCCGTCGAAGGGCAGCGACCCGCTGACGAGCGTGTAGAGGATGACTCCGAGGCTCCAGACGTCCACCTCGGGCCCGTCGTACTTCTTGCCCTGGAAGAGCTCTGGCGCGGCGTAGGGGGGGCTCCCGCAGAACGTGTCCAGCTTGTTGACGAGCGTGAACTCGTTGCTGAAGCCAAAGTCAGCGATTTTGATGTGCATGTCCACATCCAAGAGAAGGTTTTCTGCCTGTGGACGGCCAACATCGTCATTGTCATCATCAGTTTGCGTCTTCGTCCAGGCTCGTCGGAGTTAGTCGCTGTCAGTCACGCTGTGGTATTTAGTTGGTGGTCGTGATCATCGTCACGCTCGACGATTTTCGTCCACCGGTGGTCATCGTTGACTAGGGCAAGAAAAGAAACATTCGTTGAAGAATGTTTTTGTCAAATCACTGGTTCCGATAATGGAATTAACAGAATAAAAAAATGTACTAATAATGGAGGAATCCGATAAGCTATGAAGCTCTTTTGCATAGATTTCCAGTAGGGGAGGGTAAGACCATCACAACAACAAAAAGTACAAAACACGACAGTAGAGCAAAGTGCAGGAAAGGCAAACAAGTCACCCAAAAACATACAAATAAATAGAAAACCCATCTCTATCCCACCATGCAAAGCCCACGGAGGTATTAACTTATTTTTCAGAAGCGACCTGGCCACAAAACAAAAGTTCAGCAAAGTGGCTTATGTGGAAATTTACAGCAGAAAAATTATCTAAATAACACTGCAGCACGCACAGCCAATCACAGATCACACACAGCGCCCGCGCACAGCTGGTTTAAAACACCGGACCAGCTGATGCCAATGGCGATAAAGTCGATTATTAGTGATACGAGTAAGTTAATCACGCTGCGCTGTCAATAACTTGCAGTGATTAATGCTCAGATGAGATAAATTTCAGCCGGGTTTGTTTCGGGTCAGGGGACCTGGAAAATATTCCGCATCTGGCGCAACACATCCAGGATACCACCTCTTATTATTGTGGCTACAAGTTACTGTGGCAAGATGTTAACTACCTCGCCTGGTATAAGAAGGTTGTGGGTTCGATCCCGACCCTGAAGTCTGTATAATTGGAGTTGTCAGGTTCTCCTCATGGTCGCGTGGATTTTTTTGCGGGTCCTCCGGTTTTTCCCTCCACATTTAGAAACATGCTTTCAGAGTATTTGGCTGCTATAAATGCCTACGTGATAAGCCACTTCGCTGCGCTATCATTTGTGGCCAGGTCACTTCTGAAAAAGAGCTATACAGCTCAGTGGGCCTTACCTGATAGAATAAACAATAGTTTAGTTTAGTGGTCCAGCCGACCAGCCTACCCGGAAAATATGTCAGTGAAAAATTCAGCTCTGCCCGTGCATTACATCAGCCATGGGAGAGCTCGACTGTGAACAAACGCACCTTCAGATCCCTGTGCACAATGTTCTTCTGGTGACAGTACTGCACAGCAGACACGATCTGTAAACACAGCAAAGGGGCCACGGGATGACAGTAATGAGATGATGTCATCTGCATGCTGTTACACGGCTGCGATATGACGTCCGCCAGACTCTCAGGCACCTTCCCAACTTCCAACTCTTACAGCACTGTGGAGGGTGCAAATGATTCAAGCTTAAAAGTTATTTTTTTTTTTCCAGGTGAGAACTCAAGGAGACCAGGATCATCTCTCGTTTGCACCAGTGACCTGGGTCACCAAATATAATAAAAGTAATAACATTAACTAAATTTTGATTTAAAGCTTTCGTGACTGCAGGGATTCATATTCTTGGTTCTTTCGGTAAAGTCACGTAGAAGTGAAACAATAAAATAATATATTTTTATTATGTGACTTTACCGAAAGAACCAAGAATAACATTAACTAAAATACAGCAAAGAAACATTCGAATTCGGAGCAAAAATGAAACCAGAGTTCAGAAGAGTGTCAAGAGTCAAGAGATAGGTTAAAGCATTAGGAAATAAGAAAAAAAACACGGGTCACACCTAGCAAAATAAATCAAGTGGAAGAGGGCCACGCACGTCATGAGACACAATGAGAGATAAGCAAGACATTTTACTCTGGAGTGGGGTCCCAGAAATGGGTGCGAAACGCAGAGGAACATAGCAGAAAATACGGCAGCAAGATGATATCACAGAGTACGGAGCAACTGAGCAAAGGAAGGGATGGAAGTAAATTGGGAGGTGTATGTGTATGTATGCGTGTCGAACTTATTTTGCACCATACGTTGCAAATCGTGTGGGGGAAGGACAAAAACTAAACACAAAAAGCATATATAAAGAAATTCGTTTTAAATCTAGATTTAAAAGTGCAGAGCTGGTGGGCTGGGGGCGAGTCCGTTGCCCAGCAGTGGGAAGTTACAGACTCTCAACAACTACACCAGCAATGGGCACGGTTTGGACACGGGGCGGCGAGGTGGCCTCACCTGCCGGAACTTGGCACGTGCCTCCTTCTCCTTCATGCGCCCGTGTGCCACGAGGTAGTCAAACACCTCCCCTGGGCGGCGACACACACACGCGCGCACGTCACACACACACACACACGTCACACACACACACACACGCGCGCGCGCGCGTCGCTCATGCCGCTCACAGGCAGCGACTCGCACGGCCCGCCGCCCTCGTTGGAAATGCAACTCGCCGTGAGCTCGAACACACAGGGGGCCCCATTCATCGGAGTATCAAGTGTAATGGCACCCCTCATTAAAGTAGCACACAAACATGATGATTTTTAACTGTACACGGTTAAAAATCAGCGTGGTCTCCGTTCACAGTTGCAGTGACCCCCAAAGTCTGAAGAGGCACCCCCTCTTGTTAAAACTTAAGATTTCCCTGTAGGTTGTTGGGGCAAGTTCTGTTAGCGAGTACCTATTAAGGCTGGAATGGTACATGGTGGGGGTTATATGAAACAGTTTACCTGCACAATCCCTTGAGATTGAACATCTCACATGCACGCTTCTGGCGGTCAGCACCACGCACGTCCGCCTTTGTCTCCCCAGTGATGACGCTTACACACTGCACAAGTTACATACTAGATTTGAAAAAAGTATGACATATGCGAGCCCCCAGGACTGGTTCAGATAATAGCCACCGATATTAACCGTGGCCAGGAATGGAACTTGGATAAGCCGGGGTTCGTGGCTCATTGCGCGAAAGCACTTGTGCCATCGTTCCCCACTTGCGAGACACCACACACTCTGCGACGCATTCCTCCATGCTGCGTCATCATCGCCCGAATGTGGTCAACACGAGGGACCCAATATGCTAACCAATTGCCCATCATTGCTGCTGATGTTGTGAGGGCTTCCCCCTGGATGAACGTGGCATGTCGGTGACACTCACCACCACTGGCGTATTCCATGACCAGGTACAGCGTCTTTTCCGTCTCGATCACCTCGTAGAGTTTCACTGCCGCGCACAAAAAAACACCCAAGTGGTCACGTAGCTGAAGACGGCTCCGGTGCATTACAGGTAACCGCGACAGGAAATACGCAAAGGGGCGTGTGCGCGAGCGAGCTTCCCGACAGAAATAACGACACGCAAAGGTCGCTTTACAAACTGCAGGATGCCATTACTTCCATCGATATGCCTCGTGTGTATGTTATGTGACCACCAAATAGCCTTGTCTGGACCACCAACTCAAAAGAGAACCGAGCGTGTGGCTGTATTATTTTTTAGACCAGCAACTCAAAAGAGCTTCAATTATTGCGAGTGTGGCCGTCCCTTCAGGCAGCAGTGATGCAATGAAGTTACCGATGTTGGGGTGATTCAGACACTTCATTATCCTGACTTCTCGGAAGAGCTGCAAAAAAAACCAAAGAGCCTTTCCATCATTCCTGCTGACAACGCAAGGTAAATGAAAGCTACAAAGCAATTACCAAGATACAGATAGAGTCTAGAGTTCGGAACGAAACGCGCACGTACCTTTTGAAGACTTGTTGGGTTCAGCTGAGTTTTATCAATTATTTTGATGGCCACCTATAGGGAAGAGAGGCGACAACTGTCAGCCACGAGGGCAGTGCTCACGGTGACGATGCAAAGAGCGTCATTTATACACAGGGAAGATAATGTCCACGAAAAATCGCATTGTCCATTTTGTAAAATATAACGATCATTGTCCCTCATTTAAATGTTTTTATTATTGACAAAATACGTACGAATTAACAAAAGCACCATAATGAAGGTTCTACACAAATGGCTGTTCGCCATAACAAAAAAAAATCTGTGTTTTGTCAAATGTTTGCCGAAGTGATTGACAGCAAGGTGGTGAGATGACCTCATAATTTTCGTAGCTCAAATAATGAGTTCATTATTTCTTGTGTCAGTGATAGCACGCATGTTGTTAGCAGCACAGACTATAAAGTTGCAATGACTAGAAGACTTATAGCAGGATTTTGCCGAACAAGCTTTGGTTGAATACATTTTAAGTAAGCTACATATGTGCTGATGGAAGTACAGGACATCAAAACACAAAAACAACACAATAAAAATACCTAACAATAACTAGGCCAGGGAAAAGGATGGAGTGATATCCGTCACGTCGTCAAAATGTATATTGTATCGTAACGTAAAAAATTATATCATGACAACCCAAGTACATGGCCAAGCAATCCCTTTGAATTGCCGTGAAGTGACGCTGTCGCGGTGGAAGGTCTCACCTCTCTGCCGGTGAGGATGTGTCTTGCCAGCTTCACCTTGGCAAAGTTGCCCTTGCCGATGGTCTTTAGGAGACGGTAGTTGCCGATGTGGGGGAGCTCCTCCCCACACGCGATGGAGCTGCGACTGCGGGAGCCATTGACTCGCAGTGACTTGGAGGATGGCGTGTCAAAGCGGCCCTCCATAGACAAGTGCTGCATTCACACAAAGACAAAGATCCCCCGTATAGCCTTTATACAGACTGTAGGGACAAATGCTGCTAGCGAGGATCTATGAAGGCCGGAACGTGAGGCGGTGGGGGTGGCCAGCACCATGCCCAGCCATCTTTGTCTTCCGAGTGGCGATGTTTATGCATTGCACCAGGTACTCATTTGAGGCCGATTCGACCTCGGGTAGCCCTAGGGACTGGTTCAAATATTCACCACTGGTCGTGAGGAAGAATCAAACTCGGGTCGCCAGGTTTGTAGCGCAGCTCGCTAACCACTGTGCCACCACACACCACGGGTACACCACACCACGGCTACACAGCACGTTGCCAAATCATCACCACAATACTACTGCAGCATCCCAGTACACAACTGCAGCATCAATACAATGCCACAGTATTGCCACAGCATTGCCACAACACTGCCAACCCATAAACACTACACTACCAAAGCATCAACAACGATGCTACCACACAGCATTATTATCACCATAACACTCCCACAACATTACAACATCAACACAACGCTACCACAACACTCTCACAGAATCAACAACACTACTGCAGCATAACCGACACTCCTGCAACATCAACAATGCCATGCCCATAACACTACCACACAATCCCCCACAACATCACCATAAGTCTACCACATTATCAGCACAATGGCACAATCGCTACAAGACTACCAGAGCATCACTACTATCACACCATAAATACAACCCTACCACACCATCACCATACCATGACCACAAAACGACCACACCATCTCGACCCCATAAAAAAACCATCAAAATAACACTACCATACCACATACACCACGACCACTCACACCGAAATGATCACCATCGATACACCATCTCTGTGCAGTTTGTGGTCCTTCCCCTTATCTCCGATTAGCACGGTTGGCGACATAGGGTGCTAAATAAGTTAAAGTTACAAACACAAAAAAATCATCACCACACCATCACCTAAACCATCACGACATCGCCACTTACATTCCCAACACCATCACCACATCCCTACTCCACCATCCCTAAAATCATCACTACTTCCATCACCAACGCGATCCCCAACTTCAACACCAAATCACCATATCCACCCCCAAAACCATGAATAACATCAATACCGCACGATCATCAAGCCACGACAACACACCAACGCCTCCCCATCCATACATTATCCCAACCCCATCACCACGGCGTGTGCCATCACGGGCCTTGCATGGCCGCTCCGTGGATCCCATCGGCGCGGGGTCAAAGGTCGGTGGAGCTGTCCCGTATCCGCATCCCCACGGGGAGGGGATAGCCATGGTGAGGGCAGCTCCTCCTGCCTCCCTGTCCCTCTCTGCATCGCGGCTCTCCATGAATCCCCTCGCCTCTGTCTCCCTATCCCTCAATCAGTCTTTTCCGTTCCCTTGTCGCCTCGTATCTATCTCCTCCGTCGCCGGTCTCTCGCCATGCATCTAATTGAATCTTCTATGTTTTTGACTTCTCTCCCCGCGTCTCTTTCCCCGCCCCCCTTCTTCCCAATCCACGTCTGCCCGTCTCTACCCAAATTTCTACGCGCCATTCACCCAATTTCCCTAATCCTCGTGTGCAATACCATGTCAATGTGTATTCCTACCTTTGTATCATTCCGCTTCCTCTTAATCCAACCGAACTCCCGTGTCCTCCCCCCACCCCCCAAGTACCTCTTCCTTTCATCCACAATATGTTGGTCTTCGTAGCTCTCCCCCTGCCATCTCCCCCTCTCGCCGTATTCCCTAGAATACACGTCTCGACGTCTACCCCAGTTACCACCGTCTTTCATTCTCCCCTTGCATCGCGGTCTACCACAATTGTCCCCCTCAAAAAAAATCTCCCTCGACCAAGCAATTCCCTACGTCCCCGTCTCCCATTGTCTCGCCGTCTACACTATCCCGATGTTTCTCCCAGCTAACCCGAGCATCGCCCTCCCCCCCCATCTCCCCCAGTAAACCCGTGACTCCCCATCTTCCCCATCGCGTATCCCCGTCGTCCCTTCCTCGTCGTCTCCTGTTTTCCTCACCCGCCCCCCCCCAACCAACCCCAACCATCGTCTCTCGGTGCAGCCGCGGCCCTGACCGTGCCCGGGCCGTGGGGAGGAAAGAGAAAGCCGACGACGCTGCCGCTTCTGCTGCCGCCGCCGCTGCGTCTTGCGCCACGATTCGCCATTTAACGCCACCCCCCCCCCCCCCCTCGTCGGCCCCGGCTCCCCCCTTCCGTGCCCACAGCTCCCGCTGGGTCCTCCGCCGGGTCTCCTCGCGCAAGCTCCCGCGCGAGGGGGGCCGCGGCCCAGAGCCTCTCTCGCCTCCTTCGGCGTTACCCAAGGCCTCCCCCCCACCCCCTAGCACCGTCGCCCGCACGGGACCCGGTCCCCTTTGATCCCCCCGCCCCGGCCCCCGTCGCCGCGATCCCCTTGCTTCCCGCGGCCCCGGCGCTCGCCTTGGGCTTGAGGTCGCTTCCCGCTGCTGCGGCGGCGGCGGCGCCACGGCCCGACATCGCGTCCCGTGCCGCCTCCTCCTCCTGCACCACCACCACCAACTCCTCGACGTCCCCGCCTCCTCCTCCTCGTCCTCGTCGTGCTCGGCCGCCGCCGTCGTCGTCTCCGCCGCTCCTCTCCGGGGGCCCGCGGCGGGGGATCGGGGCGGGGTCCGAGTGGGGCCCCGGCTCGAGATCCGGTTCCAAGATCCGGGTCCTCGTGCCCCCGCCCCCCCGCCCAAGGCGTTTAAATGCCCCCGCCCCCCACCTACCCCCGCCCCGCCCCCCACCTTCCCCCGCCCCACCCCCCAAGGTGTTTAAATGCCCCCCACCCGCCCCAAACCACCGCCCACCCCCACCGGATCCGGTTCCTCACGGTCCGCAAAAAAACCCGGACGGGATCCGGATCCAACCCGGCCGCGAGGCGGAACCGCCGTTGTTTTTCCTGAGCGGCGCAGGGCGCGGCCGATTGGCTGCCGCCCGCGGAGACGTCACGCCCCGGGGCCCGCGTGCCCATTGGTCGAGGCCGCGCCTCTGACGTCGGGCGGGCTCAACCCGTGCTTGATTGACAACCGAGCCGCCGCCCCCTCTCTGCAATCCCCATTGCGGATAGGCGCGGGGCGAGAGCGGCCACTCTTGTCCGCGCTGGAGAATACAATCACTCGCCAAAACCTTGTTAAAACCAGTTTCAGTTTCTCTTGAATCGGATGCAACCGCAACAAACACTCCTTTGCACCCAGTCACATTCTCTAAACCCAGCCACTCCTTAAACCCAATCACTCCCTCTCTAAACCCAGTCAGTCTCTAAACCCACTCCCTATGAACGTGAAAGCACACTTAACCTGCACACCAGTTTATTTGGATGGAAACCCATCTCCTCCACGCGTACAGGGCATCGTTTCTAAAACGCGACGCGGTTTGTAACAGGAACCGCTCTTAATGTCCATCCGGGGGTTCACGCGTCCCCCGCTCTCACCGGGACTTCTGTACGAGCCGGAACACAAACCTCGACCCCCGCGACGAGGCCAACATCGGCCGTAGAATAAAAACGGACGGGACGAGGGCAACCGCCAACCGCTCTGCTGTGGCGGCAGAAGTTTCCGGGACTGTCGTACAACTCCCCTTATCCGCAATACAGCGGGGATAAGAGAAGCATCACTGTCGGCGTCATCATCATCGTCACGATCGCCCGTGATCAAGCCGTCGCCATCTCTCACGATCCTACCAAGCAACAATCCACTGAGCACCCACGGGCACGAGATTATATCAAAGCTCCATTTTCTCTGCAGATTTCCCCTCGGACGCATTCCCTCTCCATGTTCAACCGTACTTAATCCCGTCCACCGAACGTCACTCGTTATACCGACGTATGTGTGCTGCCCAAGGCCGATTTGAGTCATCACCAGAAATGATCAACCTACCGCTGGATGGATGAAGACCCTTCCCCCAAGCCGTGCCCATCTCTCACTATCCTGCGACGGTAACAAATCCACCAAGTACCTGGGACCACGAGCCGATTTCGTTGCTGTACTGCATTTAAAATAAATTGCACAAATAAAATAAAGCACCTGCCGCCCGCCCGTTCCCCTGGATGCTCTCCGCACTGCTGCCACCACGGCGTTGGCAACTCGATGGCGCGGGGAGAAGGGGGCGGGTGGAGGTTTGATTTCCGACGGGCTCAATGGGCACTCGCCGCTCGCGGCGCCGCCCCTACCAGCCCCGCTGCCGGCGAGCCGGGAGCCTCGTCGTCACGCGACCAGTAGCGCCGGTAGACGTCGTCGAACATGTCCTTGCAGGTGATGACCGCGCCCAGGCGGGCGCACAGCAGGAAAGCGCCTGACATCTTGCGGTGCAGCGAGTAGCTCTCGGGCGGCGGCGCGGTGAGCCGGTGCCGCAGCAGCACCGGCACGAGGCCCTGGATGCGCGCCGTCGTGCTCTGCGCCCCGAAGTCGAAGGGCTCGTCGCGCCTGAAGGGCTCGCCGAGGATCATCACGGCATCCACGTGCGCCCGCTCCATCGCCTGTGGTCGCGCACAGAGAAGCCGGGGTCGGTCAAGTCGGCTGATCAACGAGACATTCTAGCCGACCGATTACGATCGTTGTCGTTGAAGCGACCGACGGAAGTGAACTGCGTGAAGAGCTAATGAGGAAGGCTGCAAAGTGGGGGTCAATAAAAATGTGACTGGTTTAATATTGTTAACTAAAATACCAGGAACTCTCTGCTCGGGACAAATAGACAGTCAAGCCAAGTAACTCACAACATGTAACGGATTATTTTTTTCTGGAATAATTGCTCTGACCACCTTTAAAAACGATGGCTGGCTCCATGTACATTCTGCCTCCTGAAGGCGGGAAACCCCCCGACAAGCCAGGCCCGGCATGACAAAGCTGATGATGCTGATGACGTTTCCCAGCCCCACCCATCACTTCCTATCCAGGGACACATATTGGCAACAGAGGTGATACTTTTTTCCTTCAACTATTTTCTTGTTATCCGATTGGACGGAACCTGCCGCCAGAGGGCGACTTCATTTCTGACCGAATATTTTTCCGGGCTATTAATAAACTGGAGTAGTCATGGGACTGACTAGTAGTCACAGCCATAGCGAGAGGTACACTGGATGTCAAATACCATTCCAGGTCACTGACCCAGACAGATAAACCCAGCTGTAAATTCGGCCCCAGTCCCAAACCAAGTCTAATGGAAACAAACGCTACATGTAAAAATCATCACACGGGTATTCCAAGTTTGGCTTGTGAATGCAACAGCTAACAGCGGGTGGAGCTTCATCGCAAGCGCTTGCCTTAGTCTCGTATCCCGTGAGGAATTTGAGGTCGCGGGATTTCTGCAGAACTCGCTCTGTGTCTCCGTCAGCAGCAGCCCTGACGACCTGGGCAGATTAAGCGTCGCATTACACGATGCATCGCATACTGATCCTCGCACCTGACAGGCTCACAGCGATGACATCACCTTACTCTATTTAAGAGCAGAAACGGGAAGACTTATTGACAATTACAGCAAGTCGCCTGAAGCTGGTTGTCATCAGCCGCGAAACGTCGTACTCAAATTGTAAATGGTGTGGGTCTACTCTCCAAAACACCAGTGTGCTGAAGAACTAATTAGCACGTTTTGTTTACGTGACAAACCTTACTAAATCGGCTGTGTCGGATAGTTGTGGATTAACGACAGATTTATATTTACCTAATCTGATCCACAAACTCTTTATTATGAATAATATTGGTCTCGAAAACTGATGCATCGCATGGTTTAGTTGTATTTAACCTAGGATACCCCCTAATGGCAGCTTGTTCCCTAACCCTACCAACGAGAGACCTAGGGTGCCTTACCTCGATGTAGTCGTCTGTGAACTGCTGGCTGAACTCTCGGCTTGCCCCAAAGTCCAGCAGAGCCACCTGCCAATCAGCAGCGACCCCCCACCAAGGCATTAGTCCAGACAGCAGCAGCAGTTAGTAGAGTGATGTCCTTGCTCAAATAAGCATGAGGCATTGGTGCTCATCTCCAGTTTACAGCCCTTATACAGTTTTACAGCCCATTTCCCAAAATTCCACATTCATATGACAGGGGCGAATGTAGCCATAAAACAATCACTGAAGACTTCTCAAAATCGTGGTGCTTATTTAAAGACCAGTACAAAGCAATTTTTGTTTTAATATATGAAATAAATTGAACACTCAAGGCTGTGTGTATACATGTTATGGGTGCAGATGTGTGTGTAAATATGTACGGAGCAGTAGTTTAATGGTGAGCTCAATGCACCACGAACCCGACAACCCAAGTTCAATTATCTGGGCTACGGCCAACATCAGTGGCGAATATCTGAACCAGTCCTCGGCCTTGAGTGAGTACCTGAGGTGCAGTGTGTAAACGTCAACCCAAAGGCGGCCGGGAGGCGCTGTGCTAACCACACCACGTGTGCCTTGGGAGTCCCTTCATGGGTGCTCGCTAACGGCACTTGCCCCAACAGCCTGCGTAGGCTATGCGGAGGATCTGTGCCTTTGCGCCCGTGTGCTTTCTGCTGCCCGCCCACCGACTCTGTGTGCACGCACCTGCTGGGTGCTCGCGTTGTAAAGGAAGTTGGACCAGTTGGGATCGGTCTGCATGAAACGGAACTCAAACAGCTCCCGCAGGCACAGATGCAACACACCAGAACAGATCTGAAGAGCAAAAGCAATCAGAGTTTCAGATGACAATACATCATCATCATCATAACCATCGCCGCCATCATCATTTATTCCTTACACCACGCAACAAGGGCCTGGGTTCGAGCCCCAACTCGGTTGCCATTGTGTGTGGTGTGTGTATGTTCTCCCCCAGTTCTGCATGGTTTTCCTATGTTTTCCTCCAATAGCCTCTCTTTCCCCAATCGTTTATCATAAACAGCTTTTTCCCCATTCAGAAAATATGTCAACTGTTGTCTAATACAACTTTAATAGTACTCCATAATAGAGGTTTTTGTTGGGTTAGATCACGTTTATTTACGCGATCTAACCCAAACACACCTCTATTATGGATAATATTGGTCGCGAATGCCTACGTGTTAAACTTTAATAGTACTGTTAGTTCCTGGACGCTTCACGCTCGGGGCCTACTGTGCTCAATAACAGCCCACCCCCTCGTCCGCTCGCTCGTCTGCCCGTTCGCCCGCCTCCCCGCTCGCCCGCCTGCTTTCCCGCCCGCTCACCCACCCGGTTGCGAGTCTCCTGGTCGAGCGAGCGAGCTTGCTCAAGTGGCTCGCCTGCGAGCAGCTGGGTGGTGAGGATGTGACGGCTGCTCAGCTCGCTCACCACTTCCGGCACCACGAACAATGGGTCATCCTGCAGCAACTCCCTGCACGCACGCGGCAGCGACGATGCACGCGGGAACAACGCGCCGCGTCGCACCACCGTTAATCCCGGTCACACAAACAATGGTCCCCCGTGGTGCCTATGACATCGGCCACACAACTATAGGAAGACCTTTGTCTCCCTGATGTTTACACATTCAACCTAGAGGCCCAGAATAAATTAATTTGTATTCACCAGTGATATATACACAAATATCCTCCATATAGCCTTTAACAGACTGTTAGGGAAATTGCTGTTAGCAAACACCAATGAAGGCCGGCGCGGCACACGAGGGGGTGGGTGGCCAACACCTCGCCCGGTCGCCTTTGTCTTCCTAGTGCTGATGTTTACACAATGCACCAGGTACTCATTTTACGCTGACTCGACCTAGGGGAGCCCAAGGACCGGTTGAGACATTCTTCACCGATGTATGCCGTGAGCGAGAATCGAACTCGTGTCTCCGAGTTCGCATTGCAGCGAGGTAATCACTATGCTATCACACACAGGCACATGCACTGCATGTTGCACAATTGACCCAAATACACTGAGACTCTGCTGTGTGGACATTTTTTGGCAATACCGCATTGGCAGTAATGCACAAGTGTAAAACAAAAAACTCAACACATTTGTCAATAACACAGCCTTAGAAGGGGAAACATTTGTATCCATATATTACTACAAGGCGATTTTTCAAGTCATGCATATGATGGACCAGAGGTCACCTGACAGGATCTCAGAAGTGGTTCTGTCATGTCCGTCTCCAAGTGAGAGCTTTGAATGGATTTCCGGTACGTCGTGACATTACACAAGTGGCACAATTGGGATAATAGCGTGAGAAAATTTTTACTCCAAAAATGTTTATTGTAATTATTATTATTACGCTTGTTTACCCATGAAAGCGTCACGAAGCCTCAACTATTTCGTCAGGAGGGTCTTGCCAGATTCTAGCAGTAGGGGACGATGTTACTATGTCTAATCGCAATTTGGGTTTGGCTGAATACCAGCTGCATCATATAGTTATTTTTTTGCCATATTTGTAAATAATAGGTAAAGTTTTGGGCAATTGGCCCTTCGTCTGCTTCTTCACAGCACAGAGACGATGGACCACAAAAGTCCACGGAGTGGCGGTTTTGACGCTTTCCCTTTTCGAGACGTCTGCAAGTTGCAGGGTGGGTGCCCTGTTCACCGCTGAATCTCAGAACGTGCAAGCGGTTAGCATTAATTTTAATTATAGAGGAATAGCGCCATTGTTTTTAAAGACACTGTACTCACCGCAGAGAACTGGAGTGACAGGACCACACTATGATAGCTGGCGCCAAAACTGTGCCACATGCCCTCCCGCATGGCCTTGTAGGAGTCTCGATACCGATAAAGTTAATTCATTTTTTCATCCGATGCCGTTCCGATGACGTGCGTGTATGTCGTGCAAAATCGGAAGAAAAACAGCTCATCGGATTTCTCCAAAATAAATATTCTGATTCTGAAAATTGATGACATACACGTATGCGTCATCGGAATGAGAAAGGGTTAAAAAGAGAGAGAGCGAGGCGGTCCCCACCCACCAGAAGCGCCGGGTGCACACCGCCTCCCGCTTGTAGTCGCACTCCCACGCCAGTTCCCGGCGCAGAACCTCGATCGCGCTGTCGGCGAACAAACCTGCAGCGGAGAGAGCACGGCGCTTTGTGTGACCACGCCGACGCGAACACGACGACGCCCGGCGTTTACGGCTTGAGACATCATGACGTGAAAGATTTTGCAACTTTTCTGGTTGCCCCAGCGACTCAATGGTTTGTCAAAGATATTGGTGACAAATCTAGCGACTACCTCCAATGAAGACGTTGTGCACATTCAGGGGCGATTCCCGATGTATCAAGTTAAATATTTTTAAATACTTGCTAAATTATAGAGGGGACATGCTTTAAGGAATTTGTGGCACAGACAAAACCATCCAATACGAGGTACCCCAAGCATAGGATGTGGGGATGTGTGTGTGTGTGTGTGCGTGTATATGGGGGGTGTGTGTGTGCGTGTTTGTGTACGGGCGAGGGTATGTGTGGGCTGAGGGTGTGTGTCGGAGTTGAGTGGTGGTGAGTGACTGAGTTAGTGAAGTGGTGAGTTTGTGAATGGCGTAGTGAGTTGAGTAGTGAGTGGAGTATTGAACAGAGTAGTGAGTTAAGTGGTGAGTGGAGTAATGAGAGGGGTAGTGAGCCGAGCGGTGAGCAGACTGGTGGGTGGCTACCGTCGGGGAGTGCGCGTGCCAGCGAGAGGACCCCCATGAGGTTGCCGATGTCACTGTCGATGCTCTGCTCCACTCCCGGGTACTGCAATGGTAGGCATGACACGCGCCGAGTTGAGGGGGGGGCCGGTCTTAAGCAAAATCAATGTGGAGGGCTCCCCAGGAAGCACATCTAGAATCTTACCAAGGTGGAGGAATGGTCCCGAAATTGCAAGCTTGTAAGACAGGGCCCTATATTAATATTAAAAAACACTCAATGTATGTTCTCAAGTAGCACCTCTGATTAGCACAGTTGGCTACATACGGTGCGAAAGACGTTCAATATATATGCATATACAAATATGAAAAAAACATTGTTTTGGGGTCTCAAGGTATTGGGGGTGGGGGGAGGGGGGTGGATGATTCCACTGTCGTCCCCCCACATCCGCCACTGGAACTCCCCCCACCTTTGAACATATAAACTTCAAGTGAGATGACAGCAGCGATAAAGAGTAAGAGCTGTAGCAAGATGAGAGAAGAGATTAAGAGACAGCTGTAGTGGCGTGACAGAAGAGAGGGAGCTGCAGAATTGAGAGAAACGTTTTTTTAATGCAAAAATAACATCTGAATCTGATTTGATACTTGGTGCATTCTCAGGGGCGCCACAGGGGCGAGATGTTAACTACATCGACTGGTATACAGGAGGTCGTGGGTTCGATCTCCACTCTGATGCTTGTATATTTGGAGTTTGCGTGTCTCTCTCCTTGTGGTCGCGTGGACCTCCGTTTTTTCCCCCTCCACAATTAGAAACAGGCGTTTAGATTATTTGGCTGCTATAAATGTCCACACGATAATCCACTTAGTTGAGCAACCATTTGTGGCCAGGTCCCTTCTGAAAAAGAGCTACGTAGCTCACTGGGCCTTACCTGGTAAAATAAAATTGTTTAATAGTTTAGTTGATTTGTTTTGTGAATACAGGGCCCCCTGAAGGTGCTTGGGCACTCCCCCCACTCCCCTTCAGGCTGTTGCTCGGTTTTCTTGGTGCCTAGCATCACTATCGGTCAAGAAAAACGATCCCGGCAACAGCCGCGACGATGTCCCGTCGACGCCTGTCAAGAGCGAGCCCCTCCCCCTCCCGACCTTTGATAACGGCCGCGCTATTAACAAAATGTGCGACGGTCCCCTCGGCCCAAAGTCCCCTCGGCCCACAACATCTCTGCGTCGACACACAAAGTCCCATTGCCCGGACACTCGCTGTCTCCACGCGTACGTCTCCTCCTCCTCCGCGCGTGCCGGATTCGCCACCCGAGTTTTTGGGGACAGGCCACTCCGCAATGATGTGGACAATTTTTATTGTTGTTGTTGTTGTTGTAAAACCCTCCACCACCACCACCACCCAACACGGCCCAACGAATTGAACTGTGCCGCGTAGAGACGTTTTAGAGACGCCGTGCCAACTTTTGTTATCATTGCACTCACCAGTGGTGAGTTGAAGGGCAATTCTCAGGGCCCAAATGTAGCAGCAATTAAGACTCTATGCATCCTCACGAGTCACATCATTCCACTGTCCTTATGCACAGATACAATGACTCATGAAGAGATCCACAGACAGGTACACCCACACTGAGAACAATAGGCTCACACACTTACACATGATCCGTAGACACAAAGACACAGACTTCAGATACATTTTAATCATCCATTAACTTAGAAATAGATCCATAGACTTACGTAGAGAAACACACATTTACACAGAGACCCATACATTTACATACAATCTGGGTGTATAAGTGACTAGGTAAGTGGTTGGCTGAGTGAGTTGCTGGGTGAGTGGCTGGGTGAATGAGTAGCTGGGTAAGTGAGTGGGTGGATAAGTGATTGGGGGGGATGAGTGAGTGGCTGAATGGGTGGCTGGATGAGTGAGTGGCTGGGCTAGTGGCTGGCTGGGTGAGCAAGTGAGTGTCTGGCTGGGTGAGTGGCTGGCTGGCTGGGTGAGTGGTTGGCTGGTTGGGTGAGTGGGTATATGGCTGGGGATTAGGTGAGTGGCTGGGCAAGTGGCTGGCAGGCTGAGCGAGTGGCTGAGTGAGTGTGTGCATGGATCAGGGGCCACGGCACCTGAATTTTGACAGCGACCGTGTCTCCGCTGGGCAGGGTGGCGGCATGGACCTGTCCGATGGAGGCAGCAGCGAAGGGCTTCTCCTGGAAGGAGCCCATGTGGGACCTCCAGTCCGAACCCAGCTCCATCTGCAGAACCTTCTGTACAACCACACGGTCAACAATAACATGGTCAACAACAGCAGGTACAACATCTCAGCGTCGACACACAGGCTCTGCTCCTGTCGGGGAGAACTCCACCTCCCGTCCACCCACCCACTCAGCCACTCACACACCCAACCAGCCAGTCTCCTTGCCAGCCACTCACCGACTCGTTCACTCTCTCAGTCACTCATTCACTTCCCCAGCTGCTCACCCAGTCATTTACTCACTCACCGAGTTACTCAATGACCTAGCCACTCGCTCACTGAGCCAGTCACCCACTCGTCCACTCAACCAATCATTCACTCAGCCAGCCACTCATTAACTCCATAACCCAAGCACTCGCAGGTCTCTCATGTTAACGTGGGACACGGCTCAGAGGCACCGTCGTGGGCCGCGGCGTCACCCACCTGGGTTTGCCAGGAGGGCATGAAGTCGGCACTCTGCCGCACCCTCTCAAAGATCTTCTGCACTTGGGGGTTTATGAAGCTGTTGTCTGTAAACGACACAAACATCCGACATTCACAATCACAAACACACACTCGCAACAACAACGGTGGCAGCTGCCATTCACCATCAAGTGGTGGTGAGGCCATCACGTGAAGTGTGGAAGGCTTGCTGGCAGGAGGTCACGGGACTGGTCCAGGTGATGTGGGGGGTGAGTGTTAGCGAGGCGTGCGTTTCACGTTGTGCATTAGTGTGCTTTGCGTTCGTAAGGCATCTCGGTCCCCAGGTGAAAAAGAGCTTCTGAGCTCAGTGGACCCGACCCGAAATAAACGGACAGACTGGCTTGTTCCACGTGGCGCCGACGTCCCCCCATTTTTAAACGAGGCATTTATCATGCACGGGGGGATGTTGACTCAGCCCATCATCCATACGTGGTCGTTAGAATGAGTACCACTTTGTAGAGTGGTTGCCCTATGGAGAGACTCTTCCCTGCCATAGATAGGAACGCGGAATTTCCACCAGTGGGCGCTTGTAAGCGGGAGATGAGCATCGACGACGCCTCAATGCTCATTCGAGTGGGAAAAATCGAAAATTCGCCTTGGACGTTGATCTTCCGAGTGCCATTTTAAGGTGAAGTATGGGAAAGTGAGGCGGGGGGCTCGGAACCTTGGATGCTGAGCATCTGTCCCAGCTTTAGGGCGGCACCGCGCACCTTGCAGAGCGTGGCCACGATGCGCTCGGCGTTCTCCTCCGTGAGCAGCACGCTCCCCGCCAGCAGGGAGTCGCCACCTATACCAGCAAAGACAAAGACCCCCCCCATATAGCCTTAACAGACTGTAGGGGCAAGCGCTGTTAGCAAGCGCCTATGAAGGTCGGCACAGTAGATGAGGGGGTGGATGGCCCACACTATGCCCGTTGTCTCCCCAGTAGCGATGTTTTTACAGACCACACCAGGTACTTATTTGAGGCTGAGTAGACCTAGGGGAGGCCCAGGACCTGTTCAGATAATCGTCACTGGCGTTGGCCGTGAGCGGGAATCAAACTCGTGTCGCCGGGTTCATAGCGCAGCGCGCTAACCTCTACACTACCGCTCCCCAAAGATAAAGACAAAGATCCCCCGTATAGCCTTAACAGGCTTTTAGAACAAGTCCTGTTCGCGAGCACTTATGAAGGCTGATATAGCACACGACGCGGTGGGTGGCCAGCACCATTCTGGGCCACCTTTGTCTCCCGAGTGGCAATGTTAATACATCATACCAGGTACTCATTTGGGGCTGAGTCGACCTACATGTACACACACATTGGTTCCCTTCCCAATATCCATGCGCACATCACCACACATATCCCCTTTGCTGACCACGGGCATTCCGTGTTTCACAGCAGTGACTTTACCGTCGGCTTGTTCCGATTTCCCAAAACTTTTCTTCACGACTTCTGTGAGAGCTCCAATTCCAAGCCCCACAGCCAGACCTAAGAAAGCAAAATGCATAACGTGGGTCACAACACAAACAAATGTGCAGTGTCACAACGAGCATTACACAAACACCTGTATCCCCTCTAGCACATGCTGTGCCCATTTAGTCTCCTCCATCTGGCAGAAGTTGCTTGGGCATGCGGTGGCTGGGCATGCAGGCCAGAGGACCCAGCCAACGCAGCCTCGCTTTGCCGGAGGAGCTCACTGACGATGGGACTGTGTTGGATCTTTCGAGAACCTGTGAGCTCCGAATATAATCCAGCCTGATGTTGTCCCGTGAGTGGGAATCGAACTTGGGTGGCTGGGTTCGTAGTGCGGTGTGTCAACTGCTATGCAGACCACTCCCCTCACCAAGACACCCCATATAGCCTTAACAGATTGTTGGGGTAAGGGCTCTTAGCGAGCACCTATAAAGGCCAAAATGGCACACAAGGGGGTGGGTGTCCAGTACCAATCCTGGCCGCCTTTGCATTCTTAGTGACGATGTTTACACACATCACTAGGTACTAATTTAAAGCTTAGTTGACCTAGCGGAGGCCCAGTACCAGTTCAGATTATCTTCACTGGGTGTTGGCCGTGAGCGGGAATCTAACTCGGGTCGCCGGGTTCGTAGCGCAGCCTGCAAACCGCTACACTTTCGCTCCCCACAAACAGACACACAAACACATGCCTGCACAATGACGCACGTCTGCACTCACCGCCAAAGTTGGCCATCCTGGCGATCTTGGTGGCCGGAACAGCTCTCTCTCGCGCGCGCTCGCTCAGCTGCCGAAACAAACAATGGCCATCGACTATGGAACCTCGCAACGCACAAACAACGCCCCGCATTTCTGGCCGCTTCGCAACCCCACGGGCCCCGTCTGGCTAAAAAAAAAACAGCAGCGGATCTAGCGATTTCCGAACAGCGCGGTGCGGAATTCGAAACGTCAAGATTTTTCTATTGACTAATTAGGGCCTTGCTTTAATAATAATAATAATAACCAACAATGTAATGTGACCGGTACGTGTCGCTAAAATACCGACCGTGTGCCTGGGGAGCGCCGCCATTTTGCCGGCGCCGCCCTTCGTCCCGGCCACCTCCCGCGCCTTGCGGATGTCGCTCGCGGTCAGTCGGCCTGCCGACGAGCCCTGGTGGAGGCGACGTAGCGGGCCCAGCGGAGGCAGCGAGGTTCCGCAGTGCAAACCCCTGCCGGGGCCCGCTCTGGAGCCCGCCGTGCCGGCCGCGTGTCTCGTGGTGCTGCCGGCTGCCTCCGCGGTGCGCCACGCGGGCCCCGCCCGGGCCCCCACTCCGCCAGGGGCCCTCTTGTCCTTCTGGGAGGGGAGCTCCCCCCTCTCCCCCGACGCATCATCGCACAAGCTTCCTCCTGCCCTCGCTCGAATCAAGATGCTGTCCGGCGAAGCGCCCTGGGAGGGGGAAGAGGAGAAGAGTCACCGCACAGTCCCTCTCTCTTCTGTCTGAATCCAGCTGCTGGCTTCTGGGCAGTAAGTGCCGGGCCCCTATCGTGCCCTCGGAGAACGCTCGCAGCAGACAAAAGTTCACACAGAGAGAGCCACAGACTCGCACAGAGACCCATAGGCTCACACTAACACAGAAACATGTGACGACATATGCAACCCGTCCAAACGTTTCTCGAAGACAACGCCGTGCAACAAGCGTTGGACAAGCCAGCACATGTCGCTCTATGGCATCATTGCCTCTTCATGTCTCTGTCTCTTGGCATCTGTTTCCTTGTCTGTTGCTCTGTGTGTCTATTTCTGTCTCTCTCAATCTCCATCTCTCTCTGTCCCTATCTCTCCATCTCACCACCCGTCTCCATCTCTCTCTCTCTCTTTTCATCTCTGTCTCCATATCTCTCTGTGTCCCCGTATCTATCTCTGTATCTCTATTTCAACATGTCTCCAATTCTGTCTCTCCCGATCTCCCAGTCTCCATCTCTATCTCCGTCCCTCCGTCTCCAGCCTTGTCTCCCTCCTCCCCATCTCCATCTCTCTTCATTTCTGTCTACAGCTCTGCCTCTTTCTCTATCTCTGTCTTCATCTCTGTCCTGTCTCCATTTCTCTCCCCATCTCCATCTATCTAATCTCTGTCTCCATCTCTGTCTCTCTTCCCATCTCTCTATCTCCATTTCCCCGTCTCTGTCTCCATCTCTCCGTCTCTGTCCCCCCATCTCCGCGTTCGTGTGGTGGCGGGCGTGCGGCCGTTGCCGCGGCGGGGGACCGCCCGGTGTGGCGCTCACCTGCCACGAGGCGATTGCAGAGCTGACCCAGCTCTCGAGGGCAGCGCCGTTCTCCACCGCCAACGCGGCCGCCACCTTCGTGATGCTGCCGCTTCGCGCCGCGCGCTCCCGCAGGCGCTCGCGCTGCAGCGAGGCTACCGCGCCACCCACGTGGGACAGACCCCGCAGCACGGAGAGCGCCTCACCCGCCATGGAGCACTGCCACGCACACACAAAGATCCCCTGTATAACCTTTAGCAGGCTGTTGGGGCAAGCGCTGCCATTAGCGAGCTGGCACGGCCTTTGAGCATATCTGAATATTGGGGGGGGGGGGGGGGGGGATATGTCCCTTCTAGGGCCGGTACTGCACCCACATATACGTTGTGCCTGCGATGTCAATACATCGCACGCCGTGCCTCTCTCGAGCCGGCTTTACACAGTGACATCCGCGATGTCACTACACAAGCATAGAGAAGGGACGGCATAATTGTGGCTGAGACGACCGGGAGCTTTGTAAGGAGTGACAGGCCAGATAGCATCCACACAGCGTTACACAGCAGATGATAACTTCATGCTGCACGACTGATTTGAAGTTGAGACCTCTGCTGACAATCTAGAGCAGGTGAGGTCATGAACACAATGCCCAGGTGGTATGTGAACTCCTTCCGTCCTCTCCAAACTGACCCAACGAGTTGACGGGGTGGGAGTGTTTGTTGAAGTACAAGACACAGGCAGGTGCTTTGTTTTAGTGGGCCCCACCTCTTCAGCGCACATTCCAGGCGCCGGAGTCTCAAACTCCTTCTCAGGGTAATTACCAGATCAGCAGCATACATAACATCCCTGGACCACACCCGGGCAGCGACGTGCCTCCCGTTGTACACGCAACAGATGAGAATAGCACTCCCAGATGAACAGGGAATTTCTCGCATCCCCGGCCAACGCAACCTTACACGGGTTTGCCCACAATCGCATTGGTCGTAGTGATTGTGCACTCTGTTCCCGTGTAATACGTAAGCCCCGTGTTGCACAATAAACCCTGGGTACTCTCATCATGCACGCTTTCCCTCTCCAATTTCGTGGACCCTCTCCCCGCGTACCCTCTTCCCATATACTGTGTGGACTCTCTCCACATCTGCTCCTTCCCCTGCTACTCTCCCCGTGTCCGTTCCGCGTGTACTCGCTCTCCCTCCCCATGTACTCTCTCCCTCTCCCATTGTCCCCTCTGTGTACTCCCTCCCTCTGTACTGTGTGCTCACGTCCCTTGTAATCTCCCCGTCCACTACTCTCTCCCTACCCTCGTACACTCTTTCTTTCCCTGTCTCCCGTGTGCCATCTCCCCCCGTGTCCTCTCCCTCCCCGTGTGCCATCTCCCCCCGTGTGCCATCTCCCCCCGTGTCCTCTCTCTCCCCGTGTCCTCTCCCTCCCCGTGTCCTCTCCCTCCCCGTGTGCCATCTCCCCCCGTGTCCTCTCCCTCCCCGTGTCCTCTCTCTCCCCGTGTCCTCTCTCTCTCCGTGTGCCATCTCACCCCGTGTCCTCTCTCCCCCCGTGTCCTCTCTCACCCCGTGTCCTCTCTCTCCCCGTGTCCTCTCTCCCCCCGTGTCCTCTCCCTCCCCGTGTGCCATCTCCCCCCGTGTCCTCTCCCTCCCCGTGTGCCATCTCCCCCCGTGTCCTCTCTCTCCGTGTCCTCTCTCACCCCGTGTCCTCTCTCACCCCGTGTCCTTTCTCCCCCCGTGTGCCATCTCTCCCCGTGTCCTCTCTCTCCCCGTGTGCCATTTCCCCCCGTGTCCTCTCCCTCCCCGTGTGCCATCTCCCCCCGTGTCCTCTCCCCGTGTGCCATCTCCCCCCGTGTGCCATCTCCCCCCGTGTGCCATCTCTCCCCGTGTCCTCTCTCTCCCCGTGTCCTCTCCCTCCCCGTGTGCCATCTCTCACGCTGCGGTACAGTACCTCTCTGGGTCTCCGCCGGCTCCACGTGTTACGCAACCCAACTTCGCGCACCACGTGACTCTCGCCCGCCGCTTCCGGTTCAGGCCTCGCCCTCTGATGTCACGCGGGGGCGGGGCGAGGGATCCTTCCGCCATTGGGCGGAGTGAAGCGGCTCCGTGTGGCGTCGTGGTCTCGCAGCCACCGCCGCACGAGGGGGTCCCGGACTACACGGGGGTCTGTGACCCCGCCGCGAAGGGGCGCTCCCGGTGCCCTCCAACCGGCCCGACGTTGAGCGCGATTGCCTCGCTCCCTCCCAAGCTCCGCTCGCTCGGACGAGGTCCCCCGGAAGAGGGGAACACGCTGCGAGAGGTGAGGGTGGCCCTGGCGGTGTACGGTGAGGTCTGGGCCTCATGTCCCCTTCGCGTGTTCCTCCCCTGGGGTGGCCACTAACAACCTCCCCCCCCCTCCTTCCTGTGCTGTGCCTAGGCGGAACCCGCGGCATGGGGGCCCTGCGAGGCGGGGCCCCGCTGCCTTAGCGGAGGGGATGGCGGCGGCGCGGGAGCGGGGCCCGGGCAGGGGAGAGGGGGGCGAGAGGATTGAGGGGACTGACCGCGACCCCAGAGCCTCGCACTACCCTGACCCCTTAATTCAACATCAGCCTGACCCCATCACCCAGCCTCACCCTGATCCCATCACCCGGCATAATCATGACCTCATTACCCGCCCCATCACCCACCCTGACCCCATAACCCACCCCATCACCCAGCATGACCGGCGTGGAGGAGACGCGATATCTCCTGGACTGGTCCAGTGCCGATCTGCGAGGGCACCCGAGTTGGGGGCCACTCTCCCTGGGGAGGCCGGGGCCCCTCGGCCCGGGCCCCCACGAATCCCCCAGCTGATCGTGACGGAGGTGGAGGAGGGTGGGGGGCCCGCGGCCCCCTCGCCGCTCGCCCGCTCCCTCTCCAACTCGTCCACGTCGTCGGCGGGGGGGGGCTTCTCCTCGTCCATGGAGGAGTCCGAGGAGGACTTGTTCCTTAACGACCCCCCCGAGTGGCGGGGAGCAGACGCCTCGAGCCACCTCCACTTCCCGCTCAGCGCCAATGGGAGCCGCAAGGTAGCAGAGGGCCACAGTCCACGACTCGCACCACACTGCCGCTCCGGGTTACCGACAACGCGGGAGGGAAAACCCCCCCCCCCCAAAAAATATTCGGTTTGAAATGAAGCCCTGGTCTCTGTGTGCTTTGGTGCGTGTTACACTCTGCGTGTGGGTTGCGCGTTGCACCGTGTGGGTTGTGCGTCGCAACCGTGTGGGTTGTGCGTTGCACCGTGCGGGTTGCGCGTTGCACCGTGTGGGTTGTGCGTTGCACCGTGCGGGTTGCGCGTCGCAACCGTGTGGGTTGTGGGTTGCACCGTGCGGGTTGTGCGTTGCACCGTGTGGGTTGTGCGTTGCACCGTGTGGGTTGTGCGTGTGTTTTACGCCGCGGTGGTTCATGTGCGCTGCGTTCGTGCGGCGTGTCAGATTGATTTTAGTTGACCCGCCGAGAACTCCCCAGAATCTCATTTGCATAAGAAATAGAAAAAAAGATTGCACAAACATAAGTTAATGTTCTAGATTATAGATTGTACAATTAAGTTACAGAAACATAAAGATATCGGCTGACTTTCGTACTAACTATGTAAACAGGAAAGGACGTACGAGTCAAATGCAATTGCAAGTGACGTCATCATAAAGAATTGACAGCTGTGCATCAACTTGTCATTTCGATGGGATTCCAAGTGTTTGGGGCATTAACAGAGAATGTGTGAGAACCACGTGCGTTATTTATCTTCGTTACAATGCACTCTAGGGCTTGGGGGCATCTAATATTTCGAGGGCTTTGGTCCTGAATATACACTTTGGATAGGCAAAGGACTGAGTTACGCGCGCGTGTGAGTGTGCATTAACGGCGCTTGCTAACAGCACTCGCCCCAACAGTCCATTAAGGCTATACGGGGGATATTTGTCTTTGTGCGTTAACGATGAACTTGTCCTGTGAGCGTCCTGCCTGCTATGGTTGGTGTGTGCAGTGTCCTTCCCGCGCGAGCTCATGCTCTGTGGTTCGTGTGGCAGGGCGAGTCGTGGCGAAAGGTGAAAGGGGTCTTCCAGTGGTCACCGGCAAGGGTGGCCCCGTGCAATCAGGGGCCCTGGGTGCAGCTCGCGGGACACAATGGTGGGTGAAGGGGTGGGGGAGGGTGGGTGAGGGGAGGGTCGGAGGGGGCATGAGGCCGTACGACAGGGGCAGTGGGGGGCCACGGTGGGGGCAGTCCTGCGCTGTGTCTTGCTCTGCTCGGGTCTCATGGCTGGTGTTTGTTGCAGGATCCAGATTTATTTCGGGCCAGAATTGAGGCCCGTACATTGCCATGCCTGTTTAAAAAAAAAAATCAGCAATGGAACATACTCTCGGCTTTTTAGCTGACGGTCTGTCAAGCTGGAACATTTCCATGTGTGTAGAGGTGTTTACATGGATGAAAGGCAAATGTTGATTTACGTGAATTCAACCTTTAAAACACAAACCCCCACCTCGTTTGGGGGTTCACTTGCGGGAGAGGGAAAATTGAGGTTTTGAGCCCAGTGGCCATGTGACCTCTCAGGTCGACGACAAATGAGATGCTCACACAAAGAGGCAAAATTTTACCTAACAGAGGAAAACCTAGCAAAGCTGACCGAGTAATCGACCGCAAAACAGTCATGGATTACAATATTTAGCCGAATAATTTTGCGGGCGTGCGCACGCGCGTGTATGTGGACCCCATGTGCCACAGTGCCGGCCTTCATAGGTGCTACTACCAGCACTCGCCCCGACAGTCTGTTCTGGCTATAGGGAGGATGTGTGTTTGGGCCTGCAGGCAGCTTCGTGGCGGGCGAGGAGGGCCGCGTGCTCAAGAGGCTGAGCGAGTGCGAGCGGCGCTGCCTCGACGCGCTCATGGCCGACCCCCTCGGCCCGTACGTACCGGCCTTCTACGGCGTGCTGGAGCTCCACGGGGAGCGCTACAACCACATGGAGGACCTGCTCCACGGCTTCTCCGCGCCCGCAGTCATGGACTGCAAAATGGGGATCAGGTGCGTCTTGCATACTGTATGTGTGCTGTTTGGTGATTATTGGACTGGGCGACGACTGGTGTTGTCGGTGTCAAAATCGGGTGCTGTGGAGGAGGATTGTGATGAACGGGTTACTAGGGCAGTTGGAAGGAGGCACTCGCCTTCCAACGGCGGCAGAAGGTTGGGGAGGAGTGCTCGCAACAACGAATGGCGTGCCGGGCAGATTATACGCAAGTTGGCACAGTGGGGAGCGCAGGGGGGAGCATCTGCCAGTCATCTCAGTCAATTAAGCCGTGGCACCTGGGTCTGTGATCTTCCCTCCCAGAAAGCCCTCAACACTTCACTTGGCCTCAAAGTGTACCTAGCCTGGCACAAGTGTTGTGGTTATTCACCGGCACTTACTGGCGAATTCCGGCTGCTGTTGATGCCGTTGTATACATGAATGATTTTATTTGCGAACGTTCGTTGTGATATACGCAGCTTAAGTTTTGTCATTGTCAACTATTAATCCACTGCTGGATAACATACTCTGCATCCTGAAACCACCCAGACACAGACTGCAGCTCCACTATTGCTCCTGTGTCTGCCCTGTCTTGTGTGCTCTCGCTTCTCCCTTCACTCGCGATATAGTTTTGGCCCTGTCACTCTGCCACTCGCAGTGCCTAATGAAGCATCCTGCACTGGTGCCCTTGTTTTCCCCGATAGCATCGACAGTGTTAATTGTTCGGCAACTAAATACAGCTGGGATCTCAAGATGCAGAACAAGAGTGGGGTTAACAAACACCAAGGGGGAGGAGGGGAGAGCGTGACGATGTCTCTCGATTTCCGCTCGGCTATGCTGCTCTGTTTTGTGCTTATGCCTTGCACCCTTTATTTTTTTAAACCCACTCTTTGTGTAGCGTGCGTATGTACGTATGTATTTTGAACTTCTTTCGCATGGTACATAGCCAACCGTGCTAATCGGAGGTGCGGGGGAAGGACAACAAACTAAACATAAAAATAAGTTTATTGGGGAGCCCACTGTTCGATCGCATGCGAGCCCATACTCGCTCTAAGACTGGGCAGGGTACCTGGGCAGGACGCCATGTCCTGGCAGTAAACATTTTGCCAGGTTACCGCCCTCCACCCATGATAGTAACAAACGCAAAAAAAGTCAAAGTGATTTGCTGCTCAAATGAGCATCGAGTCAGTGCTGATCTCCAGTTTAAAGTCCTGAGCCAACGGTGGAAAGTCTACGTTCCCATAGCAGCGGTGAGTGTTTGTCCACAGGACAACCACGGTTGACTGTTGACTTTCCCATAAAGTGATACTCGTTTTATCGACCACGGAGGGATGATGGGCTGAGTCAACCTCCAACTTGGATTTGAACCTGCAGCCTTCCAAATGCGAGCCGCTTGCTCGACAGCTGAGCCACCTGGCCGGGTAACCGGTTAAAGACCACGTCCATCATTGGTTCCTGTCATTCAGCACTGCGCATTTTGTCTTGTGAGACTTTTTAGTTCAAACACATTCAAATCTGTCCAACACTCCTATGCGGATTGTCGTAAAAAAGTCCAAATGAATCGCACAGCTCTAATTTCCTTGCCATGCGCTTGTTTCATGTACCTCCACGTTGCAAGCTATGCATTTGCAATTTTGTATGTGTGTGTGTCATAGCAGAGTAAAAGAGTTTTGCCCAATCTGCGTGAATGACATTTAAAAAAAAAATTGTTTATTGATGAGACTGATTATAACTTTAACATTGCTTCCCATGTGCTTATCTGGCTGCCTGCTTAAATTCCTTTCCATAGTCAACAGAGGCTAGGCATGAAGGTATTTTTCATGAATTGTCTGCTATAGAATCTGTTTGTATGTGGTTTGTATGACGTAAAGCAACCTTTCCCAAATACGGCTTTCTGACGTGATGAGTTGGTCTTGAACTTGTGTTTTCTGTTTCCATCGATCTTGGTGAACATTTTATATACATATGATTAGAAGCGAATTTGTCCGTCGTTTTTCAAGTTAGGTTTGCCTCCCTTTTTGAATATAACAATAATTAAGGTGTCATTCTTATCTTGTGTCATGCTTAATTAATTTGTGCTTAAAATAATTTAGATCAACATTGTTTGGTCATTCACAAATAATGGGAATGAATAATGTAAATATCTGAAATGCAGATTTGCAAAAAATAGTTACCAAATGCTGCCTCTTGGTACTAACCACTGGCGGAGCCGGGGGGGGGGGGCACATGCCCCCCCCAATGATCCGATCGAAATTCATAATTTCGATAATATGAGATGATAGGACAATAGTCTGAGTCCATAATTGGCAATAAGTAACGGCAAAGCAGTTATAAGTGACTCACAGAATTGTGCGCAGTTGCGTATACAGTACACGACTTCCCTGAAGGCATACCTTCAGCGAGCGCGATGCCGATCACACACGGTTCGAATTCAACCCTCAATCGATGGCTGCGCCATTGCCGCACACGCGTTGAATAAAAAACAAGGGACAAGTCCTTACTAACAACTCCTATCATTTTTCATTGCTGGAGGGGTTGCCCCCCCCTACCTGAATATCCTTGCTCCGCCATTGGTACTAACAAAGCATACAAAGCGTTGTATGAAGCACAGTTCAAGTTTATTTGTTTAACCAAGTGACCTCTGGTCATCAGGATTTACACGCTCAGGGGTGGTGGGTCAAAGAGGCACCAGCATTCTTCCTTTTGCCTGTGGCTTCGATTTATTCACAATCATTCGAATTCTAGATCTAGGTTTAGCCACGAGATACCTTCTGGTGACGCTGAGTGGAGAACTTCCATCTCTGCATCATTGTTCGTGTTTCTCAGCCACAGTCGCACCGGTGCAGCACTCCCCATTGCCTCTCTTCCCATGCTCTTTTAACCTTGCCCGATTCAAGAAGCGTGTTGACTCTTTGTCTTTTACAACTTTGATAGCTTTTGTGTTTTTTTTACCTCTCCGCTTGACGTTTTGGGTCATTGGTCCCGTGCTCAGAGAACTGCTTTAAAAATAAATAAATCACTGTAGCATCGGGCTGTCCGCACGAGCGCCGCTCGAGACACCGCACCGACACGAACTCGTGACGTGCGGCCTTGCCGGGCAGAACCTACCTGGAAGAGGAGCTGACCAAAGCGCGGGAAAAGCCGCGGCTGCGGCGCGACATGTACCAGAAGATGGTGACCATCGACCCGGACGCGCCCACCCCGACGGAGCATGCGGCCGGCGCCGTCACCAAGCCGCGCTACATGCAGTGGCGCGAGACCATCAGCTCCTCCGCCAGCCTGGGCTTTCGCATCGAGGGGGTCAAGGTGAGGGCTATGGGGGGGGGGGGGACACGCTGGGGGGGGGGGGGGGGAGATGCGTGGGGGAGATGCGTGGGGGGTGGGAGCGGAACGCGCGTGTACGGAGGTGTGGGGGGAACGTTCGCGTGCGGGGGGCCACACGTGGGGGAGAACGCACTTGGGGGGAACTGGCAGTCGGGAGGTGCACGCCCGTCGCCCTGTTTCACCGTGCCTGGTTCGCGCGTTGTGATTCGCAGAAGGAAGACGGATCGGTGTGCAGAGACTTCAAAAAAACTAAAACCATTCCTGAGATTGTGAAAGTGTTTGAAGATTTTGTCAACAAAGACGACGATATATGGGTAGGTGGTACACTCAATGTGGCACACGTATTTTATGTCTCCCGAGTGTTTTGGTTTGCAAATCACAAAGCAGCACGTAGTCAGTGACAGCAGTTGCAGGATCCTGCGGCCCATAGGGGCAGCGTTGCTGCCGTCGGGTCAACATCTCTGTGGCAGGTCATGTTGGGCTATGCAGCACCCCTCGTATGAATGAGGCGATGGACTGCTTGGTGACAGTTCTGAATGGCCATTGTCTCATGACATGCTGCCGATTGCACGATAACAAAAAAAGGTGGAAAATGGATCACTTTTTAAACTGACATTTGCAGGAGTAGGCCACCATGCCCAGTGTTGTGTCCCAGCTTTTTAATTGCAGTCTCTAAGCCACGAATACTGATCCGCAGCGCTTTAGATGTGCGCCAGAGTTTGGGGGGGGGGGGGGGGTTGGGTCAGTCGTTAGCCGAGCGGCTCCAAAGCAAGAATCCAGACGGTGCGTTGTGTCCGTCGTTAGCGCCGTTCATTCCGCTGGTGCGAGCGACGCGGCCACCTCGCGTGCGGTGTCCATGCGTTTGTGAGCCGCGTTGGTGACGTCCTGCCCCGTGTGGCCCCCCCGTGCCCACCTCTAGGCAGGCTACCTGCAGCAGCTGGAGGAGCTGAGGTCCGTTCTGGAGGCATCACCGTTCTTCCTCTCCCACGAGGTGCGTGGCCACCGGCTCCCACTGGGACCCCACCGGCGCCTATAAATGCACGCCTCGCCTGCAGTGCATCCCGTTTGTTACGGTTTCTTACAGATGCGCGTGTGTGTCTAGGGATCCTCTGGGGAGTGGTAGTGTCGCGGTTAGCACGCTGCTGCGCTACAAATCCGGTGACCAGAGTTCGATTCCCGCTCATGCCCAACATCGGTGATGAATATTTGAACCGGTCCTAGCTTGACTCAAATTTGTACCTGGTGTGGTGTTTAAACATTGCCACGGGGGAGACAAAGGCGGTAGGGCGTGGTGTTGGCCACCCACTGCCTCGTGTGCTGTTATAGGTGCTCGCTAACAGCATTTGCCCCAACAGTCTGTTCAGACTATACTGGGGATCTTTGTCTTTGTTTGTGGAGATCGTCAAATGTGACTGAACATTCTGCCCTAGACTGGATGTGCACTGCACAGTGATATGAGTTGGAGGCACCTGTGCAGTGTTGCCGACTCTCCAAACCTTAAAATGTCTCTTGGATGTCGCAAGGTATACCTTCGGATTCAACAACAATGTCAATCGACAATGAATGAAGCGTTAAATTTGGTAAACTTCCACCGGATTCTCAGCACACCGGGAATCGCTCCGAAACCCGCATAATTACGTTCGTGCTGGAAAGTCGCCATACTTTTTTCGCTCTTCACAATTAAGTTGATTGGAGAAACCCGAAAAGTCTGCTGGCGAAAATTTCTTAAGTTGGCAACGCTGCCCCCCCTGTGGGCAGCAGAATCTTACACGAGCCGTCACCGACCATGTGACCCGCGCTCCATTGTTGTTGCCACCGCTGCCGTCACACCGCAGGTCATCGGCAGCTCGCTGCTGTTCATGCACGACGCGAGCGGGCGAGCGCGGGTGAGGATGATCGACTTTGGCAAGACGAGCGCGCTGCCGGAAGGCCGCCGCCTCAGCCACCGGCGGCGCTGGGAGGAGGGCAACCGCGAGGACGGCTACCTGTGGGGGTTCGACAAGCTGGTGGAGCTGGTGCGGGGAATGCTGACCAAGCACTGGCCTGAGCCTCCCTCCCCACCGCCGTCGCCGCCGCCGCCACTCCTCCAGAGCCCCGACGAGCCCCCCTCCGCCCCTTGCGTGGTGTCAGAAGCCATCTCGCAAAAAGGTGGTTCGCTGACATAGGCTGCTAATGGATATATATACTATGGGTGAAAAAGGGTTAATTTTATACAAATGGGAAGGGTTTAAATATTTTATGTATATAAATATATGCACCGTTTGTAAATTCCAGACTGGCTAATTTTTTTGAAGTTGTACACACTCATAAACTTGAAACATTTTAAAATTTTGTTAACATTTAAGGTGACCCAAGCATTCCTGTAATTTATTTGCAGTGTAATTGGTTTGTATGAAGTAGTGCGCTCAGTTGGCCTGGGCACGTGAAATTGAAGTGCCTTTGGCTGGGCACCGGGCCAAGTCGGTCCCCACTAGTTGTGCGTGTTTAGTTCCTTTACCACATCAACAAGCAAGATGCAACATCGATCACTGGACTTTTGGAAGCCATATGTTTACTCGGGCGTGTGTTGGAACGGCTCAAAGATTAACACTAAGGCAGGTTACCAGTTTTTTTAAAAAAAAGTTTCATTACCAAAACTTTTATCATCGTTTTAATGTTTGTGATCATTTATTGGATGTTTGTTACTTTCCTTCGCGCGCCAACGTATGCAATGTGCCTAAAACTGTGGGCACCAGATCTGTGTACAGCAGAGGTTGGAGGAAGGCTCCTTTGCCGGCGTTTTATGGATTACATTTTTTTTTACACATTACCTATTACATTGGAAGCATAAACGTATTTTATAAACTGTGCAGTTCCGGTAATGCTGATACTGTACACGTGTAAGTGGGTGATGCCTTGGAGCGGTGGCTCCCTCTAATGTGTGTGCTTATTCGCAAGGTAGTGGGGAAGTGGTCTTCGGAATTGTTGCAGATAGTGTGCAGTTTTTTGTTCTCACAAAAACCTCATATTTCACCCTCCATTGCACAACTATTTACGTTGCGCTCGTGAGCCGTCAACACAGCTGGCGAATGGCTCAACCTGATCGCCGGAATTTACTGACATCGTGCAATGTGTCATCGATGAATGCACGGCGGTCCTCAGCACCACAAAGGTTTGGAGGGGGGGGGCGGAGAGCCGCTGCCTTCGACTTAAGTTTTTGCCGTCGATCAGAATGGGGGTTAGGAATGCGCGACTGTGCGGAAGACTTAACTCTGCCTTAGCTATGGCGCCCTTCAATGTGAACCATTGGCGTTTGTGGCCCATCGATGGCGCTGGGCTGAGGAGACCGGCTCAAGGGGAAGAGATTGCAGCCAAACACTCTGTGCTTCCAGCTGCCGCTCGAATGCAACTGCGCAAGGGGGAGCAAAAACCCTGGCACTGCGTGGCATCTTTAAAGAGGTTTATCAGGGGCGGTGGGGGGGGGTTCGTGAAATTCTGTTGACAATTGCAACATTTCTGATAATGCACTGCTGCAGTGACGTCGTGGCCTTTTTTGACGGGTGCTTTGCCAAGACGTTGCCGTGCGGAGATGTCCTGGCTGGGAGTGGTGTTGGTGTACACGAGTGCGTAATTTACCTTACGGGAGGTGGGCTTGGTCAATAAACCCGATGGATACGTGTACGTCTAAAACCAACATTCAGAGAGAAAGGGGCCCATCTACGCATTGTAAAAAACACTTATTATTGGTGTTAAAGGATCGCACGCTTGTGTGCGAGTGGCTGTTTGCTACAAATCATTACTAGGTGTGCTTATTTTAAGAAATATATATTTTTTGCTGGTGGAATCCGTGTTTTGGAGTTTGTTCGATCAACAAAAAAACCTTCATCACTTGCCCACTTGCTGTGCGTATACCTACTATATACAGGGTGATCAATTTATACAGTAAATCCCCGTTGAACGCGTGGTCACTTTAACACATTTTTTTCTTTCATCGAACGTGAAGGACTACTTTTATGAGCGACTTGGGTGTTGTTCGGTGATGCTGGGAGCTGGTACTGTAGAGTGATGTGCGCTGTGATACATGGCGTGGTTTCCTCGCTCCGCTACGGTCTATCGCTGTCCACTCTCACCGACATTTTTAATTTAAACAAATGTCACGCATAGAATATTTATAGAAATACTTTATAAACACAACACATTTAAACAAAACACATGTGCTGTCAAATATAAACAACATTAAGGGCTGGAATGACACACCCCACCCTTACCGTTATTCCTTATGGGAACATTATTCCCCGCTTAACGCAAATTCACTTTACGCAGAAATTTTCAGGAACGCAACCCCCACGTTAAGCGAGGACTTGCCATACTGACTTAAATTTTTTTTTATTTCAAAGCCTCTAGGTGTCTCCCACCAATCTCAGTACACAATGATCGAACACTCTCCCGAAGCGCTGCGTTCAATATAACCAGTGTGGTTTGTTTACAACCATCAGTGATATGCAAGCCAAGGTCATTGCTATCTCGTGCTTTTTTGCCTCGCAGACAATTTTCTATCACCCCACAACAGAAAATTCCAGTGGGGTCATTTCAGGTGAATGGGAAAGCCATGTACACGTTCCACAACTCCACAAATTCCTCTTGTAAACCATTTGCATACAGCACAAGACCATGCTCATTAGAAATGAGTGAGGCATCGATACATGAACCACACCCTGAACATCCTTCCATAGCCACTGGAAACGGTGCATTGGCTCGCTGGATTATTAAAATTCACTGGCAATGTTATGGACTTTTCATTGTCATAGGAGCCACAACACGGCAGCATTCAACACCCCGTACTGGGGCTTTGCATTCATGCAGCACCTGCATCTCATGTTAACCAGATGGTTTGTTTATTATCGGTTTGCCCACAACCCTCCCTCCATGCCTGCTCCATCTACTTTACAATCTCAGGTCACAACTTCACCAGTCTGCCAAGGCTATGCTGTTGCGGCCCATATTGACCAAGAGAGGACATGGAAATATTAATCCAACAATCCTCTGTCGCCTGCACGCTTCCTGTTTTTACACCAATGGCAGATACCCACTTTATCTTCGAGGGATGCATGTCCACACTCCTGTGTGGAAAGGTGCATGTGTTTATTCCAAAACATTACAGTAAGCCCTCGCTTAATACGTTCACACAACGCTTTTTCGCTGTATACATTAGGGTACACTTCGCACAATGTGGTACGCGCCCGTTCTAATGCGGTTTCTGAGCGGTCGATGAGTAACTACATGGAGCTGCATGGAATGATATAGCAACGTGGCGGCGTATCCTCGGGTTATGTCACACCGTTTTACCGTGTGCGTACATCGTATCTCAGCAAACTTTGTTGTTACTTTGTGGGGAAACTTCCCTTAATGCATTTTTCAGAAATGAATCTACCGCGTTAAATTACTTGCAGTACTTGATGGGAAATGCAGCCATCTTCGGCCTCTACTGCAAAAACTCAGGACCCTTCTGAGAATTAATTGAGACTCGGTGAGGCTTGTGCAAACATTTAATAATATGCAGTCACGACTTCCATTGCGTTACATTTCTTGGAAATGCGGCAAGGTCCTTTACACGACAATGAAAGACAGGAAAATGAAATGTAAATACGAAATGTGTTTATACCCCCCCCCCCCCCCACATTCTTCATGAAGAGCCGTTTAAGAGAGTTCAAACAAAAACTAAACTCGGTTAACGTGCGCCCACGGTCTCTGCTCGCTATGTGGGTGACCACTACATCTGCCCCTTGCTGGAGATGCGCCGTGCGCACTCGAGCAGCGAGTTGTGTATGTCCTTGGCGCAGGAGATCTGGGACTTGATCATGGCGAGGTACTGCCCGTAAGACAGGCTGTCGGCCTGCGTGGCGTCCAGCTTGGTGGCCGTGGGCACGAGGCTCGGGGAATGCTTGCCGCTGTCCACGCTCTGCGAGATGCACTCGTAGCCCAGCCTCTGCGATGCACGTCACGCACAAATTCATCTACACAACACGAATATTTATTCGTACTGGAGAAATTCGATGAGCTATAAAGCTCTTTTTTCACAGGTGTCCAGTAGGGGCGGGTAATAACGTTGCAATACAAAAACGTAATATAAAGTACAAGAAAGGTAAACAAATCAGCCAAAAAACATACAGATAAAACTAAACCATCCCCATCCTACCAGACAGCCCACGTGTTTCTACGTATATGGTGCGTAAGAAAGTCGAAATATATACACACACACACGTGCAGCCTTGCACCCCTTTTTATTTTTCAGAAGCGACCTGGCCACAAATTACAGCTCAACCTTTCGGCTTATCTGGAAAATTAAAACAGCAAAATAATCTAAATGCATGTTTCTACGGACACTCCACCAGGTTCAACAGGTAAAGGCGGTTGGTTGTGATCGCTTTCGAGTTGGCGCAACAAAAAATCGGCTGGAACTGCTTTTTCCCACATCCGAACGAGTAGTTGTGCAACGAGGAAATGAAATGCCATTGAGGATTGTAACCTTAGTTGGCTCATGCGCACGTCATGAAATGCGTCGCTGAGTTGTACAACGGATCGGATCGCCCTGGTGTGGACCCGGCCTCACGGACAGCCCATTGCGACATCTGTGTTGTGACGTCCAGTGCCTGACCAGATATCTGTAAACGTGCGACTTGTTAAGACGGTGACTCGGAGCGGCAATTCACGACGACTTACCAAACACAACTCGATCTGATCGCAGATGGCATAAAACTCCTCCAGGCACTTGTCAAATCTATGAATGGGCGAGTCACTGCTCTTCCTGAAGGAAACAAAGGCATGACAGTACATTCCTTGCTCAACATCACTTCCCCCTCTGCACATACACAGCCGGACGTCGACTGGCGTGTGGATATGTATGTTGAACTTCTTTCGTACCGTACACAGCCAACTGTGCTTTCTGAACACCAACGTTTTCCCCCCAATATCGACATAGGGGCCGACCATAAATGACGTCACGCGATTCTGGACGATTTTTGACCCCCCCCCCTCGTCACACGCGTCACAAAAAGTCAGACCCCCCTCAAATATGACGTCACAAAGCTCTACCCCCCCCCCAAAACCATATTTCCATTTTGAAAAAAAAACATGCTTCAAACCGCTTTAAACTATTGTCATTGTAGTGCGTATTTAATGTGGCGCTGCACTCTGATGTAGGAGAAACATTAAAAAGTATATTTAATTAAGTAGCATTTTGATGTGACGTCACATTTCTCAAATCCCACCCATACACATTGTCACAAATGTCTGACCCCCCCTAGGTGTGTGACGTCATTTATGGACGGCCCCATATATTTACACAGAGCCCTGCATTCGAACTGTAAGAAACCCAAAGGGTGGCAAAACAAAGTGTGCAATGGAGATCTGCAATGCAGGTGCTACTCACAAGCCATTATCAATCGCCGTGTTCTGGTTCAGGTTCTGAGCGGCAATTTTCATAAGATTCTGTAAACAAAAAAAAACACGCGCCACAATCCCGTTAAGAGCCAAACTATAACATGTGCACATTTCAGTTGCTTAGAATGTAGGGAAAGGCTCTGCCTCATCATGTGTTTGTGCTTTACCCGTGCTGCTCCCGTGCCGTTCCCGTGCTCTACCCGTGCCGTTCCCGTGTATTCCCCATGCCGTTCCTGTATTCTATCCATACGACTCCCGTGTTCTACCCGTGCTGTTTCCGTGCTCTACGCGTGCTGTTCCTATTCTTTACCCGTGCCGTTCCCGTGCTCGACCCGGATGTAGTTACATGGCCGGGTCACCCCGGTGAATTCCTACAACTACAGCGTGCGGCGCGAGTCGTTAAAAGTTCGTGAAACGCCATGAAAGAGAAAGACAAAGACGCGTGTGCGCGGGCGAGGTGAGCGGAGGCGAGTGACCGATGGAGCCTTCGAGGGGACCGACCCCCGGGTGGCAACTCGCGCTGCACACAGCAGCAGCAGCCGGGATTTGAGAGCCGTTACCTGCAGACACTCCTTCAGCTGCGGCAGCAGCATCTTTACTCGCGCCACGGGGTCAAAGTCCTGCTGCTGTTGCTGCTGCTGTTGTTGCATTTGTTGTTGTTGTTGCTGCTGCTGAGCACCGAGCGGAATCGCCATTGCGTCTCTCCTGCTCGTCACGTGACGTCGTCGCGCCAGGTTTTGCGCGACGTCACGCGCGAGACTTCGGGGTGACGTCGACGCACCAAGATGCGTGGTGACGTAATCGCGCCAGGCTTTGCGCAGTGACGTCGCGCACCAAGATGCGTGGGGACGTCGCTGCGCGACTTTGCGGGGTGACGTAATCGCGCCAGGCTTTGCGCAGTGACGTCGCGCACCAAGATTTGTGGGGACGTCGCTGCGCGACTTTGCGGGGTGACGTAATCGCGCCAGGCTTTGCGCAGTGACGTCGAGCACCAAGATGTGTGGGGACGTCGCTGCGCGACTTTGCGGGGTGACGTAATCGCGCCAGGCTTAGCACAGTGACGTCACCGCGCCAGGTTTTGCGTAGTGACGTCGCGCGCGAAATTGAGGGGGGATGACGTCACGTGACGAGCGGTAGATACGCAATGGTGAGACTTTGTTGTGTAAACAAATTTATTAACAATAAGCAGTCACGACTTCCATTGCGTTACATTTCCTGAAAAGTGCTTTACACGACAATGAAAGACGAGAATATAAAACGTCAATACGAAAATTGTGTTGAAACACCCTGCCCGCCCACCCCCCACCACGTTCTCCATGAAGCGACATTTAAAAAGCGAGTTCAAACAAAGACCAAACTCGGTGAACGGTGCGTCCACGGTCTCCGCTTGCTCACTCCGTGGGTGACCACTACATCTGCCCCTTGCTGGAGATCTCCCGTGCCCACACGAGCAGCGAGTTGTGTATGTCCTTGGCGCAGGAGATCTGGGACTTGATCATGGCGAGGTACTGCCCGTAAGACAGGCTGTCGGCCTGAGTGGCGTCCAGCTTGGTGGCCGTGGGCACGAGGCTCGGGGAATGCTTGGCACTGTCCACGCTCTGCGAGATGCACTCGTAGCCCAGCCTCTGCGATGCACGTCACGCACAGATTCATCGACACAACACGACTGGCACCTTCAGTTTACAACCACTAATTATAACAATCACACTCTCGCATCTCCGATAAAGGCATGGTTCAGAATGAGATTTATACTGGAGGAATCCGATGAGCTATTAAGCTCTTTTTTAACAATACAAAAACGCGATCGTGGTACAAGAAAAGTACACAAATCACCGAAACGTACAAATAAAACTAAAGCATCCCCATCCTACCAGGCAAATCCCACGTGTTTCTACGTATGGTGCGAAAGACTGTCGACGTAGCAACACACGCACACACAAGCAGTCTTCCGGCACAGAAACGCTTTGTGGCAAGCTCCACCAGGTGGCGGCAGGTAAGAGCCATTGGTTGCGATGGCTCTCGAGATGGTGCAACATAAAATCGCCTGCAACTGCTTTATCCGCATCCGAACGAGTAGTCGCGCGCCGAGGAAGTGAAACACCATTCAGGACTTCATATTCTTGGTTCTTTCGGTAAAGTCACGTAGAAGGGAAACAATAAAATAAAAAAAATCTAAAAGTCGCGAATGCTTTAAATCACCATTCGGGACTTTAATCTTAGTTGGCTCATGCGCAGCACAACGGATCGGATCGCCCTGGTGTGGACCCGGCCTCACGGACAGCCCATTTGCGACATCTGTCTTGTGACATCCAGTGCCTGACCAGATAACTGTAAACGTGCGACTTGTTAAGACGGTGACTCGGAGCGGCAATTCACGACGACTTACCAAACACAACTCGATCTGATCGCAGATGGCATAAAACTCCTCCAGGCACTTGTCAAATCTATGAATGGGCGAGTCACTGCTCTTCCTGAAGGAAATAAACAAAGGCATCAAGGCAAATTCCTTGCGCAACATCACTTCCCCCCCTCTGCACATACACAGCCGGACGTTGACTGGCAAGTGTGGATATGTATGTTGTTGAACTTCTTTCGGCACCGTACGTGGCCAAACGTGCTAACTGAACACCCAACATTTTGTCCCCAATATCGACATATATACAGTGAGGGAAAGAAGTATTTGATCCCCTGCTGATTTTGTACGTTTACCCACTGACAAAGAAATTATCAGTCTATAATTTTAATGGTAGGTTTATTTGAAAAGTGAGAGACAGAATAACAACAACAAAATCCAGAAAAACGCATGTCAAAAATGTTATGAATTGATTTGCATTTTAATGAGGGAAATAAATATTTGACCCCTCTGCAAAACATGACTTAGTACTTGGTGGCAAAACCCTTGTTGGCAATCACAGAGGTCAGACGTTTCTTGTAGTTGGCCACCAGGTTTTCAGACATCTCAGGAGCGATTTTGTCCCACTCCTCTTTGCAGATCTTCTCCAAATCATTAAGGTTTCGAGGCTGACGTTTGGCAACTCGAACCTTCAGCTCCCTCCACAGATTTTCTATGGGATTAACGTCTGGAGACTGGCTAGGCCACTCCAGGACCTTAATGTGCTTCTTCTTGAGCCACTCCTTTGTTGTCTTAGCCGTGTGTTTTGGGTCATTGTCATGCTGGAATACCCATCCACGACCCATTTTCAATGCCCTGGTTGAGGGAAGGAGGTTCTCACCCAAGATTTGACGGTACATGGCCCCGTCCATCGTCCCTTTGATGCGATGAAGTTATCCTGTCCCCTAAGGAGAAAAACACCCCCAAAGCATAATGTTTCCACCTCCATGTTTGACGGTGGGGATGGTGTTCTTGGGGTCATAGGCAGCAAACCTCCTCCTCCAAACACGGTGAGTTGATTGATGCCAAAGAGCTCCATTTTGGTCTCATCTGACCACAACACTTTCACCCAGTTGTCCTCTGAATCATTCAGATGTTCATTGTCAAACTTCAGACGGGCATGTATATGTGCTTTCTTGAGCAGGGGGACCTTGTGGGCACTGCAGGATTTCAGTCCTTCACGGCGTAGTGTGTTACCAATTGTTTTCTTGGTGACTATGGTCCCAGCTGCCTTGAGATCATTGACAAGATCCTCCCGTGTAGTTCTGGGCTGATTCCTCACCGTTCTCATGATCATTGCAACTCCACGAGGTGAGATCTTGCATGGAGCCCAAGGCCGAGGGAGATTGACAGTTCTTTTGTGTTTCTTCCATTTGCGAATAATCGCACCAACTGTTGTCATCTTCTCACCAAGGTGCTTGGCAATGGTCTTATAGCCCATTCCAGCCTTGTGTAGATCTACAATCTTGTCCCTGACATCCTTGGAGAGCTCTTTGGTCTTGGCCATGGTGGAGAGTTTGAAATCTGATTGATTGATTGCTTCTGTGGACAGGTGTCTTTTATACAGGTAACGAGCTGAGATTAGGAGCACACTCTTAAAGGGAGTGCTCCTAATCTCAGCTTGTTACCTGTATAAAAGACACCTGGGAGCCAGAAATCTTTTTGATTGAGAGGGGGTCAAATACTTATTTCCCTCATTAAAATGCAAATCAATTTATAACATTTTTGACATGCGTTTTTCTGGATTTTCTTGTTGTTATTGTCTCTCACTGTTCACATAAACCTACCATTAAATTATAGACTGATCATTTGTTTGTCAGTGGGCAAACGTACAAAATCGGCAGGGGATCAAATACTTTTTTCCCTCACTGTACACACACACACAGCCCTGTATTAAAATTGTAAGAAACCCCGAAGGGTGGCAAAACAAAGTGTGCAATGGAGATCTGCAATGCAAGTGCGACTCACAAGCCATTATCAATCGCCGTGTTCTGGTTCAGGTTCTGAGCAGCAATTTTCATAAGATTCTGTAAACAAAACAAAAAAAAACACGCGCCAAAATCCCGTTAGAGCCAAACTATAACATGTGCACATTTCAGCTGATAATAATGTAGGTTAAGGCTCTGCCCCCGTCATGTGTTTGATTTATCCGTGCTGATTCTGTGCTGTTCCCGTGGCAACCAATGCCGTTTACGTGCTCTACCCGAGCCGTTCCTATGCCCTACCCGTGCTGGTCCCGTGCTTTCCCAATGCCGTTCCTATATTCTATCCATAATGCTCCCGTGTTCTACCCGTGCTGTTCCCGTGCTCGACCCGTGCTGTTCCCGTGCTCTACCCGTGCTGTTCCCGTGCTCTACCCGTGCTGTTCCCGTGCTCTACCCGTGCTGTTCCCGTGCTCGACCCGTGCTGTTCCCGTGCTCGACCCGTGCTGTTCCCGTGCTCGACCCGGATGTATTCCCATGGCCGGGTCACCCCGTGAATTCCTACAACGACGGTGTGCGGCGCGAGTCGTTAAAAGTTCGTGAAACGCCATGGAAGAGAAAGACAAAGACGCGTGTGCGCGGGGAGTGAGCGAAGGCGAGTGACCGATTGAGCCCTTCGAGACGTCGACCCCCGCGCGGCCATCAACACGCGGCACCGCACACAGCGGCAGCAAGCAGCAGCAGCCGGGGCGGGATTTGAGAGTCGTTACCTGCAGACATTCCTTGAGCTGCGGCAGCAACATCTTCACCCGCGCCACGGGGTCAAAGTCCTGCTGCTGCTGCTGTTGTTGTTGCTGCTGTTGCGGCTGAACACCGAGCGGAGTCGCCATCGCGTTCTCAACCGCTGGTCACGTGACGTCACACGCGAGGTTCTTGCGCGGTGACGTCACACGCGAGGCCTTTGCGCGATTACGTCACGCGCGAGGCTTTGTACGGAACGTCGCACTCGAGGCTCTTTGCGCAGTGCCGTCACGCGCCGGCTTGCGCGGTGACGTCACGCGCGAGGATCTGCGCGGTGACGTCACTATTTTCCCCGCGGGGGGAGGGGGCGTCACGTGACCAGCGCAGCGGGGACCAATCAGATTCCGCCTTCTTCGTTTTGGCGCGAACGTCAGGAAACTTTGGGCAGAGCGGAGACGCGGGCGCAGTCCCCCTGCCTAGGTCGACTCGACCTTAATTCACCTGAACTGGTGCGGCGCGTAAAGCCACACCTCAACGCTGGGGAAGAAGAGCGACCGACTCGCAACTCTCCTCCACCACCTGCTCGTTTGCCGCGGCAGTCTTAACAGGCGCCCGCTTGTGCCGTGTGGAGCAGCGTCCCCCACCCGTCGCCTCTCGCCGGCTTCTCCCGGGTGACGGCGGCGGCGATGGCGGAGCGCAAGGCG